ACAGCATCCTGTTACAATCATTTCTTGTTTAAAGTGTCCTTACCAGCAAAGTTACATGTATATTGGTGAGTCTTCCAAGTGCTCCATAAAACCTTTTTCTAAACTATTACAGAAATTTTATCAGCAATCAAAGCCGAGCTTCAGAGTTATTGTGAAAGTACCTACTCTAGGAATGGTGTGAATCAGATGTGGATACTTAAAATTTTCAAAGTAATGTCAGAGTGCATACAATCTAAGTCTCTTTCCTCTTACACAAGTAATCCCAATGTCATACAAAAATGAAAGACTTGGTCTTAACTTTGTTTCATAAAAAAAGAATTGCCAACCTAGTTACAAATATCTTGTTTAAGGGATGGACAAATCATACTTTGTAAACAAATCACTCTGATTAAAAAATACTCTCAAACTGATGTTATCAAGTTGCTTGAATTCTTGATTGACAGCATATTTGTTATGTTGGAAGCTTGTTTTTCTACAAACATTCAGCATTTCCATGGGAACAAACTGTGCTCTGCTTGCAGATGTGTTCCTTTATTGTTATGAGGCAGACTTCATACAGGAGATTCTTAGAAAGAATGAAAAGAAGCTAGCATTATCCCTTTACTTCATGTTCAGCTATATAGATGATGTCCTCTCACTAAATAGTTTAAAGTTTGATGACTACCTTGAACACATCTATCCCATCGAACAGTCTGCCTCATATCTCGACTTTCATCAAGAAATTGACAATACTGATCGATTGAAAACAAAACTTTTTCGACAAAAGGGATGATTTCAGTTTCCTAATTGAAAACTTTCCATTTCTATGTAGCAAAATTCCAGCAGTGCCTGCATATGGAATATATATTTCCAAGTTGATATGATATTGAAGAGCTTGCATTTCCTATCATGATTTCCTAGAGAGTTGCTGCTTACAAGGAAGCTATTAAACAAAGAATTCCAATGGTGAAGTCAAGGTCATCCCTTAGAAAATTTTACCGACTCTATCATGAGTTGGTTGACTATTATGGAATATCTGTTTCACAGATGACGAAAGATATGTTCCAATTGTTGTAACCAAAATCACATGCTTTTTTCCTCAAATGCTAAATCCCTCAATTAGTCTTACATTAGCAACAAGACAGGTTTCACATGTGGAGCAGAATCTGCTTACACTTCTGAAGCACATGAGATCACCCCCAGATTTTGCATTGTTTTGGTGGGGTTCGTAATTGCTCAGTCTTTATTTTTCTTTGTTGTGTTTTGTATACTGTTGTTTGTCTTTTGGTCTTCTTTCATATTTATACGACCGCAAAATTTTTGCCAAAAACAATACTATTCTAAGACTGTATAAATTGCTTATATCTTGACCAATTTCAATGGGGTTTAATTCCAATTCTTGAATTCTTGGTGTTCTTTAATATGCTGAATCTAACAGTGTATTTAGATTTTGGATTTTGGGCCCTGCTTTTAAATTGGTCCACATTGTGGTCCAAAAGGTCTAAAAATAAACTTTGTTTGATTTCAACAAAACTTGAATTCTTGGGGTTCTTTGATATATTGAATTTAACTGTGTATGTAGACTTTTAATTTTGGGCCCAGTTTTCAAATTGGTCCACATTAAGGTCCAAAGGGTCAAAAATCAAATTAAGTTTGGTGTTAACAAAATTTAATTTACAGGGTTCATTGATATGCTGAATTTAAACATGTATTCAGATTTTTGATTTTGGGTCCGGTTTTCAATTTTGTCCAAATCGGGGTCCAAAATTAAACTTTTTTGTTTGATTTCACCAAAATTTGAATGTATGGGGTTCTTTGATATGCTGAATCTAACTATATATTTAGATTTTGGGCCCTGTTATCAAATTGGTCCACATTGAAGTCCAAAGGGTCCAAAATTAAACTTTGTTTGATTTCATCAAAAATTGAATTCTTGGGGTTCTTTGATATGCTGAATCTAACCATGTATTAAGATTTTGGATATTGGACCATAATAGGTAAATGTCCAATTTCAAATTTTTAAGTTCTTATACCACATTCATTCTGTGTTAGAAACCTATGCTATGTCAAATATTTAATCACAATCCAAATTCAGAGCTGTACAATCAATAGAAATTGTAAGTAGAGTCATAGTTAAAAATAAATACAGCATCAAATCTAATTTTAGAGAAGAAATCATGTATAGATATAGTTATATAGATATATAAATTTACCGTTCATTATTAGATATTTTGAAAACGATGAAAGGTAAGTGCTATAGATTTTTTAAAGACATTGTATTAATGATGAATGATATTTTGGAAATTGTTTTTTTCATTTTATTTGTAAATTAGAACTTCATGTTAGGTTTGTTTGTTATTCTGTATAAATATTAATTTTTCAAAATCCTATATATTTTATATTTTTTTTTTTTATTTATGAAGCGAACCCCTTTAAAAATTTAGCTAATATTGTCCATTAATAAATAAATAAATTCAATTCTTGGTGCACTTGGATATGCTGAATCAAATCGAGTATTTTGATTTTGGATATTGGACCATAATAGGTAAAGTCAATTTCAAATTTTTCAGTTCTTTTACCACATTCATTCTGTGTCAGAAACCTATGTTGTGTCAAATATTTAATCACAATCCAAATTCAGAGCTGTATCAATCTTGAATGTAGTGTCCATACTTGCCCCATCTGTTCAGGGTTCAATCTCTGTGGTCGTATCAAGCTGCATCCAGCGAAGCATTTTATTAGTCCCCTACCGACAAAGTCGAAGGGGACTTAAGGTTTGCACTCCATCCGTCAGTCTGGCAAATCAGTTTTCCACACTTTTCTTCTTGTGCTTGAAGATATTGATTTGATATTTGGTGTATTGTTTTATCATGACAAGTTACAGATCAAGTTCGAATTTCGTTCCAGTCTGACGATTTTGTGCAGAGTTATGGTCCTTGAACTTAGAAAATTCACTCAAATAATAGTTTTCTGCACTTTTTTTTGTCATGCTTGAAGATATTGATTTTGGTATATAGTTTTATCATGGCAAGTTACAGATCAAGTTCGAATTTTGTTCCGGTCTGATGATTTTGTGCAGAGTTATGGTCCTTGGACTAAAAAAATTCACTCAAATAATCAATTTTCCACATTTTTTTTCGTCATGCTTGAAGATATTAACTTGATATTTGTTACCGTATATATTTTACACCATGACAAGTAATAGATCAAGTTAGCATTTTGTTCCAGTACAATGAATTTGAACCGGTAGGGGACTATGTATTGCCAGGCAATACTTACAGAATGCTTGTTTGCAATTACAATGTGATACTGATTTTTTGGAAAGTTATTTAAATTGTTGTGTGCAAGAATCTCATTCCATATTAAAATAAAGTAGAATGCAATATTTAATTTGTATGTATTTTTTCCATTGACATTTTAAAATATTATTCTACGATATAACCTACCCTTATGTGCAAATTTAGTTTTTTTAGTTTACTTCAACCAAACCATTCAACAAAAAATGGATTAAATGTCCTAAAGGTCATGGTCAAAGTTATAAAAATAGACCAAAAATTGTGCAGACAAGTTGATTGTGGATGCTAAATCAAATACTGCAAGTAGGACTGCAATCTTACCTAGTACATATATATATAATGGGAGAAAGATCCCTATTCATTTTGGGGTCATTTTCCAAGGTCAACGTCATAGTTACTTAAAGAAACCGATATTTGTGCTGAAAATTTGATACAACATTCTAAATCAAATAGTACATATGGGATAGCAACCTTGCTTCAGAATCAGGATACAATAGTATAAAACATTTATATTCTCTACCATTTACACTAGGATTTTTCATTCTAAAAATTGAAAGATTAAGTCAAACTTTGTTTCATAAAAAAGAATGGCCAACGTAGATACAAAGAACTTGTTTAAGGAAGGGATAAATCATACTTTGTTAAAAAAAACACCACTCATATTCAAAAAAGAATTCTCTGAAACTAATATTATGAGTAAACTTAGATCTAGTCCGAGATTGCTCTGACGTCCAACGGCTGTTTTGCCAGACAAGCTGTAGCCGTGGGACCCAGCTAGTCTGGCAAAACAGCCGTTGGACGTCAGAGCAATCTCGGACTACTGTATCACTAGCCTGTCAACACTGAAGTTGTAAGTTCGAATCTCGCACGTGGAAGGTGCACTCGACTCCAATCTTAATTGACTAGAATTATCAGATTTCCTACCCGGCTTTCTCCGAAAATTAAAACTGACCGCCACGAAATAGCTCAATAGTGCTGAAAGTGGTATTTAACACCATCCAATCAATCAATCTTCTTATTTTTATATTATCAAGGTGCTTTGTTTTCTAAAAGACATCATATCTGTTAATTTTGGAGGACGTGTTTCTAAAAGAAAATCAATCGAAAGTTTTAAGGGCGCCTGCAGGATTTGATCGTGAATCTATGTGCACTGGAGGGAGAGCAAGTTGGTTAGTCCAACTGTTGGAGGGCAACCATGAAACCCTCAATTGTCTTTAAGCATGCGATGTTATCTTCCAGGTGGTCCCGCTGCATTATTGTTTGGGAAACTAAAAGTTCTTTCGGATGTCTGTCTTGTGATCTATTTATTTAAATAATCTGATGTTTAAGGTTTCATGTCTTTTCGAAATATTTGAGTGTTGGAAATCACTAAAGTCTTTTTCTTTAACTTGTCGTTAATTCTCTTTGGTGTAAGGTAGTCAGTTGGTTGAATAGTCGGCACCAATCACTCAACCACTTTGAAGAACATAATCATACACCGTTGTTTCTTGTATCAATCATAAGTTGGTTGATCGATATGGAATATCTGTGTCACAGACGACAATGGATTATTTAAATTCATAGCCATTATTTCGTCCTCCTTCCTCGATTGTGCCATAAATAAATGAGAAATTTAACACCGAATTTATACTTACCATTAGCAACACGACGGGTACCGTATGTGGAGCATAATGTGCTTACCCTTCCGGAGCACCTTGTCCGGTGTTCGTGTTGCTCCATCCTTAGTTTTTATGTAATTTTTAGTATTTTAGCCGTTTTTCGTTTTTTCACATGATTTTGTCAGTCTCTCTTCGACTTGTGAGTTTTGATTCTCCCTTTGGTAACTTATGATTATTTTTTATCTAGATATGTGGTTACACATAATGGAAGGAGAAAGATAACTTACTTGGTCTAAGATCAAGTTAATAGTTGCAAGTAGTATAAAACAACTTTGTGTATGACAATCTTACGGTCTAAAATCATAATGTAGGGTATGTGAGCTTGCTCACTAAATGTTCATTAATTATAGATCTTTTACTCCTGACTGTTGCTCTTATATAGCAAATAACCTGTACTCAAAGCACTGCTCTAGGTTAATCTTCACCATATCATACATGTGTACTATGGCCACCTAGTTTCGGCACCAAAAGTTTGGAATATGAAAGATAAGCAAGTACAGAAACAAAAAATCACTTCAAGAGGTTGTTTCTTTGTTTGTGTTGGTTTGTTTATTGTTTTTTTTTTGTTTTTCTTTGTTTTATGTTTGTAGTTATTTTGTTGGGGAGGGGGTTAGAAATGATTTTGGTGTTGATGTCGAGTGTTGGTCTTGGCTACTTTGGTGGTCAAATTATAGCTGGACATTTAATTTCATTCAGGGCTATAGTATATGTAAACTTCCAGAAGTCTTTTATTTGTGTGTGTGTTTTGCTATATTAAAACATGAAGCTTTTATATTTAAATTAAATTTCAAAATCGATTGAAAGGACTTCATCAGAATGTGTCTTTTGAATTGATTTTCTTTTAACACCTGAATATTTAGTCCAACAGAACTCATCAATTGCGGATCTAGAATTTTGAAAAAGGGAGAGAGAGCCACTTGTAAAAAGTCTTTTCATTATCCATACATGTAGCTCCAAGAGGGGGTGGACCCCTCTAAAACTGTCTCTGCTCATATCTTCCACTGATATATAGTAAATTAATGTCATGGTATATCCCAATTCACTGGATAAACTACCATTTAACTGTCATCCAACGCACTATTTCTCAAATAATAGAATAACAGGGATTCAGTAGCAACATATGGTTAGGGAACGACCATTTGTATCTGAGGGGGTTTGGTTATGGTTATTTCTTATAAAAATATTCTATTCTAATTGAGAGTTCATTAACAAAAAATCAATGTTTGGGCGACAAATAAATAAAAAATTATTGCTTCTTGGTAGGAACAAAATGTCATATTGAAAAATAATCAATAACCCCCTTAAAGTTAAATGGTCGTCCTCTTATCGTGTAATGCTACTGTTGCAGTATACTTTGAGCTGGAAGTTTGGTATACATTAACTATAATATAAAATAAGGAGATATGATATGATTGCCAATGAGACAACTATCCACCAAGCACTGTACAAAATGTGGTTTAAAGGTTAACCAAACCGATGTTATGTTTTAAATTCCTCAGAGTTGAAAAAGTTCAGAAGTAAGTATGTTCGGGTCAATCAAAATCATCAGTTTACATGCAAGCACAGATACAGACGATGTCCATAAAGATATTAAAATATACTTTTACGAGGAAAAAAAAACCATCCACAAAAACTTATTAAAATGTAACGACGCAACAAATACGATGATGATGAAGATTCCAAATGAAAAAGTCTCCTTAACTTTCTCAGTCTCGTTGTTAAGTACCAGGTAATATCCTGAAAATAAACTGATATCATTACGGTAAATACATATTTAATTTGACCTCTAATTTAGAAAGCTGATTTTAGAAAGTTCTTGCAAGCTTGTACAAAGGAATACTAACAAACTAAGAATGTCGGGGCCTTTTATAGCCGACTACACGATGTGAGGTTTTCTCATTGTTAAAGCCGTACGATGACCTATAATTGCTTAGATCCATTATTGATCTCTGGTGGATAGTTGTTTCATTGCGATCATACCACATCTCCTTATTTTTTATAAGAATCGTTCTTCAGTGGCTGATTAGACAGCAGTAAGTACAAAAAAAATATTAAAGTGAAAGTGGGCTTCACTTTCAAAGAGACAGATATATGAAAATGGGATGACTTCTTTTCAAGGACGTTATATATACTCCCATAAATGCATCTGTACGCCAAGTTATATTATTGATTGCCATTTGTTATTTCAAAAAATTAACCAATATGTAAAGCTTAATTGCAGTCATTGCGACACAGAATATATATTCTACTCTGTTACATCCGGAAGCCAAATAATATGATTGCATTGATATGAAAATGGAAACTGCATTGATATAAAAATGGAAACTGACATATTGTAAAGACGCATGTCTACAGTTGTAGTATGAACTTGTGACGTTAAATTGCTTATTAGATATATTTGTCTAGGATTCAACTACTGATCCCTGGTTTTGGTTCTTTTTGTCGTTGGATTGTTGTTAATATATATTAATTCTAATTACATTTTCACCATCCTCTTTTTTTACCTTTTATCTTACGTATCCCTTTTTCTTTGTTTTTATAACAAGAACATTCATTGCTTTGCCACCTTTATAGATAGTCTTTGTCAGATTTACTATTTTCTTCAGTGACATGTCTGCAATGCAAAAGAAAAAAATCATACAATGATTAAAGGCGGATTCATGTCCCACTAAAAATCATAGAAAATATCACTTTCGGCATAACAAAGGCATTTTACTAATTTCCCGCTTGGCAAAGTTACTGGGATCAATGCTCTCCTTTAACCTCAAATCCAGGATCCGCTCCTCATGATGTCCCAAATAAGAAGTGACAAATCATGAAAACACAATATGTTATACAATAATCTTAATGCATAATATTTACTTTTCTGTAAAAAAAATATTAAGAGTGTTATTAGTTTATGATTAAGAGACAAACCATTTGTTATCGGTTCATTTTCTTGCATTCCCATGTTTTCAACTGTCTGTAGATCGTCATCGTCGTCATCATCTGAAAAGACCAGTTTTCATTTCAATACCATATTGACTGACGCAACAGTCAAACACATATATATTGAATACATTATCAAAAAATATATAATTTTCATGTGCAAAGCTTAGAAACGGGTAGAATGCGATGTTTTGCAAAGCCTTTCCATCCCAAGCAACACTTTTTTTCTTTCAGTGACTGTATAAAGCCAACCATTATAATCGTGTCCTCTTTTTCTGGATTGTGTCATCAACAAATGGAACTTCCCACTGAATTTGTAATTCCGGCAATTATGACATGTTATGCATGTCATTCGTAATATAATATACTTTGCTACATGAAAAATCGGACTGTAAATTCCCGTTTTCAAATTATTTAAATATAGAACCTCTCACAGCATGCGATCCTTTCTTTTCACGCTGAGAAACGTTTAACTTCCTTGACCTTCTTTAATTTGGGCCGAAAATTGATATCTGTATATAAGAAACCATATATCGCACATTACTTCTTGTAACCGTCAACAAACATTGGAAATTATGGTAAATGGTTCTATTATGAACTCATGGGATATTCCAGATATCTGCTGTTTAAGCAGTTTGTTTTACTTTCTTTTCTTTTTTAAAATTATTATTACCAATTTCATAATGTTGTATGAGCTAATCGTTCGGTTGTATGGTGAATTTGCCCATAATGAGTCATATATTGAAAAAAATGTTACCATTCATACATACCTGAATGTACCTCAGGCTTTTCTTCTACGATTACTGTAATAAAATAAAAAAATAGATAAATAAAAGGTATTACAAAGTCGTTCTTTGCCCCTTTAAATTTCTAACAAATTCAATCGATTCAATTTCTAAAAGTGTATATATCCGAATGAATACAATGATACTGAAATGTCAAGTAGCATCAAGGCATGATATTACATGACGTCACTACGATGTCAAAACTGGCATTTTTAACAAAAATAAATTCGTGTTTAGTTTTGATGAGGTTAGATATAAGTAACAATGTACCCTAACAAGGGGAAAAAGTATCCGGTTTCATAATCATTAGAAAACTAGAGAATGTTGACAATGTTTCATGTAATAGCATAGTACAGTAAGGCTAAATAGGCTTTCTTTGTGTACTTTCAGTTTAGTCAAGTATGACTTAGCAATCTTGTCAATGGACCTCAATTGATTGTTCTTCAATCCTATTACCAATTACATAAAAAAAAAACCAAGAGATTGGCAGATTTCCTGCATGAAAATGATATCTGCACACCTGGACCCCCAAACAGTATCAAGTAAAACAAATATAAATGAATGTTTATAAGGTTCAGAAATGGAAAGGCCAAAATCAATCTTGACATCCTATTTATCATAAGTGACATAATATTGGATATAAGTACACACGCATTTGTTCAGCAGGGGTGGGTCGGAAGATATACGCCACATCAAAGGATATAATTTGACAACAACAGTCAAACTCACATGTTTCACTCCTAAACGTCTTTTACTCAAAATTGATAAAAGCTACAATCGTGACAATCATACAACACTCAAAGTATCACATGATTTTCATCTAAGCCTTTTCAAGTTATTGCACAAGTCTCACTTTCTGCTACTTTAATGTCTACAACTCAATAACAATAAAAGTTAAATTCGTGAAAGTCTAACTTGACCTTCATTTAGTCTCAAGAAAGAACATATCTAAATTTGAAAAAATTTCGTCAAAGCGTTTCAAGTTATTGCACGGACACTGCCGCCCGCCGTACATCACCAAATTAATAACCGATATGTTCCTTTGGAAATCCGGTCAAAAATTCAGTCAATTAGAAAAAAACGTTAATGCATTTTCGTTTTGATGGTTTTTGGTATCAAGATAGTTAAACAAATATAAAATAAATCACCATACTAATGCTTAACAGGACTGAATGACAGAGTATAATGTTGTGTGATAATTTAAAAAAAAAGTATACATGGTGCTGCATCAGGCAAATGTCGCTGTTCTGAACTTCTCTGTTTTGACAAAAAATGTAAATTTTGAGGACACCGTTGTGTTGACTCATTAGTATATGTTCGGAGTCAAAAAAAAATTGATAAGACCTTTACAATGACACATATAACTTAATTTGACTAAAGCTAAACCCTTTAGCACTGTATAGTTAGATAAAAGGTATACGTAGTATACCATTGCCCATAATCCTCAGAGAAAAACGCTACTGCATATATACATCAAGATAGATGAACACCGTTTATTAACATTAGAGTCAAATTATATTTCATAAGCGCTTTGAAAAGATTAAAAAACTGAAAGGGTAGTGTCATATAAGAAACTTTTTTATGAAAAAATGCTTGGTATTGATAAAGCATCAAATGAATTACCTGGTTTTTCTGGAATTTTGATATTCATTTTCAAAATACTTTCTACAACAACGTTTGCAACATGTGGTTTGGGTACAGTCGCCGACGTGCACCAGATTGACTTAGAATGTACAGCTGGTACTTCTTTTGGCACTTCATCCGCTTCTTTTTCTTGAAATATTTCCAGTTCTCCCTCTGGTTGTTCGCAACTTTCGTTAACTCCGATGTTGAAAACGCGGGAATTATTTCTATTACTTTGCAGTGTTATACACTTTGTGTCCTCGTCTGCCATGTCTGTCAAGTTTCCATTTAGTTTGAGCTATATACATATATAGAAAAAGGCAAAGATTCAGCTAGGAAAGTCTTCTATTTGAGTAAAGTTCAAAATCATCTTAATTTCTCGAACTAATTCATACACACAGAAAGTAAGTATATATGATAGTAAGTTTTCAAAAATGTGGTAAGTGCATCGGTAAAAGCCAATATTTCGGGTTTCAAATTTGTTATAGTAAATAACATGTTTTTTTCCAAAAGTTATGTAAAAATACAAGTTCTGTTCTGTATGATAGTTGTCTTATTAGCAAGCATACCATGCTCCTTATTCTATATCCATATACAAAGTAAATGTTTATACTTAAGAATAGATGATAAACCTCAGTGGCGGGTTAAGTTGGCGCAGGGCTTACGTACCCCTTTTAATCATCAACAAAAGTCTCATGATTTATAAGATTTTTTCAGCATAAAATCGTCAAAAAAAATTTCAGTATATATTCTCTATCCTGGAATTACAACCCCCTTTTATAATATCCTGGATCTGTCCCTAAATCGGACATACTTCATAAGAAATTATGTATGATCATTATAATTATGATTAATCATGTAGTAATGTAAGTAAATACAATTGTGTTTCTATTGAAGACTAGAAAATCTTACATTGAAACTCTGGCCGATTTGTGCATGGTAAACGTCACTTTTCTGTAATGTAGAACAATCATATCCATTGCCTGTCCAGTTTTCGATTCTTTGATCTAACTGTCTCATTCCAGCGCATTCCAGGACGAGTTCAGATGACTTACTGTTTATCCATTTAGTCAGCAGGAAAAATACAACCCGTTTCTTTCTGTAAATAGAGCGTTCTATGGCGCTAACCACTTCCAACAAATCTGTATCTACCTTTTTCTTTCTTGATACTGAGTAACTATGAAAAGAGCGTATCTCTGATAGGCATGTTTTTATCATCAATATACATGTGTACAACAAATTAAGAATGACACATTTTTGTCCCATTAGAAATTGCTTTTTATGCCCACCTACGATAGAAGAGGGGCATTATGTTTTTCGGTCTGTGCATCCGTTCGTTCGTCCGTCCGTCCGTCCGTTCGTCCGTCTGTCCCGCTTCAGGTTAAAGTTTTTGGTCAAGGTAGTTTTTGATGAAGTTGAAGTCCAATCAACTTGAAACTTAGTACACATTTTCCCTATGATATGACCTTTCTAATTTTAATGCCAAATTAGAGTTTTTACCCCAATTTCACGGTCAATTGAACATAGAAAATGATAGTGCGAGTGGGGCATCCGTGTACTATGGACACATTCTTGTTGTAGCTTCATATATTTTGTTGCCAAACAATTATTCTTTATTTTATTTCCAGGTGATTAATTTTTATCACGAATAGAAAACTACGATAGTAGAACAGGCCAATTTATTTTTTCGGTCAGACTGACTGTAATCTGGTGGCGGCAACGTTTGTAAATCTAGAAATATGATTGCAATCATAAGCAAGAACATCAACAACTACAACAAAAACATCAAGTCAAGTTCACTTACAATGAGAAATGGTTGACATAAAAGAATGCTGACTTTCCGTCTGGATTAATCGTTGCATCTCTAATTTCCCAGTCTAATTCTGAGTCCTCTGGTTGGTCAGTTGTTGAGGTCAACACGACGATATCGTCTGACACGGCCTCCATATCATGTATTGGTTTGACTACACGTATTGGTTCCTTTGGTTGTTGTCCATTGTTTACTGTCAGTTCTAAGACGTTAGTCAGTAATATAGCTGTGCCATTGTCTTCTTCTTTATTGATTTCTTTAGTTTCTACAATCTAAGAAAAAAATGACAAAAATATGTTCAAACATGGTGTATACTCTGCAGCCAGGCCTCGACACATATTGGCACCTGTATAACTTGTCGTAATTCATTTCTCGGTAAAGTTATATAATTATAAATAATGTATTCCTAGACCAAATGAAACTTTTGGCAAAAATTCTCACGGAATATGATATTTCATCTCAAGTAATCACTAGAGTAAAGTCATCACAAATTCAAGCTTTTTTTATATCAACATTACACGATTTTATATGTTCATTCAATGAAAGGATAGACTACTTCGTTACTTATGTCGGCAAGAAAAAGACCAAAAGATAAACAACAGTATACAAAACACAACATAGAAAACTAAAGACTGAGCAACACGAACCCCACCAAAAACTGCATGGGTTGATCTCAGGTGCTCCGAAAGGTGTAAGCAGGTCCCGCTCCACATGTGGCATCCGTCGTGTTGCTCATGTAAGTACACACGCGGTTTGATAATTTTGCATGCATTACTAACCACCAACTTGTACAATTCTTAGACTTACAATCTTTTGATGAATTATGTCGTTCTTTCATGTGATTGCCTGGAGAAGTTTCGAGTTAAAAGTATACCTTATTCAGATTCAAATCGTAAATTTAATTGATTTATGACTATAGGTTCTTCTAGTTATTGTTTCAATGCTTACATTTACTGCCATTTCACTAGGTTGCTCAAAAGTCCCTTGCGGTATATCGATTTCTGCGTCAGGTTCCATCTGTGGAATAATCGTTGTTGCTTGTTCATTTGATATAGCGAATATTTCTGGTGTAGAGTGCTTTACAATAGAAAATCTGGACAGCTTCCTTTCTTCTAATGGAACACTGACTAGTACTTCTGTGAACTGAAACATTTGTTTTTCAATATATTCTTGATATCCATATCAAAGAGGTGAACATATTAACTTCTATGTTGTAATGTTACACTACTATTTCAGGTTAGGGTGAAGGTTGACGCCTGTTAAAACGTTTAAACCCGCTGCATTTGTTTGCACCTGTCCTAAGTCAGAAATCTGTTTCAGTGGTTGTCGTTTGTTGATGTGGTTCTTAAGTGTTTCTCGTTTCTCGTTTTTTATATGGATTAGACCGGTTTTTCCCCCCGTTTGAATTGTTTTACAATAGTCATTTTGGGGCTCTTTATAGCTTGCTGTTCGGTGTGAGCCAAAGCTCCGTGTTGAAGGCCGTACTTTGACCTATAATTGTTTACTTTTTACACATTGTGACTTGGATGGAGAGTTGTCTGATTGGTACTCATACCACATCTTATTTCTATATATTGGTCAAAGTTTGTTAATCTTATTATGAAAAATAGGAAATACATTGTATTCTATAATTGCAAATGAGACAATTTAACTATTCACCAAGGCCGGAGGAGATTCATTTTTTTCTTCTATCAAAACTCATTTTTTTACTACTAGTAAACGAAAGAAAATAATGATAGAAAACTTCCCCTTAAATATGAAAATAAGCTTGACAAGACCATGAAGAATGTGTAACATATCTTGAGTTGTCGAACATTTTTGAACTGTAAACTTTCTGAACACTTATCTATATATTTGCTTCTACATCTACCTAAAAAACTTCAAAATACAGAAATGAAGGACTCCCTCCCCCCCCCCCCCCCCCCCCCCCCCCCCCCAAATCCAGACCATCATTTATGATGAAGCAGCGTTTGGGATATTTGAAAGATTCACTGACTGTACATACGTCATCTTCTACGTCACTATCCTCAGCAAGATGTCTATAAACGTTTGTTACAGAAACAGGCTTTCCTTCAAGAGCAATGGCAAACAACTTTTCACTACACTGTGTCACACCAGGCACTGTTAATTTCAGTTTTAAATTTTGACTTGAGCAATCCCAAATGCAGAGTTCGTATGTGTCGCCATAAGTTTCTTGTTCGTCTGTTAATTTACTCCGAATTTCAGAATATTCTGTCTGCATTTTACTGCAATAAAAGTAAAACGGCGAAAACGTATCGCATTTCAGTACTTCCACTCCAATATTGTCAAGTTTGATTCCATCTTTAGGTGAAACATATAAAACTGTCTGTAAAATTGATCTGAAACAAATGATTTTCATATTGCTAATTGATCAGTGTTAAAATGCCTATGTTTATTCCCATCACTATGTACGATGCACTATAGCTTTGAAACCTAATAAATTCGTGATTTTACAGTTACTACACTAATGTCCGTCGGTGGCTTCCCGGCTTCCTCCACCAATAAAAACTGACCGCCACGAAATAACCATTAGTGCTTAAAGTGGCGTTTAACACCAATCAATCAAGCAATCAATGCAAGTAGATCTAAGAAGAGCTTTTGATAAGATTTAAAAAAAAAAAGGCTATATTTGTAACTAGCTTCAGGAACTAAAAATGCACTGAACACTGGAAGAATATGATCTACCAAGCTTGTATTGTTATTCTTCATCTCAAAGTCACAGTGAGGGTTCAACATGAATCAAATGCTCGTCCCTCACTGCAAGTGACGGATTATAATAATTGACCAAACCAGTAAAAATCAACTGTGGTGAAGGGAGAAGTACAATTTGTACCATTTGATTGGTAAAAACAGTCAAATGAACAGATAGTCACAATTTTAGTTTTGAGCAGTCACTTTTGGTTGCTAGTTTTAACAAAAAGCATGTTTTTTTTTAAACAGAACTGTCCCTTTATTTTATACCGCACAGGCGCTAAAGATCATCAGATAGGGCAACAAATAATTAGTATCGCAAATGTTAAATGAAGTCATCCCAACAAAATCTTTTGTTTTGCGGTATTTGTGTTAATATCTTATTTAATAATAAACATACCCATATTTATAACCTGGCATTCGACTATGTTGGCTAACAAGCAGTTCTAATATCTGATTTTCTTTTTGGTCAAGTTCTTCCATTGTCCAAGACTACAAGGTAAGAGACATGTAAGCAAAGAAAAGCAACACTAATTGTTTATTTGTTGATATTGGGCTTTGAACTAGCTTTCAGTAATTTGGAGTACTCTTGGGTCGGTTTTTTGTATATCGTTGTTTTTTTCTGTTTGTTTTTATGATTATTGCCAGTCTGATGAGTCAAATGCTTTCTAACTGATTTTTTACATTTTGTTCTTTGTTGTGATGTTACATTACTATCTCAGGTATGGGGGTCACAAACATATTGAATTTCATCAAATTCTGAACGTGCCTGTCCCAAGTCAGAACTATGTAACCCAGTGGTTTTCTTGTCTTGCTGTCTGTCATAGTTGCCAGTGTTTTCTTATATTGTGGTAAGCATAAATCAGCTCATAATTTTCTATCATGAATTGTTTCACATTATGTATGCCGGTGTTTTTTATAGCTTTATTTACTGTTTGACTTTTGTTCATTGTAGAAGGCCATATGGTAATCTGTAGTTGTTTACATCCTCTTCCTGTTGGTATTTTGTGGATAATTGTTTCATCGTCATTCATACAACATCTTCTTATTTTTGTAATACATCTTTTTTTTTCTAGGATTAAATCCCAGTTCAAATTAATCGTTTAAATTATGAAAGACTAATTGTTTGTCAAATTCCTTTATCGACCAAAAAGATTTCAGACACGAATAGTATAACAGATTAACCAAGTGTTAATTACACCAGACATGTATTTCTTTCAAATAGACGAGCATAAACCTTGTTTTTATCAGAACGAAAGATGCCTTGTGTGCACATTAAACATATTTATTCTAAAACCAGTTGTTGGCATGACACGGGTTATGTTCTTCTCATATATTTTATGATGGTATAATACTAAACCCCTAACAGGAGGGATTGTGACTGATATTCATATGATGAAGACATAATCTTTCAATCAGTTTAATTGAGGTCTGGAGCTGGCATGTCAGTAACTGCTAGTAGTCTGTTGTTATTTATGTATTATTGTCATTTTTGTTTATTTTCTTTTGTTTCCTATTCTGAAATCGGACTCGGACTTCTCTTAAACTGAGTTTTACTGTGCGTACTGTTGTACGTTTGTTTTTCTACATTGGCTAGAGGTATAGGGGGAGGGTTGAGATCTCAAAAAACATGTTTAACCCCGCCGCATTTTTGCGCCTGTCCCAAGTCAGGAGCCTCTAGCCTTTGTTAGTCTTGTATCATTTTTAATTTTAGTTTCTTGTGTATAATTTGGAGTTTAGTATGACGTCCATTATCACTGAACTAGTATACATATTTGTTTAGAGGCCAGCTGAAGGACGCTTTCCGGGTGCTGGGGATTCTCGCTGCATCGAAGACCCATTGGTGGCCTTCGGCTGTTGTCTTCTCTGTGGTCGGGTTGTTGTCTCTTTGACACATTCCCCATTTCCATTCTCAATTTTATTTTACAATTGATATTGTCATAATATATGAGGGTCTAAATGGAGGTCTCTCATTTTTTATTCTTTCAGTTTTTAGCCCTTTTTCTCTATTCTTTATTTATTTTGCCCATAATTCTCAATTCTTTATATTTTAGCACCCCATTATTATACAGTCTGATTAAAATCCGATGTTGTGAAACGCTACGCTCCCTCTTAGGGTGGAGAGTATGGTAGCGAAAACTAACAGTTGATTTTAATGAGATTGCAGTATTATCTATTCTTTATTTTCCCCCTTTTATTCTGATTTATTGGCCCATTATTTTCTATTATGTAAATCCTATCCAGATCCGCATACATCGCTTGTAGTCAAATTCTGCCTTATGCAAACTCTAAACTGATGTTGCGGAGATTTTTTAGTCAAATAGTGCAGGTATTTATTAACAGGTGACTATAGATCAAGCTTTTTCCTTACCCAGTCCTGTAATGACGGTTCAGCACCAAACAAACAGAATAGCTTGACCATCTCAACATTTCTAGATTTAACGGCTACTTCCAGTGGTGTCTGGCCATGCTGTATGAGAGGAAATATTCCATTTTAGTTAAAATAAATATGTTGGGTTGTTCTAATATCGTTGCTTATAGGAATTACATTTTTGTTATACTTGTTCGATTACATTTTTGTTATACTTGTTCGATTAAACTGTTGCTACACTTGTTCGATTGCATGTGTGTTATACTTGTTCGATTACATTTGTTATGCGTGTTCGATTTACTCATATGTCATAATGAATCATTCATCAGAATTTGATCAGAAACAACTTTTTGATTTTTTAAAAGATATGTAAAATACATTTTTAAATTTGGTATCTTGCAATGTTTTATTAGAAGTTTCAATTGATTGGACGAATTTATTTTTGCACTGGAGAAAAAGGTACACTCATCTAAATATTCATTACCAACCTTGTCATATTTTGAAATATTTGCACCAAGTGTTACAAGAGAAACAGCACATAGAATATGTCCGCGTCTAGAACATTTATGCAGTGGGGTCTCTCCATTCTGAAAGGTGTGAATTAAATCCAAAGTTAGTAATCAAGTTTTTTACAATTGGAATTTGTAATTCTTTCTTAAATTTGCTATGAAAGAAAAAAAGTCATTTAATACCTTTCGTTTTCAATAGTGATTGTTTCTGTTTATTGTTTTCGCTGCTAAATATAGGTCTTCGCCTTCCAAACATTTATTCAGTTGAAGCAAAAACTCGAAATTAAAATGTGCCTACCCAAACGATGGTAAACACATATAGAATGTTTTATCGATCTAAAATTTTTGCACTGCGTAATAAGTATTACAGAAAATAGTTAGTGTGATTGATTGATTGTTGGTTGCTTAACGCCCAGTGGCAAATATTTCATGCATGTTCAGAACGATATTTAGCGTGATGTTTTTCATTAACTTTCCGTTATATACAATATCTTACACGATCTTTCTTATTGACACGGACTCCTTTCTTTACCAATGTTTTTACCAAGTCTGTATATCCGCCTGCTGCAGCATAATGTATTGCATTCCAACCAGCCTAGATATAAACTAGATAATTTAAACTTTATTTATTCATAATAAAAAAATTATTCGAATTGTGTTAATGTGATTATTTTGATTGTTCATAGGCGGATCCAGGAGGGGGGCCCTGGGGGCCCGCCCCGCCCCTTTCGTGGGAAAAATTTGGTTGATTATATAGGGAATCACTGAAGCATGACTGGAGCGGGACCCCCCTTAGGTCAGTCAGCGGGCCCCCCCTTATGGAAAGTTGTGGATCCGCCACTGTTGTTGTTATACAATCGAGAGAGAAAAAAACGGAAAACATCTGTGGACAAACAAAAAAAGATATTTTGTTTTCAAATGAGGCTTTAGAGTTAATAAAATTGAAAATTATTCAAGATGACAACATTTCTGATCGTTTATTTTATGTTACGAAAATAAGGATACCCAAACGTAAAGCTTGGACAAACAATGTACACAAATATTGCGATTTGCTAAAAAGGAATATGTTTATTAATTGTAAACGAAACTAAAGAATAAAGAAAATAAAAGTAACTGTATCTCTCTTTGTCATCAGCTGTCTATATCTCACAGAAAGTGAGCTTCCATAGGGCAATAGTCTTGCATGCCAAATGCAACTGCATTTATTATTATTTTTTTTTTAAAATATGTGAGAAATTGGATCAACATTCTGTAGTGATGTTAATATAAGTAAACTCTCGCTTTATGTTGTATGTTCGTTTTGCTCCAGCGTTCGTTTTCGGTATCTTCGGATGTTTTTTCGTAAAGCGCTGATTAATTTGTGAGTGTTGTACTATCCTTTAGATAGACGATTTTGACACTCAGTCTTTTTCACGAACTACATGCAACAAAGCAGATAAACTGCAAAATTAATGGTTGAAGTTCTTATGAAATGTTTAAATACCTCATCTTTACAATTTAAGTCTACTTCTTCTTCCAATAAGGAATTTGCTTGTTTCAGCTGTTTGTTCTTAGTCAACCAAATTAGCTTTAGTCCACGTGTTCGCTGAAACAATATTGAAATACAAAAGGTTGCGATACATGTAACTAATTATTACAGTATTTCATCATTAAAATCATGCATAACATAACATATTTAGAAATGTCAATTTCGTAAAAATTGCACATAAGTATTTTCTACATTCTTTGTAATTATTTATATACAGTGGCAAGGTTCTTAAACACACGGGTTTACACCGTTGGTATAATTTGGTAACTAGCAAACGTTTTGGGATTTTTGTTGATAGACTCAATCACTCATGATATGTCATATTAACTTAATGATTGAAAAGGACAGACATAGAAAAATACATCTAGAAACCGATAATGTCCTCTATGTAAATCTGAAGTTGAATTTGGAATGCACTTCAATATATATTTACAGTAGGTGTTCAAGTCATACAAATCCTGATATTTTATTGGCTGAAAGACGAATCATCTGTTTCGGTCATATGTTTTCATTTTGAATGAAAACAACCCATGCAGTATGATTATAGAATTATTAGCTCCGCCTACCAAGTTAATTAACTACGGAAGCCGATAAGGGTCATTGAAAAAAAAAATTATGTCGTAATTACGACATAGTATGTCGTAATAACGACATATTATGTGGAAATAACGACATCGCTATGTCGTAATAACGACATAAGGATGTCGTTATAACGACATCTATATCGTAATTACGACATCGCTATATCATCTATAACGACAACCTTAGAATTGCTACTTTGTGAGCATCGACACACTTTGGGAAACAACATTTGCATCTTTATTTTAAGAACCACTTATCAGAATTGAATCAAACTTGATATACGTCCTATTAAAGTTGCTTCATAGTTACCCATTGGTTAGAACACATGACCGCCAAGGGACTTTGAAAAAATCAATGTTCAAATCTTCTTCTCAAGATCGCTGAAATGACTGAGTTTAAACTTAGTATAAATATGCAATGTGTACCTAGTATCAAGCTCCTTAAAAAGAGATTTTACGTTTTGAGCTGATCCGAAGTTAAAAATGGCCACCAGTGAGGGCAAAGTTTGTATCAAAACCCTATCGTAAACATATTCATTTTTGAGAATGATAACCACTGAATTTAATCAAGCTTAATTAATATTAAAGTTAGTTACTCTATATGTCTGCACATAATAGAACTTTATTTTATGATCAAGTCTAATGGGACCCATTGAAATGGTGAACGATTCAGGCTCCTTGGAGCCTCTATTTATATTTGGCATGTATGTAGATCACATCAAGAAGATGTGTTTAGTACCCGCAGGACTATGTGTGCTATTGCAATCGCTTGTCGTCCGTCGTCGTCTGTAGTTACCGTTAAACTTTTACTTTTAAAGATTACAAAAATCACAAAATGTTGATAAAAGTTTAGCCGCCGTCGCAGAAAAATCAATTCCTTTGTTTTGTTATTTTTGACGTCCATCGCAGGCGAGGCAAAAATCTGTTATTTCGCTATGTGGTCTATTTGTATAGTATTGTGGAAATAATTGCATAAAGTTGGAGATTGCATGTGAGTAACGTAAGCGCGTAACTGTTTTTTATATCCTGTGGTGTTTGTCGTTGATGAAATATGTTCGTTGTTGTTCTGCAGTTTACATGTTTTGCGACTATTACTACACTGTAGTATATTATTTGTTTGTGCGTTTCTCTGTGATGAATGTTCTTGCGTGTGTTTGATCTGTATTTCTGTCACGTAGTGTTATCATTTCAGCGACATTTTTAACATTGTCATAAAGCGGGAGGTTTGGCTAGCCATTAAACCAAGTTCACCCACCATTTGTTCTTAAAATGTCCTGTGCCAATTCAGGAATATGACAGTTGTTATCAAATAGTTCGTTCTATGTATGTTAAGGGTTTATTTTTGTTCACTTTAGTGTTCCTGTTGTTCGTTTATTTTCCTCTTACAGTTGATATGTTTCCCTCGGTTTTAGTTTGTAACCCGGATTTGTTTTCTCTCAATCGATTTATGACCTTTGAACACCGGTATACTACTGTTGCCTTTATTTAGTAACAGTGTCCATGCTGTTGGTTGATAGGTGAAGGTCAGGGGATCCATTAGGCTCGATTATTAGGGGTCCAAAGTTTAGCATAGGCCCCAATGGAATAAGCTTTGAAAATAATCTTCTCTTTAAGAACTACCAGGCCATATTGGATCAATCTTAGAGAATGGATGATCCTTATATGATGAGGACTAAATATAAAAGAAGATGTGGTATGATTGCCACAAGAAACCAAATGACACAGAAATTAACAACTATAGGTCACCGTACAGCCTTCAACAATGAGCAAAGCCCATACCACATAGTCAGCTATAAAAGACTCCGAAATAAGAAATGTAAAACAGTTCAAACGAGAAAACTAACGGCCTAATTTATGTACAAAAAATAAACGAAAAACAAATATGTAACACATCAACAAGCAACAACAACTGAATTACAGGCTCCTGACTTGGGACAGGCACATACATACAGAATGTGGCGGGGTTAAACATGTTAACGGGATCCTAACCCTCCCCCTAAGTTTGTAGGAATAGTTGTCATTGGGAACATTGGTTTAAAGAACTTTGGGTCCAAAGTTTAATACAGGCTTCAATGGGGAGGACGCTGTAAGAATCTCATTAAGAACTAACAGTAGCAATGCAGTTATAATTTGCATCAAGCATCAGTAGGCCATTAAGATGCAATTGTGTACAAATGAAGGTACATAGGTCCATGGGTCTGAGCATTAGGAGTCCAAAGTTTAACATAGTCTTTATTTGGAAAAGCTTAAAATTCATCTTCTTTAGAATCTGCAATGGAAATGCAGTCATATTTTACACGAATCTGTACATGCCAAACATAACTAGAGGCTCCAAGGAGCCTGAATCGCTCCCCTGTTCAACTGGGTCTCATTTGACTTGATTATAAAATAAAGTTCTAGTATGTGCAAGTAAATAACTTTAATTAAGCTTGATTGCATTTAGTGTTCATTATTCTCCAAAAAAAGATGAATTTGTTTACGCTACAAACTTTGCCCTCACTGACGACCATTTTGAATTTGCTATCGCCTCAAAAAGTAACAACGCTAAGGTTGTCGTAATTATGACATAGCGATCAGGAGCCTGTAATTCAGTGGTTGTCGTTTGTTGCTGTGTTACATATTTGTTTTTTGTTCATTTTTTGTACATTAATAAAGCCGTTAGTTTTCTCGTTTGAATTAAATTGTTTAACATTTGTCATTTCGGGGCCTTTTATAGCCGACTATGCGGGGGCTTTGCTCATTATCGAAGGCATTATGATGACCTATAGTTAATTTCTGTGTCATTTAGTCTCTTGGCAATCATTATACATACTCTTTGTTTATATATATAGCGATGTCGTTATAACGACATAAGGATGTCGTTATAACGACATAGCGATGTCGTTATTACGACATAGTGATGTCGTAATTACGACATAGTTATGTCGTTATTACGACATGCTATGTCGTAATTACGACATAAATTATTTTTTTCGAATGACCCTTATCGGCTTCCGTAATTAACACTATTTTTCGAATTGTTCGTTTACTTAGTGTCAACAATTATACTTTGTTTAAAAATTGCAAATTTGATTATTTTGAAAAAAGAACATATCTTGTAAATATTGATAACTGAAATAAATATATAACAATAAATTCTTATCATGATATAACACATGTATAAAAATTATGGAAATCAGATAATATCTTACGAGCTATCAGACTATCTATCTACTTTGATGCCGAAAAAAAAACTGCACTTGCAAATCTTTTTTTAAACAGAATTCCACGTATGTTCGTTAGTTTTGAGATCTTTGTCATGAAATCAGGATTACAGTATTAACAGAAGTCATGGATATTAATTGATCTCGGAATTGTCAATCTTGTACACGTTTAATGTTCTTTGACTACAACTGAACATACTGTGATTTTCTGTTTCACAGTATATAAAAACATGTTTACACTAATAAACACTTACAGTAAATTCTGCTAACTTCTCTTCTTCAATCTCCGCCATGTTTCATTGTCGTCAACTGTGTATGGAGTTAGATGTACAACTAACAATTATATAAAATTCGAATAAATTGCTAACTAGCGATACCTGGTAAAAAATATATAGGTAGTGCTAAATATGACGTGTCAAAGTTGTTTGAGCTAACATTCTTTAATGTGCGTCCTCCCTTTTCACACACAGTAGCACTGCAAATTTGATAAAGAAAAGAAAAAGTGAAAAAAGAAAAAAAAAGTGTTAACTTACAGTTGAAAGTGTTGTTTATTTTTTAGTGTTTTTTTAATTTTGTCCTAAGCATTAATCGGAACCAATTTCTATCTACGCATTAATCGGAACCAATTTCTATCTACGCATTAATCGGAACCGTCACAATATTATGAAAGTATTTGTCTCGTTAAATACCAAAACTCTTCCTGATATTCAATGTACCCTCTCTTTAGAAAATCATATAGCAAAAGTCAATGCTCTATTAAATTGCTTTGTTGCTTTTTATAAGTTTTTCGCGTGCATATTGAATGACAGCTATTTGTTTTACTGAAATCAGGCAAATAATAGTGTCTTGTAGCTGATTGAATACGGTTACCAAAGTTTGAATTAATTGTTAAATATCATAAAAGGTGATGTGAGGTATGGGTCAATGAGACAACAATTCAACGACATATACAACCAAAATACATTTAGAGGTCAACCAACATTTAAAAACAATCTGTTTTATGGGGAACACAATTTTTTTGCCAATATGAAATAAGGAGATGTGGTATTATTGTCAATGCGACGACAGTGGTAAATACGATACTTATGGGTCAAATGTAATGTTTGGATAACACTGTTTCTCGCACAAAAACACATTTATCTGTGACTGCTTTACAGATACTGTCCACAGTATTAATGCCAGATTATTTCAGATTATTTATTTTTTTGACATGTTCCTGATCATATTAACACATGCAATCTTAAAGTGGAAGCCGTTTATATGAACCACCCGTCACTGGAAAAGATTGCTGCCGCACGTCTATGGGTCAGTTAAAAACGTAGAATTTTTAAATTGCAAAATTGAATAAAACATACTGGTTTAAACCATCATTCTTTTAAGCAAATCATAACAAACAATATTTCTTGAACAACATATGAAAATTGCAATCTTAATGATCGATGTCAGAATTTATACGATGGAGGTTTCCTCCCCGATGATATCACTATCCCAGTATTTAGCACTTCTGTGTTGACATGAATTATCGTTGATATGGTCGTAATTATAAATTAACTGCTTACAAAACTTTGATTTTTTTCGAAATACTTAGGATTTTCTACCCAAGGAAAAGATTGCCTTAGCTGTATTTGGCAAAACCTTTCGGAATTTCGAGTTCTCAATGCTCTTCAACTTCGTACCTTGTTTGGTCCTTTCAACCGTTTTGATTAGAGCGTCACTGATGAGTCTTTCACGTTAGACGAAACGCTCGTTTGGCGTACAAAATGTTAAGCCCCAGTATCTATGATGATTTTGTTAAAACATTTTTTGATAGATGGCGTTATATTTTTTCTTTCCTGTTACCATTTTCAGAAGAAATTTTCAGCTATCTTAATTAAGAAAGATTCTCGCTCAAACTTTAAGCTTGTTTTTCGTGAACTTTTTTTTCTGTGTATAATTGATAGATTGTTTGTCAATGTTCAATTTTGTACCGAAAGTACTCTAAAATGATTTTCAAAAGTCGTAAAAATGCCCACCAGCAAAGATAGTTTCAATATAACAATTATAAGTCTTCAAATTCAGTTATCTGTTCCCTTTCTAATAAACACAACATCAAGAATTTACTTCATATAGTGTTTTACTTTTGTTGTTGGTCACGGGAACACGCTATACGTAACCATGATATACCTATCACCATGTGTATGTGTATGATTGTCTGTTTGTTTGTTTTTTATCTTAAGCAAATTTAGTTCTATCCTAGCCTGTTACTCTTATTGTCTAACCTGTTACATGTACTCGTATTGTCTATCCTGTTTTCAATAGCAGTATTACATATTGGGTGTGCTAAATTGCGAAGATAAACTGAGATGTTTTAATCTTGAAATCAGTTCAAATAATCAAACATTGAATTTGTGTAACAAAAATATATATCAATCTTATATATTATTTGAAGAAGAGTCGATAAAAAATAATCTATCCTGTTATTTTAACCATATCAACAGGATAGAATGTATCCGAGACTACTATGAGACTGTGTTATGGTAGTACAGTCCGGCTCAGAATTTATGCAGTGATACTGTTTTCTTTTTGGTCTTGGTTTTCAAAAAGTAATTGGACTTTTTACAATATAAAAATAAAGAGATGTGGTATGATTACCAATGAGCCATTTAACTACCAAAGTTCAAATGAAGTGTACCGGTATGTAAGTAATTATAGGCAACCGTACGGCCTTCAACAATAAGAAAAACCCATACAAGCATAGTACTGATTTCATTGATACCTTTGTTGGCAACAGCATAGGCATGCTAGTAAGTTCCATTGTTTTCACTAATTATCTGTAATTTTCCTTCTTTATACTTTCATGCAAGAAACCTGTGGGTCTTTGGGACGAGGGATAACTGTGGTACGAAAGGAACTTAACTAACGTCATCCATTGTAGCTCTCTAAAAAGAAGATTCATTTGATTGAAAAGGGGAAAGCGAGAAAGCCAGGTGCCCTATTTTTTGTGTCCTAAATACTTAAACTGCTCGTCAGTTTCCTACTTATAAATAACTTTCTTATTATAGACATCCCCACATCCTTCAGGCTGTTTTTTTTTAAGTGGCCAAAGTATGATTTATGGTAAAAGTCCAGTCGTAGGAAGGCGTCCCTATCAAAAAGTTAAAATTATCATGACGTATTATTTTTTGGACTATCCGTTTAGAGTACTCAAAAGAGAATACCCCCTCCTCATGTGGGTACTTTTAAAAATATCAATTTCAGATTAATGTATAACAATAAATTAGAACTTACTCCGTTATGAAGGCAACATTCTGACCGAATTAAGTACCATAATAATGAAGAGAGGGAAGAATGAGGATCAGTATATAAGACACTTTTGTTCACCTTTGAAAAGGTTCAAAGATAATATGTTGCGCTTTTACTTTGCATCAATTCTCCAAATGGAACTTTGTGACTGCATGGTTGATAAGTTGCGGTTTTGAATTATTTGGCAAAAAGGAACTTTCTAACTAGTTGATATGTTCCGTTGGAACTTTTCAACTAGTCACTTTGTTCGGTGGAACTTTTAAACCAGAGGGAGAACAAAGTAATTAGTATCCGGAACTTTTCGGCTAGTTAGTTCTTTCCGCCCGGATCTTTCCAACGTTGGACAGTCAGGGGTGCTACTTAAACAAGTGATTTCATCATCACTTATTTCAGTGATTTGATAAATTCAGTTATCACCTATTTAAGTGATTTAAGTGTTTTCTTTGATCTTCAAATGCTAATTTCATTGATTTTCCATATTTTCACAATCTTTTCTATAATTTTCCTACATAAATCAATTATCCCTTTTTCTTTGTATATTAATTTCACCAGTGCGCTTGGGCAGTAAGTTAGTGCGCTAAAGTTTTTAAAAGTACCCTTGGGAATTTTTCTGTAATCAAAAATTCATTAACTACTCTTACTATCAGACAAAGATCAACAATATTAGGTAACCTGATTGGTTTTCTTTAGAGTTAGAATGATCTACTTCAAGGTTATGACCTGATCTACAAAATATTCCAGTTTTTGCATATTTTAAAAAAACAGTAAAAGTGTCAGGCTTATCAAGCAAAAGACAATTTCTGCATGTACATAGTTGTTTTTTCAATGGAATTGTTGTCTTTTTACCAATAAAAAAATCAAGCTTGTGGGAAAAATATCAAGAAAATGTTATAAACACTTATTAAAGTGATTACATTTAAACTTCTAAAATTACTTGTTTCAGTGATTTTAAAAAGTCTGTGTGAAAATTTTTAATATTTCACAGCCAAAATCACTCGAGGAAGTGATTCTGAAATCACTTGTTTAAGTAGTACCCCTGACTGTTGGAACAAAAGAGCATTTACATTTACACCATGAAATTTTCTCTGAATGCAGACAAAACTGTGTAATTCTAATAGTTTTAAATCCTGGCACAACCTAGATATATACAAGTTGTATTCATTTTGTGTTTTAAAAAGAAAAATACTTTTGTGGATTTTGCTTAAACATTTTCCTTCCTTGCCACAGGTGGTGTAAAAATAAACAAAGTCATGTGAAATCTTTGAGATGTTCCCCTCAGGTAATGATTGTATTGTATCATATTGATTGATATGGACAATAGAAATCTACTCACAACAAAGGTGATTTAAATAGTGTAAATGAGTGGACTGTATCAAAGAAAACTCAGGTGTTTAAATTTCACCATCTTCTGTGGCAAGGAAAGAAAATGTTCAACAAAATGCATAAAGTGTTTTAACTTTTTAGAACATAAATTGGATGTAACATTAATTTATTTAGGTGCTGCCAGGCATTAAAACTTTTAAAATTACACCGTTTTGTCTGTACTCAGAGAAAATTTCATGGTGTAAACACAGCCATTTTTGTTAAAGTGTATAGATGAACCTTAAACCACTTAAGGTTCATCATAACAAATGGACAAAAATGGCTGTGTTTAGACCTCAAATACTACTCTGAGTACAGACTAACCTGTGCAGTTGGAAAAGTTTTAAGGCCTGGCATCCACTAGATATATAAAAGTTAAATGCATTTTGTGTTTCAGAAAGATGAAATATTTTTTGGATTTTGATAGGCATTTTTTTCATTCCTGCAGAAGGTGTAAAAATAAACTAAGTTGGGATACAACTTTGAGATGCTCCCTCTCAGGTAACAACTGTATTGTACTGTATTGATTGTCCTTGATTGGCATGGACAATAGACAGACAATAGATATCTACACAACTATACATGTAGGTGAGTTAAAGGGTGTAACTGAGTGGACAGTATCAAATGCAGTTCAGGTGTGTGTTTATTTTTACACCTTCTGCAGGAAAGAAAAAAAATGCCCATTTTTACACCTTCTGCAAGAAAGAAAAAAAATGCTGTCTGTCTGTCTGTCTGTCTGTCTGTCTGTCCGGCGTAAACATGTCGCACCGTAACTTGAGAATGACTTATCCAAATTTCATGAAACTTAACATAGTTGTTTCTTATGATGGTCAAACGATCTGTATACTTTTTAGTGAAAATAAGATTAAAACTTTTTGAGTTACGGGACTATGTAACTAAAACAGGTGTGTGTTTTTTTTCACATGTTGCGCCGTATCTCAAAAACAATCTATGATTATTGCTTAAAACTTTACACACTTCTTAGTTATATTAACCTTAAGATCTGTATACTTTTTGGTGATGATTCAAAATTTTATTTTAGAGATATTGAGTATTTTGTTAAAAAAGGGGGAGGGGTTTTTCACATGTCGTGCCGTATCTCAAAAACGATTTATGATTATTGCTTAAAATTTTACACACTTCTTAGTTATATTAATCTAAAGATCTGTATACTTTTTGGTTTTGATTCAAAATTTTATTTTTGAGATATTGATTTTTTTTTTTTTAAAAGGGGGTTTTCACATGTCGCGCCGTATCTCAAAAACAATTTATGATTATTGCTTAAAATTTTACACACTTCTTAGTTATATTAATCTAAAGATCTGTATACTTTTTGGTTTTGATTCAAAATTTTATTTTAGAGATATTGAGTTTTTTGTAAAAAAAAAAAGGGGGTTTTCGCATGTCACGCCGTATGTCAGAAATTATTTATGCTTATTGCATAAAAATTCACACACAAGACGACGGGCGTATCATGCGCTCATGGCGCAGCTGTTTATTGTAAATAGGCCATGCTATTCCAGATATTTATAATGTTTTGTACGGCTTTTTATACGACCACAAAAAAATTTTGTGGTCGTATATTGGTATGACGTTGGCGTCGTCGTCGTCGTCCGGCGTCGTCGTCCGAATACACATTGGTTTTCGCACTCTAACTTTAGTTTAAGTGAATGGATCTTTTTGAAATGACTATAAGGTTAAATACCACAAAAGGAAGGTTGGGATTGATTTTGGGGGTTATGGTACCAACAGTTAAGGAATTAGGGGCCAAAAAGGGGCCAAAAATAAGCATTTTCTAGTTTCCAGACAATAACTGTGGAACGGTGTATGGATCTCTCTGAAATTATACTACAAGTTTCCATACCACAAAGGGATGGTTAGGATTTGCTTTGGGGGGTTATGGCTCAAACCGTTTAGGAATTAGGGTCAAAAAAGGGGGAAAAACAAGGTTGTCCTGGTTAATGGACAAATACTTTAGTACAAAACATAATTTAAAGCAGTGTAAGGGAGATAAATCAAATACATCATTGAAATTATCTCCCTTACACTGCTTTTAAATTATGTATAAAGTAATGGTTAATGAACAATAAAGATAATTTAAAACAGTGTAAGGGAGGTAATCCAAATACAACGTTTTGGTTACTTCCCTTACACTGCTTTTAAATTATGTTTAAAGAAATGCATATTTATAAAGGAAGACCAGTAAAAATATCTGCAAATGTTGCATCTTTTTTTTTACAAAAAAATCCATATGAAAGATTTGACACTATATTTTTAATTCTATTATAAAATAGATTAAGTTAGCACTATGGTAAATTTAAATGGGTAATTATGGTTGCCAACTCCATTGGAAATTTGAATTGAGATTTTGACCATATCTTGAGGGAAAGAATTTTTTGGGGGAAAAAAGGGGGGGGGGGATAAAAAGAAATTGTGGGGGGTCAATTTTTTCTCATTTCAGATTTCAGAAATTAAAAAGAATTATTCTTCAAATATTATTTTTTTTTCAAATTTCAAATATTGAAAAATTTCAAGAAGTAATCTTTAATTTTACAGTATGGCGCATTAGATTTGTAAAATCTTTGATCACATTTATTTATTTGTTATGCTGAATCTAACAGTGTATTTAGATTTTTAATTTTGGGTCCAGTTTTCAAATTGGTCTACATTAAGGTCCAAAGGGTCCAAAATTAAACTTTGTTTGATTTTAGCAAAAATTGAATATATGCGGTTCTTTGATATGCTGAATCTAAACATGTATTTAGATTTTTGATTTTTGGCCCAGTTTTCCAAATTGGTCCAAATTGGGGTCCAAAATTAAACTTTGTTTGATTTCAACAAAAATTGAATATATGGGGCTCTTTGATATGCTGAATCTAAACATGTATTTAGATTTTTGATTATGGGCCCAGTTTTCAAGTTGGTCCAAATTGGGGTCCAAAATTAAACTTTGTTTGATTTCATCAAAAATTGAATTATTGGGGTTCTTTGATATGCCAAATCTAACCGTGTTTTTAGATTTTTAATTTGGGTCCCGTTTTTTTTAAATTGGTCTTCATTGAGGTCCAAAGGGTCCAAAATTAAACTTAGTTTGATTTTAACAAAAATTGAATTCTTGGGGTTCTTTGATATGCTGAATCTAAACATGTGTTTAGATTTTTGATTATGGGCCCAGTTTTCAAGTTGGTCCAAGTTGGGGTCCAAAATTAAACTTTTTTTGATTTCAACAAAAATTGAATATATGGGGTTCTTTGATATGCTGAATCTAACCATGAATTTAGATTTTTTATTTGTGGGCCCCGCTACCAAATTGGTTCATATTGAGGTCAAAAGGGTCCAAAATTAAACTTTGTTTGATTTCATTAAAAATTGAATTATTGGGGTTCTTTGATATTCCAAATCTAACCGTGTATTTAGATTTTTAATTTTAAGTCCCGTTTTTTAAATTGGTCTACATTAAGGTCCAAAGGGTCCAAAATTAGACATAGTTTGATTTTAGCAAAAATTGAATTCTTGGGGTTCTTTGATATGCTGAATCTAAACATGTGTTTAGATTTTTGATTATGGGCCAAGTTTTCACGTTTGTCCAAGTTGGGGTCCAAAATTAAACTTTGTTTGATTTTAACAAAAATTGAATATATGGGGTTCTTTGATATGCTGAATCTAACCATGTATTTTGATTTTGGACATTGGACCATAATAGGTAAATTAAAAAAATTCAAGTTCTTAGACCACATTCTTTCTGTGTCAGAAACCTATGCTGTGTCAACTATTTAATAACAATCCAAATTCAGAGCTGTATCAAGCTTGAATGTTGTGTCCATACTTGCCCCAACTGTTCAGGGTTCGACCTCTGCGGTCGTATCAAGCTGCGCCCCAGCGAAGCATTTTATTGATTTATGTTTTTTGGACGCATTTTAGCGTAACAGCAAAAATTAAATATATATCCTCTCTAGACATCTTAATTATTTGGACTAGGGGCCATGCATGCAACAGTAATTAATAATCTGATAAATCAGCTGTTTCTTGATGGTATATTGTATATATATAACAAATGTTTAAAGAAGAAAGAAGTAGACATGTATGCTGCTGCTCAAAGATGGCTGCATTATTGCATAAATGCCTAATCATTAAAAATCATCAATCAATCATGAGGAGTTAGTTATTTATTTTTTTGGATAACACTGAAAAGCCAACTTATTAGATCTCCCCTAAAGATCTGATCAAAGTCTTGTCTAGTCTTTTAATGGATCATCTTAAAAAATGCAAATGTCCACATATGGAATTAAATACTTTCTAAACCTCTTCTTCTGTTATTGCAATTATTTATTATTTAAGTATTGCCCAGATCCACTTTAGGCAGGGTTGACTTGGGCTGATCCACTTGGGCTGGATTGGTTTGGGGTCAGTACACCCTGATTATGCTGATACATGTACATGTACCATCTAAATTTGGTATAAGGAATGATTGTAATGTGCTCATTTTGTTCAAGTCCCTCTGGCAGGTTTCGTCTGATCTTGTATTCCAATCAATCATGATCAGCAAGGCATGCCAAGCATTTCAGCGTGTGAACTTTTGTTAAATTCATATTAATGCAAAGGGTATACTTAAAAACAGAAAAAAATGTTTGATGCTCCATTTACGAATTTTAAGTCATTGTCTTCATTTAAGATAGTTAGAAATGTATATATTTCCTTAAGATCCATTTTGTTAAGATTAATAACCATGTACAGTATCAGGTAGTAACTGATCAAGAAATCTTTTTAAAATGGCTTTTTCTACATATATTTTACAGAAAATGAGGCTGGTTTTATTTGGATTGTTTGTTTTCGTCATTGGAATTGTTGCAGCAAGTAATCCACATGGTGCAGATGTAGATGACAATGAGTTTGCTGAATTTGAGGAGTTAGATGAAGGTACCTCTTGTACATTATTCAATCAGATTTATGTATTATTTAAAAAAAAAACATGATAAGATTACTTATTTAATACATTGTAATAATAGTTTTCCCTGTGAACAACTGTGCATGCTGATTAGTTTGATATGGTACTATTTGAGATCCACAAAATGTAAAAAGTTGTTGCAAATTTGTCATGAATTAATATCAATTCCTTCTGATACAATATTAAGGTAACATTGTTTGCATTATTCATAACTCCAAACATTTTTCCTTCAACATTCAAATTTTTCATTGGGATCACCCACAAATGGGGATACTATTGACAATTAGAGGGAAAAAACATAATCCATGATCATGAATTTAAACATTTATTTTTAGATGAGGTTATATTTGAAGATACAAAACAAGATGAGGTTAAAGAACAGAGAGTTGAGAACAAAGTAGATGAAACAGTTGCAGAGGAAGATGAAGATGATGATGCTACAGTGGAGGTAAATGTTTATAAAACTAAGAAAATGCTGTATATATGAGATAAATATCTACAAAAAGACAAAAGGATGAGGATGTAAACTATAGACCATTGTACAGCCTTCAACAATGATCAACACCCATACTATATAGAGATATTAAAGACACTGAATAACAAAGTGTGAAACAATATAACAGAGATAAATAAATAAAGTATTTTATATAATACTATTATCATTATTATATATAGAGAGAACTACTGGCTAATAACATTAAACAAAAAACAATCACAACGGCAAGCGATGACAATTACTTGACTGCAGGGCCTTGTATACATATAGATAACAATATTATGTGTAAAAATACTGTTTAAAAGTAAAATTTGAATGTTGAACTGTGTATTCAGTTAAAAATGTCTTTATGAGCTTGTTTATTTAACAATTCACTGTCTATTTAAGGTATTGTAAAAAGATCTCATCTATGAACACACCTTGTGAATAAAGGGTATACTGTTAATTCATTTATTTTTTGTTGGTACCATTTTATGTGGATTAAGGAAAAAATTTTGCTTTATTTTTATGGAAACATAAATTGTAACTCTTATTTCTAACCTTTGCTACAGACAGAAGATGATGAATTTGAACATTTCAATGATGAAGAAGAGTTTGTTGGCTTTGATAAAGAACGTGAATCAACAAAACCAAAGGAAAAGATGCCAGAATTAAAAATAAACCAAGTTAGTACCATTTAAAAATTCATATGATGGATGTCATTTGATTTGGTGTATTTTGTTCATCGTCAATTTCCAACCGAAAAATTAATAGATCATATCAGATTTTTTACATGAATAAGCAAATTTGATTAAAAATTAAATAACAAACAAAAAATTAAATGAAAATAAAATAAAACCAGTTCAAATAGTCCTAGCAAATGAATATCTTTGAAATGATTTGAAAAACACCTTTATTGTGCAGACTTTAAGAAAGGTTTCATGTACTCATTACTTTGTCATGGTATGATAGTATAAATATGTTATAATTAGAATTACATATTTCAAATAGTGGGTTTCCTTACTATGTTAATTGATAGATTATGTGTGGTAGAGCACACATTGTCAATACTTAATTTGGAATTTTTCACAAACAAATACACATAATAAAATATGATGTCATAGAAATTCATGGTGACCTTAATTCCAGTTCACCTGGCAGATTTAAAAAGAATATATGTAAAAACTTCATTGCACCTAAATAGTTTTTGATAGAATAATGTAAAACATACAAATGATTAAAAGTTTTGTATTTTATACTTGAAAAATATCAAAATCAGATTCGAGTTTTACACAATATGTTCTTGAAAAAAAGGGAAATACCTGATATCAAAAGTTACATGAAGTGGACAAATTTGCTGACTAGCAAGAATTTATGGTGACTAGTGTTTATAAAATTTATGATGCATATTAAATGTTAATAGGTTCCACAGCATCTTAGAACAAACTGGGACAGTTTTGTAATAGAAATACTCATGTTGGCTGGACTTGGTGTTTATTTATTAAACTTCCTTCATGGGAAGAACACAAATCACAAACTCGCTCAAGCTTGGTTGAATTCACATAGACAGATACTAGAGGAACAATTCAGTATTGTTGGTAAGTTCTGGACTTTGTTATTAAAGAGTCCAAAGTACTAGTAATTGTTAAGTTTAAGAACACTGTAAAAGGAGGGACAGTGCTGTATTGGTTTTAATGTCATTTGATAGATTAATCCAGACTACTTAAATTGACAGATTTCTGGAGGAACAGTTCATTAATGTCTCGGAGCTGTTGTGCGTTTGAAGTCCGTTAATATTGGATAGTTTTATCCTGTTTTAGAATATTACATAAATAGTATAACAGGAAATACCAAAAATATTGGACAGTACAACAGACTGCAGCAGCTAGCTAGCAACAACTGACTCATCAGAGAAAATATATGTACCAAACAAACACTTATAAACAACACATGATCCAGATAGCATTACTTGATACAGGAATGCAAAAGATGTGGTTAAACTGCTTTCATGTGTGAAAACCTCCCCTTTATAGATTTAGACCATAAATGTAAAAAACATAAGAACCATGATGATTTGATAATGTGAAAAATATTTACTGTGAATTGTTAAGTACATTTAGTATCCATATTAATAATTATGATCTTCATTGTTTAAATTTTTAGGTGATGATGGCACAAGTAAAGAAGCTCAGTCAGGCACTTTTATAAAAGAATCTGAGAATGTTTATGCTTTATGGTGTAGTGGTAGATCCTGTGTGGAGGGAATGTTGGTAGAGTTAAAATTAATCAAAAGACAAGATCTCATCAGTACGATTGCAGGATTTATGAAACCAGTATCGGATCAAATTGTAAGTTACCAAAAAACAAAACAACAAAAAACACATATGTACCCTGTAGTTGTCTAAAAGTTTGTATTGTTTCTGTATTTTACAGTTAGATTGTCAGGCAATTTGTGACAGTATTTGTAAGATTTCTTTGTCAGATTTAGTTTATGATTTGTTGATACTGTAAACGAACAAATTTTTGCAAGCAATTTATTTTAGAGACTTTCACGAATATGAATCATGTGAATATGTAAAACTTTGATCTTCCCTTATGTAAATGCATCAAGAATGTCTGAATAGGAGAAAAATCATGGAAATAAACCACTGAGAACTTGGCTTGAAGGGACCAAATATGAAATTAAGTGTCCACGAAAAATAAGTTGGTTTACACTATTATCCCACAGCTGTGATTTTTGCCAATGCTCAGATATTGCATGATCAACATTTAGCAAAGACTCTGCTGAGATTCCTTCTGTTTTGAAGTTTCTGTCTGTCATATATCCATTGTCCTTGACCTCATTTTTCATGGTTCAGCAATTAAGAAAACCTCTAGTTTTTTGCCAAGTGAATTTCTTGTGTGCATGTCCACATGACGGATCATCTGACATTAACCTCATTTTCATAGTTCATTGGTCAAAAATAAGTTTTCAAGGTTAGGTCCATTTACTCAGTTACTATTTGCAATAGGCCAACTATGTTTGGTGTATTAAATAGATTGATTGTGAAGTGTACATGTCCATCTGGCAGGGTTCATCAATCATTGATAATGTTTAGTTATTTGACACTTGTAGTAAATCTTAAAAACTTTTAGCATGACTTCAATCATGATAAGTTCAGCAGGCAAGACATTTCAGGGTGTGGGGTTATATTAAATTGACACAGAATTAAAAAAATTACCAAGTAACTTAAATGTGGCATATATTCTTTTTATTTGAATAAAGGGAGAGGCACTATATTTGTGATATAATTAGGAAAGCATACTCATGGGCGGATCCAGGGGGGGCCCGGGCCCCCCTTTTGTGGGAAAAATTTGGTTGATTATATAGGGAATCACTGACGCATGACTGGAGCAGGCCCCCTTTAGGTCAGTCAGTGGGCCCCCTTTCTGGATCCGCCACTGATACTGCAAATGTATATTGTTCACTGAGACTTGTACTTTTAATTTAAAAAGCTTTCGTTAATGTTTATATTGAAATTGACATAAAAATGAATGCAAAAGTCTAAACAATTATGACATCATTTTGAAGTGAATAAATCATTTTGTTGATAGCAGCAACATGTGAATGGATGTGAAACAGAAATTATTGATAATAGGCAGCTTGTCTCCTAAGGTCAATTATATTGAAAACTAATTTATTTCCCTTTGAATAGGCTATTTTCTATGTCAGCATTGTGAATACATTTATCTGTTTGTTCTTTTATATTGACATGTTTATTGGGTTTTGCCAACAAATTAGGCTTTTCTGATTAACAAATTATCTTTGAGAATGGTAAAGATTAGTCCCTTAGGAAATACTAACAACATTTGTATTAACAGAGTTTTATTCATATATGTTTGTCCTCTCCTACTCTTATTATAGTTAAATTACAGCTAAACAGATTTGGTTTGTTGATGTGGTTCATAAGTGTTTCTCGTTTCTCGTTTTTTATATAGATTAGACCGTTGGTTTTCCCGTTTGAATGGTTTTACACTAGTAATTTTTTGGGGCCCTTTATAGCTTACTGTTCGGTGTGAGCCAAGGCTCCGTGTTGAAGACCGTACTGTGACCTATAATGGTTTACTTTTATAAATTTTGACTTGGATGGAGAGTTGTCTCATTGGCACTCATACCACATCTTCTTATATCTATTGGAAATATGATTAACTGTAGAAATACCATTATGTTTCAAATAATGTATTTGTAAGTTTTAGTAAGTTGTATAATCATAATTTCTCTTTATTTCAATTAGATGGTACAGGTAGATATGGATCCCAAGGTGATGGATAAGTTTGTATTTGCTGTTGCCACAAAACGTTCCTGTGCCAAAATACACAAAGACATGGTTGATCTTGTAAGATTATTTGTACCCTTAATTGATACCTAATTAAGCTACTCAAATAAAATACTACATTGCTGAAAGAATTGTGTTTCAAGACATAGATTGTCCTTTTTATAACAGGCTATCCTAAAAAATTATAACTTAGCAAATTATAATATTTCTATGTTCATAATTCAGTTGAAAAAAAACATTGTCTGATTCAACAAATAAAAAACCAACCTTTCCTTGAATTATTATAATAGTAATCTATAAACAATTTTACATATACAAGATTTGTACAAGGGCTGAGTATTTCTCCTGTTTCGTACCAAGTACAGATAAATTTGATATTTTCGTACACTGTACAAATATTGTTTTTATCCTGCAATTTTACATTGAACTTAAATGTATAGTTGTTTTACTTCCCAACTGTTAATTTTGTTTTCGAATGAAATAGACATGACATAGACCCCGTTTACACTTGTAAAAAAGATTGATCTTTCCTGAGATCAATCTTAAAAAGATGGATCTTTAGTCTAATGTAAACGAGAAAGATCGATCTTCAATCGGACTTAAAAAGTCCACCTCCAGAGGTGGTATTTGAATCTATCTTTTCTTCAAGTGTAAACTTTTAAATCGATCGCGATCGATCTTTCTTCATGTGAATGTTATATTTAGATATGAAAATAAATATGCGCATGTTCAGCGCCAAAAACACAAGTGTTTAAAAACAATGGATGGGATAAGAAAAGTAAACATAGATTCCGCCGTTTTTGGATAATTCTTCTGAATCGATAAATTCTTTTTCTTTGCTGCAAATCCTCATCTTCAAACGCATTGATAGTCTTCTCACATGTCTTCGTTTAATGACTTGTGATGTCTGAACCAGAAAGATAATTAATAACTCCATACGAAATTCCAATGATCCAACTATTTTCACCATGATTTTGCAGTGTGTAATAGTCCGAGCGAGATGCAGAAGTTATTTTACTATTCTATTTTTACGATTATTTGTTTACGAAATGAAAGTTAATAAGGTCAGACCGGTTCTTTTTATGTTGCAGTGTAAACGCACTGATTGAATAAGATCGATTGAGAATGATCTTGCTTGTGCAAGTGTAAACGAGAACTGGTCTCTTTTAAGATCAATTCAAATAAAGATCGTTCAATTTCATACAAGTGTAAACAGGGTCTTAAACACAAATCACGATGAGGACCTTAAATTGAACTGTGACGTAAACAGTAATTTTAACATAATCATTCCCTAGCAATAGAAGTATTATATCAGGAGACTGAAATATATACTATATGTAGATCGCTTCCTGTTATTTGTACACCTGTTTTGTTACAGTAGAAAGGTTGATTGCATGATAAATTCAATGTTATTAATTGTTAAAAGTCAAGGATTATACTTTATAAAGAGTGTTTAAAGATCATGTTCTGATTAGATATAGTTTGAAAACCAACACAACTTGATATATTCTGTGCTTTTTGTTTTAGAGCCAGTTTACTGAGAAGAAGAATGGAGAGAAGTATGATCTTAGTAGTTCTTATCAAATATTGAGTGAGATAGGGGAGGCAACTGTCAGTGTACTTGATAAAAAGGTATTGTTAAATAAGATGTGGTAATATTACAGACAGATGCTGATTTAGGGGGCCCGGCCCCCCTTTAGGAGCTTCATATATGATAAATGCATAGTTTTTTTTTACATTACTCCATGTACCAAATGTTGGCTTGCCAGGAGGCCCCTCTTTATCAAAATCCTGGGTCAGCACCTGACAGAAATATTCTTAATAACTGATACTTTGTCAGAAATGTAAGAAAATTTTGTGTTAGTAGTTATTTATATAATGAGCATGCTGTCTGTATAAAAATAAAAATTTGTGATAAGATTGTCAATGGGAAAACTAACCATCAGAGACTAAATGATGTGGATGTAAGCTATAGGTCACCTTACAGCCTTCAACAATGATAAAACCCATACTGCAAAGTATGCTATAAAAGGCCGAGGCATGACTAACAGTTCAAACAAAAAAAAACATCATCCTGAGTTTATGCCAAAACAAAAAACCAAAAAACAAATAAGGTTGAAAGCAATTACATGTATTGTACTAATTACTAATTTAAGCTAATTCCCCATTTTAGATTCAAAAGAAAAATGGGTCATTACAATTTTCATACACCAAAATGATAGTAATGTCCCAGCATAGGTATATATCCATTATTAAAAATGTTGTGTATGCTTTTGACAAGCGTACCTGGAATTCTTCAGATTTGGTAATAGTGAACTTTTTGTCCTGAACTGAATATGCTGCTGAATGTTAAAAAAACAAGAATTCAGTAGTTAATTTAAACAGGCCAAGACTTTACTTTTGAATTCATTGTATTTCAATTTTACCAATAATAAAAGTAACCCTCATTTTTCAAAATATCAGATCAGCATCTGCATTCAATATACAGATAAGGAGATGTGATATGAATGCCAATGATTTTAAAATTCCTGATTACAAATGTTGTTTGATTTTTATGCCCCACCTAGGTGCTTTACGTTTTTTTCGGTCTGTGCGTCCGTTTGTCCTGCTTCAGGTTAAAGTTTTTGGTCAAGGTAGTTTTTGATGAAGTTGAAGTCCAATCAACTTGAAACTTTGTATACATGTTCCCTATGATATGATCTTTCTAAATTTAATGCCAAATTAGAGTTATCACCCCAATTTCACGGTCCACTGAACATAGAAAATGATACTGTCCTGCTTCAGGTTAAAGTTTTTGGTCAAGGTAGTTTTTGATGAAGTTGAAGTCCAATCAACTTGAAACTTGGTACACATGTTCCCTATGATATGTTCTTTCTAATTTTAATGCCAAATTAGAGTTTTGACCCCTATTTGACGGTCCACTGAACATAGAAAATGATAGTGCGAGTGGGGCATTGCCGCATCCGTGTACTATGGACACATTCTTGTGAAAAAATGAAAGGAATCAGTTTTAATGGGTCAGGGCGCAAAAGAGTATCTTGAACTTTGAGTCGTCCTGACAACAAACATATTTTTTTTGTGAAAATATATTTTCAGTTGTAAGGAAAATATCTACTGTTTAAAAAAGTCTAAAAATAAAGAATAATAAGAAGTCATATGCAATTCAATGGTATGAAATTAATTCCTTGATGTTTGATGATCCAAAACCTTTTCTTATCAAGATTGAAGAAAAAAAGTTTGCTCAAATAAAGAAAAACTCTAGATATTGAAAAAAATCCTGTAAAATAGTACCATTTTCAACAATTTAACAATGTAATTATTGCTATAGTTACAACAGAAAATGTGCATGACATTAAGAATTTTGCTAGGAGAGATATGCAGGCTGTACTGTGTAAAGTTTTTATTTCATTACAGGTGACTAGTGTTCTAAATAAATATGAAGGTCTGGTGGAGTTCATGCATTTTTCTGATCAATACAGTGGACTAAAAGCTCAGGAGTAAGTAAGAACGAAAGATTAAACTGAAAATAGGGATTTGGCATACAAAATGTTTCTTGACTAAGATTATGAGCATCACAAAAGTGTACAATGAAAGTAGATGTTGAATTATAAATGGATTTCTAGAAAGTTGGTTAATTTTTTGTAGCCTCAAGTTTTTATACAACTATTTTGTTTTGAAACCTATATCAATTAAATCACTAAAAATTGTCATTTATTTTTTTAATAGTAATGACAATAAAATATTTATTATTTTGTTAAATCTATTTAGCAATAGACACACTAATGAATATTTGTTGCTAAAAAAAGGGAAATTGAAAAGTCTTATTGCTTTTTTTAACATTGATATGATATAAACTTTTTTCCAGTGATAGCCAAACCTCAAAACTTCCAGAGGTCAAGCCAGTACTTACTTTCTGTTTCAATGGTAGGTATTTTTTTCTGGAAATGTTTACATTTCAGCTTATTTATAAATTTACACCTGTACAACATATTAATTAAATATACAAAAATAGAAGAAGCATTACATTATTTACAGATACCAATATTTTATATCAGAAAAAAAAAACTACTTTCAATCCAAATCTTATTTTGTCTAATGTTAAAAGTGTAAGATGATTTTATAAATATACATTTAAAAAAGGACATATATATTTTTTTTTCAAATACATTTGCAGTGCCTGGTAAAGGAAAATGTAAACCTGCAGACATGGAAAATATGTTACCACTTCTTAAACTGGTTCTGTACTGTGTAGATAAGGTCAGCCGACTTCAGTTGGGAAAGGAGGTGAGATATTTGTGATCAGTAAATTTAACTTTGTCAATTATATAGTATAGGCAATGCAGTTGTGGTACTGTCAACATAATTTGTTGTCAATTATATAGTATAGGCAATGCAGTTTTGGTACTGTCAACGTAATTTGTGCCGCCTAACAGAAGTTCCCCTGGAAACTTTGTTATAAACAATGCCATAATATCTGTAACTGTTGGAACAACTTATTCTATACCCAGTATTTCGTAAGGAACAAATACTGTAATATTTGTTACAGTATTTGTTCCAGTGAAAATATTATTGCAGAATATTTTTTCGACCTGGAACTTATATTATGAAGTAACTTTTATATCATGACACCACATCTATTTGTGATAGGTAAATTTTACTCTGAACTGTGATCAATAAATATATTAGTTAAGTTAATGTTTCTTTGATATCAGGCTAGAGCAAAAGCAGACAAGAAACGTCAGAAGATGCAAGAAGTTTTTGAGAAAGCAACCCACCAACAACGTCAGGAACAAGCTCAGCAAAGACGTGAAGAGAAGAGAAGAGTGGAGAAAGAAAGGTTAATGGCTGAAGAAGATCCTGACAAAGCTAGAAAATTGGAGGTAAAAGCTTGTAAATGATATTCAGAAACATGTTCACAAACAAGTAGATAGGAATGTAAAAACTGCACTTTTTTCAGAACATTTATTCTTGACACTCATGATAAAATGCAATCATGCTGATCAGTTGTTAAGGAGAATGCATGGCAACATTTTCTATACAAAAAGATAATACTCTGGATTCATTTATTTTCATTGGTAGCAATTTTCGTGGATTTAGGATAAATTGAATTTCATGGATATTTAATATCATGGTTTTTACAAAAGTCGGCATACAAGCCTAAAAAGAATACAATCTTTGTTTAACAGTTAAATTTGTGGTTTACCTGTAACTATGAAATCCTCAAAAATTTATATCCAATGCATGATAATGAATCCAAATTAATGCATATTTAATTTTTTTTGGGAAAGTGCAACACTTTGCCATTGATAGTTTCCGAGCATGCTTGCAGATTATTGTTACAAAAAATATTTTTTCCTAATGCTTTTATTTTTCAACTTTTGGTTACAAGGCTTAAAGATGTGTAAGTGCTTTGCATGCATTCAGCTAATTGATTCATGTTATTTTGAATTTATTTAACTGTTAACTGTATAACTTTTAGATATAATATACAAACCATTTCACATAAGATGATGTGGTTCTGTAATAGCATGTACATGTTTTTGAACAGGCAATAATTTCCCTGATTGATTTAATAAATATTTCTAAGAGTTGATATGTATGTCTTATCTAAAGTGTAATAGATAGATCACTGGTCATTCAATATTTTTATAACATGTAAAAAAGAAATAACAAAAGAAGACAAAGATGGTCTTTAATGAAAAGTAAATGTCAATTGTCATGCTTTCTGAATGGAACATGTAATTGACCTTTACAGAAAATGCAGCAATGGTAAGATTAAAAAGTAGGTTTAGAATCTACTAGAAATTAAAAATGTTGCCAGTGATTAAGTTTGAAAGTTTACATTAATAGCAATATCTTTCTCTTTTGTAAAAAAGTAATAACAAAAATACTGAACTCCAAGGTAAATTAAAAAATGGGGAATCCATAAAACCAGACAAAACCAAATGTTAGACTACATCAACCAAAGAAACGAACGGAAAACAACTGTCATATTCATGACTTGGTACAGGTAATTTTTTGGTTTACAAGTACGAAAAAAGCTATAAAGTTATCGAAACACATACTTTGTCTGCACCTTTGTACATTCTAAAATTGCAGTTATTGTAGAGTAATGCAAGCATTAGGATTTATTTCTATCTTTTTTAATTTTTTTGTAGGAGAGAGATAGTAGAAGAGAAGCTAAAAGGAAACAGCCAAAAATGAAGATGATGAAAGTGAAGGCCATGTAGAAATGTCATGTGACATATTGTTTGGCCTTGTAGAAATGTCAGTGTGACATACTGTATGGCTATGTAGAAATATCTCTGTGACATAGCTTATAGCTATGAAGTAATATCAACATGTCTTGATGTATAGCTTATTTTGTTGTCCTAATACACATAGATTTTTATCCTGTTTCATATTGCTTTCTATGGTTTTATTTCTAATCAGTGAAAATTCATTTCATTGGCGCTACACATTTTTGCATTTTTTGACTGTTTTATCATAGACACATATGTTACAAAGAAACACTTTGAGACAGTAATGATTTGTATTGGATAAAGTGTTATGAGTCAGCTGTTCCTTTTATATTCAGAACTGATAATAAGTGTCACAATAATATATGTATGTCTTTTTGTATATAGTTTACAATAAATGTGATCAGAGATTTTAAATAAAAATATTTTACATGTGTTCATTAATGAGTTATCTCAATACAGCAATCCTTATTAAATAAGAAAAAAATCATCTTAGATCTGCATTTGTAGTATACCGTATGTTTGTGCTGATTATAATATCAGTATTCCTAATATGGCAACAAATAAAATTACCTAGTTGAAAATAATGATAAAGGATCAAAATTCATAAACTACTATTGTTTACAATATTGATAAGAGCAAGAACACATTCCCCAAGTGTCTGTGAAATAGGCAATTAGACAAAAATTTAGGAACTGCTTTGACAATTACCTGGAGGACTAATTGCTAGCAATTCATTTCATTTATGATTATATTTAAGGTTGATGGTTAATGACCATATTCACCATCTTACATGGTCAGCACCCTTGCTAGAAATAGAAAAAAGGTTTAAAAAAAAATCACTAAAAAATTTAAATCATTTGGAAGACCAATTGCTACTTAACTTTTGTTAAACCTCAACCATGTTCAAACATGGCTGTGGTACTGAAATGGTGGAATATAAAAGCAAATGCTAGAGAAGGAGGTTATGTACCAATTGCTACCAAAATGTGGCTAATTTCTAATTAATACATACATGGTCCTCTTTTCATTACTGTCAACTGAAAAACAGTACACTTCCATCATATCTAGAATAAATTCTCTCAATTTTGAAATCCAGTGAAACATTTCAGATTATGGGGGTTGGATAATTAGGGCCCCGCTTAGTGGCAGGTCACCCTATAGTGATCAGTGTGTCCTTCGGTCCATAACAAATTGTGTCTGCTCTATATCTAGAGAACCGTTATAACTCATTCTTTATACTTGACATGTATATTAACCAACACCAGAGGGTGTGTCATAATGTTTGTACAATTCCTAGGTCAAAGTTCAAGGTCAGTGGGGCCCACAGAGATGGCTCCCATCTCAATGATGTCCAGTTGCTTCAGAACAGCTCTAAAAGTTTTATAGTTTGTTCTTATGTTGTGCTGTTACATCACTATCCTAGGTTAGGGGAGGCTTCAGTGCCAGCAAACATCTTTAACCCCACCCTTTTTGTTTGTGTCTGTCCTAAGTCAGAAGCCTGCAATTCAGGGGTTGTTATCTATGGCTGTGTATCATGCTTGTATTTTTCATTTATTATTTTGTACATAAATCAGATTGTTAGTTTTTGTTAGTAAAAACTGGTTTACTTTTTCATGTAAGGCCCTTTGTAGCTTCCTATGTTATATGTGTTTTGTTTATTGTTGAAATCTGTTTTCAGTACCCTATATGTTTTAATTTCTAAGTTATTTGGTCTCTAGTTGAAAAGTTGTTTCATTGGCAATCATATCATCTTTTCATTTTTATAAAACATGAGACAGTCATTATATAAAACTAAGGATATGATTGCCAATGAGATAACTCTCCACCAAAGTTCAAATGAAGTGGATGTTAGCAGTTGTAGGCAACCATATGGCCTTCAACAATGAGAAATATAAACATACTGTTTAGTAGCTATAGGCCATAAAAGGCCACTGAACTACAGGCTCCCGACTTTCGGACAGGCACTTTAAGAATGTGGCTCTGGGACAGTGATGTAACGGCACAACACAAGAACGAACTACAAAACAAAAAACGAAAAACAAATATTAGAAACAGCAATTCACAACAATGCTCAATTATACACTCCGGACTTGGGACATGCACATATAGGATGTGGTTGGGTTAAACATGTTTGCTGGTGCCAAACCCTCCCCCTAACCTGGGACAGTGGTTTTACAGCACAACATATGAAAAAACTATAAAAATCAGTTAAAAATGTCTTAACTCATCAGATCGATTCAAAGCACAAAAACATCTAACAAAAACACAGACCAGACTTGGCAGATAATTTTATACACCCCTCACGACAAAAAAGACACAAAGTACAGATCTGAGAGTACTCCCAATTATTGACAGCTAGTTCAAAGCTAATAACAACTAATTAAATATCATGTATCTAAGACTAAAGTTGACAAATTGGCATATATCCAGGTGAGGCTGTTATATATAATATTTCTTTGCATTGCATTAAGATAGGATGACAATTCTGCATTATAAGAGGGGAGCTGTCGATTGGTAATTTTACTGTTTCAAATATATATTTTGTTGCTCCTCGTGCTGATGGTCAAACTTCCTATCTATGTCAATCCAAATTGACAGCAATTTAGTAGATTCTTCAATTACATTATTGTCCTCTTTGAAATGACATGCCTTCTTATGCTTATTGAAAGTGTTTTCACTTCATATTGCTATAAAATGGACATCTTATATGTTACAAGCAATTACAGCTAAAATATAACACAATTTTATCATAGATGGAGATAATGTTGAATAGTTTGTTAAATGAATGAGAATTTGACCTTCCTCGACAGAGATGTGCATATGGAATGAAAGTTCAGTGCAAACGAAAGAGTATTACAGTTAACAAATTTCATCAATAACTGTGTTACCAAGACCTATATTTGTCAGTGTTTGCTGTGATATTCAGTTATCGAAATATCCAGAAACTCCATACCTTAGCTGTTTTTGGCCAAACTTTTTGGAATTTGGATCCTCAATGCTCTTCAACTTCGTACTTTATTTGCTATTTAAACATTTTTGATTAGAGCGTCACTGATGAGTCTTTTGTAGACGACCCGCGCGGCTGGCATACAAAATTAGAAGTATGGTATCATTGATGATTTTTTTTGCAACTACTGGGTTGATGGCACCACTGCTGGTGGAGATTTTTCTCCCCGGGGATATCACTGGCCCAGTTATCAGCACTTCTGTGTATCATGAATTATCATTGATATGGTCATCTCAATAAATCAACTGTTTACAAAACTCTGAATTGTTTGAAATACTAAGGATTTCATAACCCAGGAATATATTATCTTAGTTGTATTTCAATTGGTAAAATCTTTCTCAGGCTGAATATTTGGTCCTCATTACTTTTCAACTTCGTACTTTATTTAACTTTTAATTTGTTTATGTCCCGCCGTAGGCGAAGGGGACATTAAGTGTTAACCTTGACCGTCCGTCCTCCCGTCCGTCCCATTTTCGTTTCTGCACTCTAACTTAAGTTTGTCCCATTCAAATTTTATAAAACTCATACACAATGCTAAGAACCACAACAAGCAGACAGGGTTCGAATTTGGACAGTGAGTCATTTACCGTTTTAGAGTAATGCTCCTTTTTAACTTGGAAAAGTTTGAGCGGGGGGATTCGTGTCCTCAGACACATTCTTCTTTTTTTTTATTAGACCGTCACAGTTGAGTCTTTTGTAGACGAAACGCGCGGCTGGCGTACAATATTATAAGCCTAGTATCTTAGATGAGGTTTATAGGTAAATGTATAAAAGCACTTCGGACGCATACAATTCATAAAGAGTTATTTTCATTTTTGTTAACACTTCGTCGATACCGGTGCTGGTGGACTATCAGTACTTGAGGGGATCATCAGCTCAGTAGTCCGTACTTTTTTACTTACATGATTTATACCATTCAATTCTTAAATTGTTCGTTTATAAATTTATAAGTCACAAAGAAATGTATACAACTATTACAACTCCCTCAGGTAAGCAGAAATAGCAGGAACTTTGTTTAGAGGGCATGAACCTTTATTTGAAATCGAAAAAAGTTTTAAATTGTACTACAAAAAGGAAAGACGATCAATTCACATGAATAAGAAATTGGATTGTATTAGGGTAACCTATCATTCATGCACTTTGAACAAAGACAAATAACTTTGTATTGTGAAATCGAAATGCTGTACTGAAAAAAAAATATAATTTGTATCTTTGGCAACTGACCAATAAAAAGAATTGTATAATATTGACAGGTTTATGTATTTCTTTTATTTTCTGCAGATAAAGGTCGACCATGTTTCAATGATTACTGACAATGAAATTATTCGATACCAAAAGTAAAATGATACATGATTGAAATGAAAGGAATCGTTTTATAAACCATTTAAACATTTGAAGGATCTCCGAGGGTCAATCAATATCCACAAAGACAATAAAATTATACTAAGTAAACCATTCTACTTCCTATTTGTACAAAGGAAATGAGCACTAAAGGTAAGTTTTCGAAATTCAGTTTCCATATACAACTACATAATATATGTAATTCTTTAATCACGACTTTGTCGAATTAAAAATTAAAGGAAAAAATAAAATAATGACGTATATGTAATTATTTATGTGAGATTAATGATAGTAAAAGTTTATCAAATGAGTATATATTTTACTTTACAATTCTGTATACAGTTACCACTACTGGCGTGACTCTGAAAACTTTACCATCTGTTAGTGGAAACAATTCCCATTCAGGAGAAACACGAGTGCACCCTAAGCATGAGCCAACTGCTGTCAAAATATTTGTAACTCCCACAGAAAATCAACAGTTTGTAAGTGTTTATTACTTGATCAATGTCTCCCATTAAGTGTTTTTTTTTTATAAACACAGAATTTTGGCAAATTCATAAACAAATTATAGAACAATACAGTATACAGAGGATACAAGCAAACAAAAGTAAATGTTTGTTTACTTCGGTAACCATAGTATCAAAAAGCCATAATTATGTATGCTTTTATATTATCTGTTAAAACGCTTATTATTTGAAATATACGTGCGAATGCGTGTACATATATGTTTTGCTTTCATCGTTTATCGAAACACTGCCGTTAGAACGCTTGTTAAAATGGAAGGTATACAGTTATATCATCAATTTTCCAACTAAGATATTCGTCTCCAATACACAAGCTTGACAGATCTCTTTGCTCTCTGTTGACGAACACTTATATAATTAAAAATCCGGCATTGTGCTTAGAATAATTCAATTTTAACATTATAGAATTAGTTTACTCCAAACTATTACAGCCTTCTTTTCTCCTCGATTGTTATATTCAGAAGGAAATTAAATAATAAGATTATACGACATTTCTGTTTTTATTGGTTTGAGTTTTGATTATTTCTATCTACAAAACTTATAATAAAAAGTGCTCGACCTCCCCTAGGAGACATTTCACCTATATATATAAGCTCTACATTAACAGTTCTTTGCACTGTTGATGTGAGCTAGTAAAAATATAAACACATATTAAGCCGAGCGGAAGTTGCTTTAAACAAAGTTGTAAAACAAAAGGGTCCAGTCTTGATTTCTTAATAGATTCATCAAACCTTTTATAACACCAGAGTTATAGCTTAACATTAAAGTACAGTTTCTGCTGGAACGCAATAGGATATTTCTTAACGGAAAATCACAAAATTAATTCGACAAATCAACATAAGAATACTTAAAATATACTCTTTAATCTCCTTTTGGTGTTTGTAATTCTTAATAAGCGTTTTGCAATAGACTTAGTTTTGTAAAACAGTCATAGTGTCGTTAATCGCATATCATATTATTCTACTTACTTGCAATGTTGATATTACCGGTAACACGATTCAGTTTCCAGTTTTGTCAAAAGGCGAATACAGTAGCCTCGGAAAATTACCGCAGTTATTATAAGTTTGTGTTTTCCATTGATTGCTATTTTCGGTATAATTTTGTAGAATCACCTGGGAATACAGTTGTTGCAGCTGATACGTAATGGTAATACAAAACAAGCATTAGAATTACTTAATGGCCAAAATGCAGATCTATCTTTTTGTGACCAGGTGAGACTAATGACGTTACGTACGGTATTCGGTCTTTTTTTCATTAGAACCTTTCTTGATGCACAAATAAGACATTTTTTTTTCTTTCTACAAATTATTAAACGGTAAACTGTCTTGATTCATCAATTGAATCAAAGTAAGATAAATGAGGTTTAATAAATTGATTATTATGTTTTGCAAAGAAGTCAGTCAAAATAAAAGAAAAACGATGTCGCGTAACGTTACCTTTTTTTAAACCGAACACTATTATTTGTATCATTTGGTTGCTGTTGTCTCATTAGCATGTACCCTCTAACCCTGGTTTTCTTCTTACTCGTAAGCTTTAAGTCGTAATACGAGGAAAGGTTACACAGCAGAAGCAAATTATCATAATTCTCATTAAAAATCCACTTGCAAACCTGTGTTTAACAAATGTCGTAACCAGTGGTAAACACTGATTGTTACATGACCGTTAATTGAATACATTTTGAGAATCGCAGCTTCAGTGTTGAAAGGAAAATGCCTCAACTTTGTATTTTGCTTCCGAAGCGTATCAATAAGTTCAAATGTGTCGTTTCTGACTTAACGAGCTCTATAAACAATATCACCGAAAACAAAAACATATAATATCCCGTTAGTAGTAAGGTTTCGACAGGTACAGCAAAACTTCAAAACCAAATCTTTGTAATTCAGTGAAAGTTTTAAGAAGTTTGCTGTGACGAAATCAATGAATTAGTATTGTACCATTTATATATATATATATATTCGCTTTAGTCAAGCCACCAGACTAAAGCGAATTTGCTCCTCGGAATCCAAACTCAACTACCGTTTGGGACAACTCAAAAATCAACTTAAATTAAGAGGATACATAAATTGAAATATCACAGAAGCTTTTAGTAAAGCCCAAGAAAAAGATCGAAATATCTTCATGGAATAAGAAGATAAGACGACCCGCACAGATATAATTCCGTTTGTTTTCACCTTCCATCCCGATTTGACACATATTTCATCTACTGTTCACAAGCACTGGTGTCTTATTGAAAACGACTCTTCCTTAAAAGAAATTTTTCAATCACCTCCTGTTATTGCTTATTGCAGACCAAAAAATCTCATAGACATATTTGTTACATCTGAAGTAAAAAAACAAGAAATCTCTAAAATCGGGTGTTACAAACAATGCGGAAGAAGCAATTGTAAGTGCTGTAAAGTCGCCAACACTGAAAACTCTTTCACCAGCACAGTAATAAAGCAGCGATATAAAATCTATGTACCATCTAATTGTAAAACGGAAAAAAATAGTATCTATATTCTTACTTGTGGAACTTACAAGCTGCAATATGTTGGCGAAACAGAAACTAAATTCAACATCAGATTTAATAATCACCGGTCATTTTATACCAAAGGAAGAAACTGCCCAAGCACGAGACACCTCTCAAGAACAGGACATACTTTTGAAAATATCACCTTCCAAATAATAGATGTCAACCAAAATTGGGACACCCAAAGTAGAAAACAGAGAGAGAGATTTTTGGATGCAGCAGCTATGTACTCTTGAACCTGATGGACTAAATGCGAGAGATGAAAAACAGTTTTAGCAAAAACCAAAGGAATAAATCTTGAACTTCATACTATTTAACTAAGACAATTATTTGTTTTGATTTAATAATCGCTATGTACAATATGCTGCAAAAATATATTTAAAGGACATGTACGATAAGCTGCAAAAATTTCTTAACAGCATCCGATTTTTACCTGGATGGCTGTACGCGCCTGATGAAGCTAATTTGTTTAGCGAAACATTGCATGAATATATAAAATAAAACACCAATTAGCGTGTTAAAGTACATTATTAGGCAGCGCTGGACACAGTGCAGGCGGTGTTGTCTCGACTTCCCAATAGCACGAGTTCGAATCCCGGCGAGGGAAGAACAAAAATTTACTTTTGCAAATTTGCAGATTTAACATTGTTGTACTGATATTTAGAGTAATTATGAATATAATATGTGTTTTCAGTCGTATATCACCTTCACTGGTGATCCAATAGATGAATCTGTCGTAGAGTTGTCACTTGTTTAGACGTAATTATCAAAATAATTATTTCTGTGACGGTATCTTACGATCCTTTACGATAGACATTTAGCTAATCTGCAATCAATTCCATCTTCATGCGTAGTATACCATGTACTGTGTTTCAACTCTAGATTCTACTGACGAGGAAAGGTAACACTAGGCCACCGAAAGCTGAAATATTAATTCAGTCTAGGTGGCCGAGTGGTCTAGCGCGCTGGACACAGTGCAGGCGGTGTTGTTTCGATATCCCTATAGCATAAGTTCGAATCTCGGCGAGGAATGATTTAACATTGTTGTGCTGATATTTAGAGTACTAGTAGTTATGAATATATTGTGTGTTTTCAGCCGTGTTGTCTCGATATCAAGAACAAAAAATTGTCGTAGAAGTATTAAGTGAAAAGTACAGTTAAGAATCAGATCTACTCTAACATTGTTTGGTTGATTTTCTAGGTACTTTATATGTATTATATATATATATAGATTCTACCACTGTATCGAGTGTGATACGATATTTATCCACTCGAGACAGTTAAATTTACAAATTTAAAACGCGAGGCTCGCCAAGCGTTTTAAATATTTAAAATTTAACTGTCGAGAGTGGATAAATATCGTATTACACGAGATTTGGTGGTGGAATCTGTTTCTCTAATGATTTTCAAACAATACGCAGGCAAATTTATTCCTTCTTTTCGAATGATCTGCAAAAAGATGTGCTCTTTCTATGTGACGTCATCAGGCATGGTCGCCTTTTTTCATGCCGTCACAATAGGAAATTCAGAAGAAAGCAAGAAAATTCGACGTCATAATCGGATGTTAACCAATGAAGAACTGAGATCAAACGAACCACACGTTGATTAAATTTTTTTTATACAATGGGTGCAGAAAGGGATAAATTGACGAAGAATTAGAGAAATATATATATATATATTACGTTCATTGAAATATAAAACGCGTGACTACAGACATAGACATAACGAACGAGTTTGGATAATTACACACCGTAAGAAGGGATAAAAAGAACATCAATGTCTAACGAAAAGGAAAATTAACAGTAATGAACGAAAAATCGTCTCTTTTGTTATACTTCTTTGTTGAGTGTTTCTCTTGTAAAACTGAAATCCTTTTTTTTTCGTTTTGATGCCCCTTAACTCAACCTCACCCGATAAAAGGTTATTCTGGATACACGTGTCTATTGACACTTAAATGCGAAATATCAATGTATGTCTTTATACAAAGTTTATATATAAAACGTCTAAATAATTAATTATAAATATATGTTAGAATATCAAAGATGGTTTAGATAAGGCAAATTACTTATTTTAAACATTAACTGAATATAGGCCGGATGGAGTGCAATGCACCATGCAGCCTGCAGTGGATTTGTAGAACTAATAATACAGCTGAGAGAGAAAGGAGCTTCAGTTGACGCCTTAGATTATGTAAGTACTGAATGATACAATTATAGCTTTTTCATGGTAAATATGAGAACAACCTTATAGAAGTCTTCTATTTCAGAACGAGTACCATTTGGATTAATTATTTTGCTTTGCAAGGCCGTAGCGCATGTCCAAATCAACTGAGGCAAATCGTCGAGCGGAGCGAGGCGAAAATTTTTTTTAGGGGGGTTCGGGTGCATGAAACGGGAGAAGCTTATTTCAGCATTACTATGGGAGAGGTCAATGTATTTATAATAAATAACAAGAAAAATATAACAGAAATGCGTTTTTTTTTATTAGCTAGCCTAGTAAGTAACAAAACAAGTTTCAATATTAAAGTTAATCTCTGTTGGTCAACCAAAACTTTCCGATTCTCCTGTGACCTGTACTATCGAAAAGCTTCAACACACGTTCTTTGTCAGCTGTAACATTCCTATGCACATGGAGCATGGCAAGCCCACAAAGCCTGTCACCACCCATTGCAGCCCGTTCCCAGGTTTTCAAACGCCTTAAACTTGAAAACGATCTCTCACAACAGACTGATGTGACAGGCAGAGTTAAAAGTACTTGTAATATTATGAAAACATTTGGGTATAAGTCTTTGTTAGCTAGCTTAATTGCTGTCTGGAGGCTTCCTTCATCTAGCATTGCTACTGTCTTTCTTACCCACCTTTCAAGTTCACATGTTAACTCTTCCATGTTAGTTACGTCCGGAAATGCTTGGAAAAGGGGTTCAATTAATTCCGGTGTTAACTTGCCTACATTTTTTGGAATAAGGTAATATCCTAACTCATTTTATCGATTAGCATTTGTTGTTCAGTGAGTTGATAGTGTAAACATTGGTAACTATAGCGTTATCGATTCAAAAATAAACCAAGGAAAGTAATAAGCCAGCATACTTATAGGGGGTGTTTATACTCATGAGTTACCTTTTTCATCTTTTTTTCTCTTTAAAGAACCCGTCTTCAACCAGTTTTGTAACGACATTAAGATATGTTTCAATTTTTTTATTTCGATTTGTATTCGGAACACTTATTTTTTTACCGTCACCGCTATGGTAAAAGCTGCAATCGCTGCTGCAGATTGGACACACTGTATGTAGTGTGCCGGTAGATAATTTGAAACTCGAAACTCGCATATTGATAATGTAAAATACATAATTGAAAAAAAAATGACACTTCTAAAGTTTGGTCGTCGTTTCAAAAGTGAGGCATTTGCCTCAGTTGCCTCCATTACGCTACGGCCCTGCTTTGAAAATGATAATAAAAAATGTACAATCCATAAAAAGCTATTTTAATCGTAACCTTCGTACAAAGGAAGTTAAATATAAGTCAATTGCCTTTAAAATGGCAGCACATATTTCTTTTGTGTCGTTCGTGGTGGCATTGATAGATAATGCGAGGCGACAGTAGTTTACCGACGTTGTTTACTTGAAAATCTTTTTGGAATAAACCAATTTATTACATTGGTAGCATTGAATTACATTGATTTCCCAGTCAAATAAAAACCGATAATTTCACATGTGAAATAAACGTGGTTATTTCACTCTCTGACGTCATACAACAATAGGCGTTGTCAAGACGTCGATAACGTCGGATCAAAACAAATTGTGAATGCGTAGAAAAAAGATATAGTTCCTTACATTTTCTACATTAATTTCATTAAAAAAAGCCATTTGCCAATGTAATAAAAAGAATAACTAATCAAAGAATTCAAATATCGAAAAATATTCAACTCGTGACCGAACAACACTGATAATTAACTCATGCGCTACGCGCATTCGTGAATTAATGTGTTGTTTGGTCACTCGTTGAATATTTTTCTCTATTTGAATTCTTCGATTAGTTATTCTATAAATCATAATTTAATGAAAACATTTATAGTATAAAAGAACTATTTATTTCAGTCAAATGAAACAGCATTACACAAGGCGTCGAGGAAGGGACATGCTGAAGCAGTTATAGTACTCGTCACATTTGGGGCGGACATTAGTGCTGTAAACAGTGTAAGATGCTATTTTTTGTAAAATATTTTGTCCCTTGGCGAAGCCAATGAGGATTATTTTTTCACGTAACCAGGTGACTGCATGTGTCTTGTTAGCCTGATTTTTATAGTTTTTTTATACTCACACCCAGATGAAATACGTTTTATGATCATCAATCTGTTTATTTCATGCAGAAATGTCAGTTATACTTACCTCTATTTTCCTTAATGCATTTCATTTTGTCAAAGTACTTTCATTTCTATTTATAGTATAAAATATGAAAATAGTGAGACGGCAAAATGCCGTGAATGTAAGCAACCATTTAGATCATTGTAAATTGCATTCTATCAACTGTTTTGACTAAATCATGATTTGAAGGTAAACTGGTTAGTGCATTTATGTAGTTTTTTTCTTTTCCATTTTGAGATGAATAAAAAATCATTTTCTTCTATCTTCTACAAGAAAGAAAAAAACAAAACAAAATATACTTGTGTTTTACCGGTTTTTTCTATAAATAGAATGGAGAGACAGCATTAGAGCTTGCAGTGAAAGCCGTCAAAACTATAGTTGTAGAAACTTTATGCATGCTTGGAGTTGAAGTTTTGTTACAAGACTGGGTTTGTAAAATTTTAACAGTATCTCAATAAATTGATAGTTTTGTACACCAATATGAGTCACAAAATACAAACAATAGGATTCATAACTTTAAGTTAATAATGCAATAAACAAAATTCAACCTTTAGGCGAATATTTGCATTCCAGCAACATATTATCGTTTATAGATATAAGAAGATGTGGTATGAGTGCCAATGAGACAACTCTCCATCCAAGTCACAATTTGTAAAAGTAAACCATTATAGGTCAAAGTACGGCCTTCAACACGGAGCCTTGGCTCACACCGAACAGCAAGCTATAAAGGACCCTAAAAATGACTAGTGCAAAACCATGCAAACAGGAAAACCAACGGTCTAATCTTTATAAAAAAAACATCGAGAAACACTTATGAACCACATCAACAAACGACAACCACTGAACATCAGGTTCCTGACTTAGGACAGGTGCAAACAAATGCAGCGGGTTTAAACGTTTTAATAGGCGCCAACCTTCACACTACCTGAAACAATAGTATAACATCACAACATAGAATGACAAGTTTTGAAACTTACTGATAATGTAAAAAGTTTGTCAGATTCAGAAAATGAGACCGTAGCGGAACAGTTCCCCAGCCTTAAAACACTTCATATAGTCAATTTTAGGTATATAAATCGTGTACTTACACTTTCTGCAACTTAGATAAATATGACCGTAGACGTGTTTTGTTGTTCTGATAAGACCCTTTAAAAAATTATGGTTTTCCATGTTTTGTGTATTTTACTTCCAAATTTTTGGTCTTCATTTTATTCCGGAAATACGTGTCAGTGCACACTGAAATCGCTGTCACGTTATTAACCTTAACTACTTCAGTATTGCGCTTAAAGGGGCATTAGTTGCCAAATTCATTCCAATCGAATCGATCCAAACCCCCAAATTTGATATTATATATACTAAAACGTATGTCAAAACTACAAAAGTTTCAAAGAAAACAATCTCAAACTGGCTGCTTTTAGCGATTTATTATTTCAATATTCCGCTTTTATCAATGTTTGAAACCAGAAAAGTCATACGTTAATTTTTTGTCCAAATCTTAGGTAATGACCCTTTAAATATATTTAATATATCAAAGTTTTATATTGATTTGATAGTTGCACAAATATTCAGTATTAAACTGCATTTCCATCCCCTTATTTGTTACTAATATCACATGTGTTATGTAGAATACCTTTGGCAGCATTTTGTCTTTAATAATTGAATGGATAATATGCCAGTTTTGAGAAAAATGAATATTACATGGGTAGCACATTCTGCCCATGAATCATGTCTTGCAATAAATTGTGGTACGCCTCTTGCTCTCTTACTGCTTTAAATTCACAAAATCTGGATTCATTTATATGTATACAGTAAAAAAAATCAATAATATTAACTTATTTAATAATTATAATTATAATAATTTTATTTTATTACAGTCGTGGTCGATGATTGACGATAACGAACTGAGTAAGACACAGAAGAAAATTATAGAACTGTTGCTTAAGCAGCATTCTCGCAGTTCTGGATATACACAAAAGTAATTTTCTTTCCTTTCTTACAAACTGTAATAAATGTGACACACAGACACCAACAAATCACCTGTATATTGACGAAACAAAATTATAATGTGTGTTTCTCAAGAGATAATTGGCATTTCTATGGGAACAAACTGTGCTCCTCTTTTTTCAGACTTGTTATTTTATGTTTATGAGGCATACTTCATACAGGAGTTCTCAAAGAGAATGACAAAAAGCGATCACGGTCCTTTAACTTTCCGCTTAATAGAATATGTCCTCTTTATTCTTTATTTTTTTAGTTGTTTTTCCTTTACTTAACGTATTCAATACAATCTTATCTTGGTAACAGGTAAGAGCTATACTCTTATTCAGGTGGAACATTTGAATGATCTTTTTATTGCAGACTTATTCAGTTTGAAATAGTCCATCTAAAAGCCAGAGAAAACAAATGTCTGGAAAAGCTAGGTGTGGAGGTTATTGGTAATGATGATGTTGAAGACGAAAAAGTCAATGATGGCATGGATGGTGACGGCTTTTTTCTTTATTGTGGTAAGATGAAGTCAGAATATTCTGATGTCACCAACAGCCTTAAAGACAACAACGAAATTGTCAGTGATATTTATGAATGCAGACTGTGGTGTAATAAACGGAAGACCCTAAGACTGAGTGTACGTCTGAACACTGTTCTAGCAAGCAATGAGAATCTCGTGATTATGTCCCCTGCTGAAAAGATCGGTCGAATAGATTGTATTGACAAGTTTACCGAACACAAAAAACAATCCAAACATGTGAGTACTCTATTTAAGCTGAATTAAACAGAAAGTTGTTTCATTGTTAACTTTAGAAAAGAAAAATTGATAGAATGTTATAATAACGAAAGAAATAAGAACTAGGCCAGTCATGAACGTAGTCAAACAAAAACCAGAGATATACCAAGGTGGGAAATAAATTAATCGAGCGAAGACTGAGAGAACATGACAAAATGATTAAAAAATAAATATTTATTCAGAGACGAAAGAAAAATGAGATCTCATTAAACATTGATAAATTAAACACAGGTATTCCTTAGCTTGTTATTTTGGTTAATTAAAGGCTTTCGGTTAAAAGTACGCCATCATAATTTGGTTGACCGTTATGAAATATCAAGTGTCAGAGATGACCACGAATATTTCTAAATTGCAGTAGCCACTATGATCTTGTCCTCTTTTTCTCGATTGTGACTTCAGCAAATGGACTTGCCACCGACTGTCATTTGCCATGAGCACCATGCACAATGTAGAAATTTGTGATATTTTTGGACTGAAATTATCATATTATATTCCTGCCTTTATTTAGCATTAAATAAGCTTAAATGCGAAAAGGGGGGAAGATGCAGAAGGCGTAGGGGCATCAACCGTTTTAAACTTTGACCACCTTTGACATGTTAGGGCAAATGCTAGCTTATAAAATTAGAAACATTGATCCCATTTTTAATTTTACCCCATACTTTTTTCAGTATTCTGTCGCATATGTCACTCTCAGTGTTAAGACGACGTCAGTAGCATTCTACTTTGGAAAACAAATAGAGCCGGAAAAGTTCAACATCGGTTCGGAAGCTGTAACACTTAAGCCTAAAGGAGAACCTGAAGCTGAAATAAGTATTCCGAAAGGTTCCTTTGAATCAGAAGGACAAATGTCTTTACAGGTAGCCATTTTTTACTATTTGCAAATATTGTATCACGGGATTCCGTATAATCATTCCTATGTATCTTTGACATTAGCTAAGGTATTTATAGCCACCAATTGCAAAAATGGAAGCTGTAGTTTTAAGTTTACTGACTAATTGGTAAGGCATCTTAGTCATATGCCAGAGTAAGGATCATCGAACAATTTCTGGAAGGCAGTACAATAAATTACTATTTTATCCTTTCAAAAATCAATATTCTCCAATTTATTTTATTCTATATGAAATTTGAAGTCGAGAGGTAAATTCTAATGAACGGTATCTCATTACATCAAAAATAGAAAAAGACATAATTTTTATGATAAGATATCATTACAATATTTTCTTTGGGATAAATTCATAGTTTCGCATGTATATATTTTCATTTTATCAACTAGACAAGACAGATTTTATTCAAAGAACGTTTTCATAAAATTCAATAAATTTCAGTTTTTCTTCCTGTGTCACAGACGAATAAAGAAGAATTAAGATACCTACAGCCAATGTTAATACATAAAACACTATTGATTACATTTGCAAACTTTGGGAACCTTGTAACTGTACAGCTTCAGTAGTTTTTCCCCAAAAAATCTAATCCTATCAATTTTGTAAATTTAGATTGTTGATACCAAAGGAGCGAATGAAGAAGAAGACGAAGAATCAGGAGATTTGTTGACAACAAACATAGTTGACATATCTATGACTGATGGTCAGCAACCAAAGGAAGAAATTGGTATTAAAATTCCAATACATAACAAGTTGTCCGAGGATGATGCGGTAGTTATACTGGCAACGTCTTGTGAAGCACCTTGTTCTGTTGACGATTGGGAAACTATGGAGGCAGAAATGGACAAATCTGGCAAAGCTGCTATTTTTAGGATACGTCATTTTTCTATGTATGCAGTTTTGATTAAAGTTTGTCGATATTTGTTAAAAATAAGTGTATATCTTGTATCTGAAAGTGTAAATCTAATATTTATTTTCGATAAAAAGAGATTACATTTTAAACCGACTTGTTAGTTCTTATTTCATAGCTATATTTTCTTTACATTTGTTTAAATTTGTCATATGCATTTGGTAGATTCAATAAGTAAGAGGACGTCTTAAAAATATCAAAAGAGTTGCTAAAAGGAAGGCATTCCAGCAAGAAGATTCAACAACATCTTTTCATAAGATAGTATCAAAGATTTATACCTAGTACTTCTTGAAGTCATATGAAACGAGTTTCTTGTAATTTTTATTTTAAGGAAATTATTGAACCAATGTATGCATATATGCTCAACTAAGATATCTATGCACGCTTTTTACATTTAATGCGAATCTGTAACGTATTATCGTAAAACAGTATTACATTCAGTGAATGTTGATCGCAAGCTAATTAACGTTTGAGTTTGATGCCGAAGATTACCGGACGGTGACATTGATAAACAATCAATACAGAATCGTGGAGCACGTGGAAAATAAGTTAATTGATTGAGTGATGTTTATTTTTTTCTACATTTTCCATGTGTTCCCATTTGTTAATTAAACTTTCCTATAACAGTTGTTAAATGATTTGGTGTATTCAATTTGTTCTTTAAGAATCAATTATTACTATTTACCTTTCAGTGCACGTTTGATTACATTCTTTCATCATAGTTTTCTCTCGCACGTGCGCTGTGTGGTGGCCGAGGTTCTAACGAGAGGTCTCGTAGTTAAGGTCACTGCATACGGAAAAATGTCGGCAAGTTAGAGTACGCGAAGACACTTATTCAATAGCAGTACATTTTTGAAGATTTTGATAATATAAAAGATTTTCATTCACAAGAAAGTCCACGTACACTTGTTTTATAATAAAACTTAGCCTTTCAAGTATATAAAACATATTCAACTTTTTTTTTTAAATTTAAAGTACAATGTACCATAAAAAAACCAAAAAACCTTTATAGACTTAAATGTACACCTTGTTTTTTCCCGCTGAAAGAGAAGAAGATATATATGAAAATGGCGAGTGACTTTTTTACCGATTCATAAAAAATAATTGATATTTTATAAAAAAGTCTTCATGCAGATAAAATCATACGTATTCTCTTGTATATGTTTTACTAGCTATGCTGGTTCATCAAAAGAAAAAGTGAAAATAGACTTACCCGGTGTTGTCGACGCTTTGGAGAGAACTATAAACCGACAAAGAAAGATAGAGTTCATCTTGCTAACAAAATGGGTAAATGCTGACACTTTACTCTTGGTGATCGAAGGAACCGCTGCCCGGAAATCAGACAGTAGAATAAAATATTGGGCAAGACAAGGCTATAATGAAAAATCGTTGAAGAGAAGCATAGAAAGTCGTGTCAAAAATGGACAAAGATACATGGTAAATTATCATTTGATGTTAAAAAGCAAATAGATAGTTATAAAGTGACATAACTCTTAAAGCCATTTTCAAATCAAAGCTGCAATTCTTCACTTCATGTCCAGTTAGGAAATTTAAGAATTTTCCCAAACATGTATCTGAAATACAATATCTGGACATATCCAGGAATACTCAAGGAAATATCGATCATTTATACATAATAACTTAGAAGATGTCTTTAGAATTTGGGATGTGATAACAAAAAAATATAGATATCTAAAATGATATGGGAGCATACATAAGTTGGATTAGTAAAATTTGGTGAAAATCGCATCCGGGAAGACCGACATGGTTGAGGCTATTATAAGCGGAACACATTCGTGGTCATCTATGAAACAGAGATTAGATGACGGTCAACCAAATATATATTTAGATAATAATTTCAATAGATATTCCCGTAAATTAAAGTCAATTGTTGGCGCTGGCGTATCCAAAGAGTTGTTCCGGTAATCCCCCCCCCCTCTCTCTCTCTCTTTCTCTTTATTCAATTTAGTTTAATCACAAAAATATAATACAATTTGGCTTTTAAAAAGTCGTATACTCAGTCAACCATTATTATTAATACTTTTCAGTGTTTCTTTTATTGATAAATGAATAGAATAATCTATTGTGGTTTCTTTAGTGCAAGTTTATCATTGATATGCCAACTTTACGTACTAATCTAAAACATTTTTATTTACATATTGATAACAATTGGGAATATGATTTTTCGGTAAAAATTAATAATAAAACAATAGCCTTCACCAACTGATCTTTGGCTAACAACAATAGTTTTACATAAAAATATCTATGAATTAAGAATACATATTGAAGGGATTCTCCCGAATCTCTTGGACAATATTTAGACAAGTTTTGTATTGTTTTTTTAAATGCTGTAGGTGTGAAACCTCAAGGAAATATGTTATACAAAGTTCAAATACATTTTAAGCGATATATAATAATCTTGTATCCCTCAGAATTACTAGTAGGTTATTTGTTAAAGCCGATCTTGATCATACAACTCGACACATGTTAGGTCGTTATAATAGTAAATGTAAATGAATTTTAGGCTGAAACGGTCATTTTGATCTGAATAGCTATTAAATTCAGTACTGTTCAGACCAATTAAGATCTGTTCAGTCTATGTTCAGACTTTTCAGTAGTTGTCATTTACCTTTTCAGATCAACAACATACTGAATTGTCTGAAAAGCTACTTAACAGTACCGAATTGACAGCAAACGAATGTTCTGAAAAGTACCGAATTTACCATCGTCAATTGATCTGAAAATTGATTGAAAGACTGAACATGACTGAATAATTTATTGTTCAGTCTTTTCAGATGATGTAAAGATCACAATGACCGTGTCAGACTAAAATTCGTTCACTGGTTTATATATATGTATAGTCATGGGATTCATTTTTTTTATTATATGATGCTACGGATGCAACACATTTATAAATTGTTATTGTATTATTTCTATCATGTGATCAACTAAACAGTGTTAAACGTTTTAGAAAGATTGATAGTTCTTTTCTAATTTTCAATATATGAGAAAAGAGGAATCCTTAATAAATCGCTCAGTCAAACACAGAGTAATGTGCACGCGTAAACAAGGTTTTGTTTTTTACATTGAACTGTAGAAATGTCCAATAATTAAAGATTAATATATTTTCTCATCATTAGATATGACGATTTTTTGATACATTATATGTCCATCCATTGCTGCTGACAGATTTGTGTTGACCGAACATAATAGAAATTATATCCAAGAAATTTAAGTTGTATTTAATTACATGAAATTGACATACTTCATATCTCAAAAGATAATCACTTCTAAAAGTACATGTACTAAAAATCAGCGTATTCTCAAAATAATCTGTAACAGTCACAGCTTAATAGCTTTCCTATTAATTATTTTTATTTTGATTGTCACAGTTTACCTTTTTGGGAAATCTCGTAGAAGTATCAAGAGAAGAAAGCTTTGCTTTAATTTTCCAAAACAACAGGGATAATTTCCGGATGTTTAGTATGTGTTTAGATGACCCCGACAAACCATTAAGTGGAGAAGTTAAAATATCCCTTGAAAATGAAGTTGAGCGTATAATACCATTGAAGAAGAGTGGCTTATTTTCCTGCTGTAGTGCTCAAAAAGTAAAGAAAGTTACAGATATCGAGCATGCAAGCTTGCACACCATATCTTATGAGGTCATTAAACCAAAAGGTAACCAGACTAAATCACGACATAAGATCGCTTTGGTATTTTTTTTCCAAGGTTGAATTAGATCGAGTCACTTCAAAGGTCTCATCAGTCGGTTCTGCTAGAACAAATAAAAGAATATACCAAACAAAAAGCAATTGTTTGGAAGAAAATGATGTGATTCTATTATGCATGACATACCGATACATACTCCTTTCAAAATTATTTCAATCAAGGAAATGATTTAGACGGTAAAATTCAAATCTCCAAGCATAATGAAAAGGCATGACACTAAATCTTTGATAAATTGAGTACATCGAAGAAATGCGAAAACTAAATTTCGTCACAAAGCTTCTACGCCTCAAATTGTCAAAATCAACTTTATTTCAAGTATGATTCCTCAACTATGACAAAATATAAAAAGAACAAAAGTAAAGCCAAAACCAGACAAGGAATTAAAACCAATTATGCGGGAGATACATTCCTTAATTGAATTTGTATTCGAAATTTTATAATAGCGAATTTAAAACAAACAATATCCGTATTTTCATGCCAGTACCGAAGTACAACTACATCGAAATATTATGACAACGTCTTGTTGTCCTACACTATTCATATCAGCGGTTGTACTTCATAGAAAATTTCATAAAGCAACTTCATCTACAACAAATGAAGACATGATATTTGGCAATTCCTAGAACAAACTGTACAGATTTTAAGTTAATAAGAACAAATTCCTAAAGGTAGAATTTGTAATACAATATATACTGCAGCTGTGCTATTTGCGCAGTCAAATTGTATTAAACGTATAATCATTTGTGATATACAGTCACTGACCGTAAATCGCCTTGTTTATGACGTTGACAATGCGTTTCCGTAGAGTTTTATTTATGACGTCATTAAAAGGTACAGATTCGCAGAATTTTTACGTCGTTCGCTCAAAATTAAAAAATGATGGTTTTTACCCTAAATACTTCATTTGGAACAGTTGTAGGAGTTGCAGTATATAAAGAATAACCATATATTGTCTCAAAATATAAGTTTTATTTGTACTCGGCTCAAAACAGGAAAGCGTCTACCTGTTTCTAAACCTTGTACAAATAAAATTTATATTTCGAGACAATGTATGGTTATTCTATATTTAACATTTTGATAGAGTTATGTATGTCATTCTTCTGATGCAAAAGTTGTTTGGTAATCAAAATATTATAGTCATAGATAAAGTGACTGCAAACACGCGACATCAAACCGAGTAAGCAATTGATTCAACAGAATATGTCTAAATCGAGAAATTAACAATAGAAAAGGAAATTAAGAAAACAAATGGAAAATGGAATATAAACAAAAAAATATGGAAATATATCCCGATTATCATAAATTTTGGCATGTATATCAACATGAGAAATTCGAATATGCAGTCCTTTCAGCGAGCTCCAGTCAGCAGTCAAAAAAATTTCACACATGACTATATTAAGTATTATTTTTTTTTTCCAAAAATATCTGAATTTTTTTTATTTTATTAGCATTTGCTGCCATTCATTCTAATTCAAATATTTAAAAAAATGAAATAAAGCCAAAGTTTAAACGTATGAAATGAATTCGAAATTTTAGAAATCGTCAAAGGAAAGATAAAACCATGTCCAAAAGAAGAAAAAAAAGAGAATTAAAACAATTAAACCCTCACTAATTATACTGAAAACTGAATATGGATCAAATTTAACGCACCTTAATCGAGGATGCATTCCGGACGGTTTGGATTTTTGTTGATCCACAAGCGGAAGGTGCTGGTCATAAAAAAAGTATGAAGTTGACGAATAGTCGTTTTCGTTGGACAAGTGTTGAAAATATAAAAAATAACATGATTTTCGTTGTGGGAAACAAAACATATTGCATTTGACAGCAGTCAACCAGGGAATGGTGTGGTCCGTAGTTTGAAGAAGCTACTTTATCATTTAATGTCGATAATTCGACAGCAGGCGCGGATACAGGATGTGGTTATGGGTGGGGTGGGGTGGGGGGGAGTGTGAGGGCGCTCTTGAGAAAATGTGGTTAAAGAACCGTATTTTGACAAAAGATTTGTTGTAATTGATTCCGCGCCTGGGTTGCGTCCTTTCGACCATAAAAAAATGAAAACAACACATTATGAATATCATGCGTCCGAAGTGCTTTTCTGGATTTACCTTCATCAGAAACGCTCAAAGCCGATATTTGATAGCCAAGGCCGTAGAAGAACCGAAACAGTTGATGAGCTATATTGGCAAAAGGACCTAAAACATTAGCCAAATCCTTCTAAGGTCACCTTTGCCTGGGGGAGTTGAAGCCGTAGTTTCTTTATAATTTCAAAATTTATATACTTGCTATGAAGAATATCCTGACATGAAATACAAACTCTGGACAAGCTTCATATGCATGTGCTTACATTTGTTTTTTTATGATGCAAATTGCGTTTGATCATTTCATTTTGTTTTTAAAAAGATATTCATGTATATGAAATATACTTATCCGGTATACAGCTTGCTTGTTATCTGTTGTATCAAAGAAATGCTAATATTACTTCTTAACCTTTTTGTAGAACCCGATCCTCCTAAACCAGGTAAGAATAGCTAATATGAATTATATCTTTTTACAGTTTGCAATATAACATTGTTTGTACAACAAGATCTTACTAGCCTAGCAAACTAGTGGAACTGCTAGCAGGCCTGTTAATATCTTGTAACATTTCCAAATTGAATAGAAATGGCGTAGACTAGATTTTAGGTAATGGTCAGCTGATGTACAAAAGCACTGGTGTTAATTCTTTTGTTTCCGTTGGTACAATTCTGGTGGATTCAGGATACATCGTCTTTCGTATATCTACACTTGATTTCGGGGTTTAAAACATTTCTGGAAACAATTCTGAGGAAACATCGTATTTCGTAAATCTATACTTGATTTCGTGGTTTACAAAATTTCTGTATCAACCAAAATGATTTTTTTAAATTTTATGGAACAATTGAATTTGTGGTTTACATAACCAATAAAACCCACGAAAACGAGTTATCTACTAATAATAATGAATTCAAGGTAAGAAAGAAAGATTCTTTTAAAGTTCAATGATTTATTCGGAGTATCCAGTCCTGTTTTGTAGGTAGGACAAAGTTCATATTTTATTTTTGGGAACCTCAAAATCTCCAGGATGGAAAAATAAAATAGAATCTACACAATACCTTTAAATGCGAAGTTTTATCAAATTTCACTTACTAGGGTTAGGACTTCAGAGGTGTACTTGTTGTGCATTCAAATAAGCAGGTATGGGTAAACAAACATTACAACGGTAACTATACAACTCCTTTCTTCTATAAACATAATTGAGTTAATCGAGTTTAATTGTATCTAAACTTTTGTGAACAGCACATGAAACTAAAATATTATCCTGGCATACTTTTAACATATTATTCGTGTTTTTGTCATTTATAACTGGATTGAGACAATTTCAGAGCCCAAAAAAATGTCGGATCAAGCACTGAATAAATTGGGGCTAGTCAAATATAAAGTGAGTTCTACGAGACAACGAACTTAAATTTAAAGGTAAGTGAAATATCAAATGTCAAATCGTATTACCAGACAAAAAAAAATATGTCTTGATTCGGGATTATAAATAATACTGGTGAGAATACGAATTAAAGATATGGAAAGTACGTCTTCGAGACAGTATCCAAACGGAAGAGAGAATAGTTAATCTAATAAATAGTGGTAATATCGCATTGAAGTTCAGTGTTAAAAAGGAAATTTTCGAGTTATATTATATTTTGTATATAATAAGAGTAATCAAGAAAATGTCGCACACACAAAAAAAAAAAAGGTTTAAAATATAACGTGAAAATAATTGTAAAAAAAGAGACGTTGCGATTACGTCAATGAGATCAAAATGAGTAATAAAAGATACCAGGCTTATTCTAGTACAAAAGACGAGCTTTCGTCCACACAAGATTACCTTCTAACGGTCAGAGCATATTTCTGACATATGTTCTCATAGATATCACTCGGAAGTATACAAATCTTGTGATACCAGTACAGGGTTACAATATTTAGATGAAAAGTTAATATGTATATGTCCATAAATATTGTGCTATAACTTGAGTACGAGAATCAAAATTATAACAACATATGCATCAACGAATGGGTCTTCTGGTTTTGATTATGGTACTTAGTAAAGCATTCAAATACTATATATTTACCTGATAGATATCATTGCATTTTTATTTTTCTAGTTTCGTATTTTTAAATCAAATAAATATTTTCCCTAGATTGGATGATGCACAGTAATTTTGACATACTTAATAGTTACCGTGAATATCATGATCATAAATCAAAGCAACCAAATTGTATAATTTTATAGGATGAAGAGAGTAATTCACAGAGGAGGACTTCTTATTTGTGTAAATATTGGAGATTTCTGTAAACATTTGAAAGTTGAGACAATTATTTTTTGTGAAAATATGTAAATGTCTTTTATATTTGTACAATAGGCAGAACAAAAATACGAGTACTAAAACATAAGATATTTGTTTGTATAATTCAAACATCATATATTATATAACACTTACATATAGCATGGACAGCACGAGTGCTATTAACAGACCAAGCTCAACAGTTTCCCTTCAACATTAACTTCGCTTGGTGATCAAACACAGATTGAACATAAGCATCTCCTATTTTGGGCCGATTTTAACTAATTTTTCTTAAGTTTTCAGGTAATGAACTTAGTCCATTTTTTACAACAAATGCTAGATGGTATTTAGTTTGTGTCATGTTAATCCAACAGTTTCTATTCATCTAAATTTAATTTAATACTTGCATGTGGTGCAAAATGGAGATTTTTTTCGAATAAAGTTAAGAAATTATTTCACAGATTTTTCGGTCAATTGCGCTGAAATTTGTATTCAAAGAAAACAGCATTATTAGTGCACTCATGGTCTGCTAGGATTTTCATTGAATTACAAGATTTTAAGGCAGAGTTATATATATCTGTGTATTGCAGCTCATTGGAATGTAATTTATTTCGTGAAATACCCTAAACAATATACAAATCTTGCTATAACTAGTTATAGTTGGCTTAAGTGCTATACAGATAAAACCATTTTTTAGTCTGAAAATTATTTTAACTAGCATATCTATGCATATTTCAATCGATGAAAATCTTGCACTGGATTTTTTTAATCAATTTTTAACGACGCTGAAGGCTGATTAAAACGCAGATCCAGACAAGGTATTGATCTTGTTTCCATAATGTAATAATAGTCTATTCTTTTCCCTGACATAAATGTTGAATTCCCTCCTTGAATATCTCCTTATTTTGTGTTATATGTTTCTAGTTAATTGTCTTTATTGTTAAAGTAATTTAAACACGAACACACCACATTTTAATATGAATTGTCTAACCATAGATTATACTTTGGAAAGTGAGAAATTTATCAATCCTGTTTTAAAAGAGGAATAAAGTACTACGTGTATTTGAATGCTTATTTATTTAAACATAATCCTTCTATTTGGAAGATTTCGCACATTTAATTACCAAATTTCTAGTTGTTACAAGTGTGTTTTAGATAGTAATATTTCGTTCTATCACAATATGTATCCATATTATTTTACGCACTTTCAATAATTGTTCTATAATGATGTTCGCAATTGTTTTACTTTCAGTTTTCAAATGATCTCGTTTTATAGAATTTTGTTTACCAAAAATAAAGTTTTAACAAGATTATTTTAGTCCGTGTATATTATTATTTAATTTTTAGACCTATTTCTCGGTTCCTTATTTATTTTTCACCTTATTCTCTATTCTTAATAATTTTACACCCGACTATTCTCTGTTCTTTATGTTTTTACACCCTATTATTCTCTATTCTTTATTTGATGCCTATTTTCCTCTATTATTTATTTTTTTGGCCTTTTATTCTGAACTTTGTTCCCATTATTCTCTATTCTGTAAACCCAATCCAGACCCTCTTATGCTATTATAGGGTCATTTCTTGTGTTTGGCTGTACGAATAGTTGTATTGTTAATGACAGGAGAAACGGTGAAACCGTAGTAATTTCTTCAGTTATACATGTCCTTTAGTTTTGAATTCAGTTTCTTGGAAAAGAGAGGCGAAAGGAATTCAAACTCATAAGTCAAAAATAAACTGACAACGCCATGGCAAAACAAGAAAAAGACCAGAAGACAATTAACAGTATACGAAACACAACACAAACCCCACCAGAAACCGGGGGAGATCTCAGGTGTTCCGGAAGGGTTAGCAGATCCTGCTCCACATGTGAGACCCGTCGTGTTACTCCTATTGATTGATATCTTGGAGATATAACAAATGTATGCATCTACTTCTCGTTATTCAAAAATATACCAGTCTCAAGTTTATCACTATTAAACTGAAATAAACTGATATGATTTATTTGCTATTACATGTATTAGCATCAGTTAAAACAACATTGTGTACAGCTCCTTATCATAATTTTTTACAAAAGTTTTATTTTTTCAGTTTGTTTAATAACACTTGTTATAAACAGAAAAAGGCAAATTTCTGACACAAATTTTATGACTCCCAATTTTTTCTGTGTTTAACGAATAAATACATGAAAATGACAATGTTATAAAATGTAGGTACCGATTATTAACCATTTAGCATGTCTTAAATTTATTTCGTGTGTAATATAAATCAACCTCAAAGGTTTTTGGGGAAAAAATCAAATTAGATAAACTAAACAGTTATTTTCATTAAGAAAATGAGAAATTGACTGGTCTTTAAAACACAAAGACAATTTTTTTTAAACATTGGTCACCTCTTTTGATTAAGAACTTCAGCTGGTGTGTTTAATATCAATCATTTGAGATATTGTACTTTATTTCATGACATCTCTTAGCTGATTTTAGATGAACGAAATGCTATACTAGTATAATATGTTTGGTGCCTCTCCAAAATTTAATCCAGACTACTGCATTCTATTAATTTAAGTCGTTTGGATTTTTTATATGTTTTACCATATATGAACTTTCTTGTTTGTCCTTGGAATCCATTCTTAAAATTCATGCAGCCTACATGGATTTTAAAATGATAATGTAAAAAAAAGATAGGTATGTTCACCTATTCCATTGTTTGTTTCATTTGTGTTAAAATATGTAAATAGATTTACCTTTACAAGAATCTATACTTCTATTTAGTCTATACCGCTGCTAGTAAACTATTAGTCCCCGAGTAGTCAGAACTTCTGTACTGACATGATTTATAACCAACCTTTCTAAAATTGTCCGTTTATAAAGTTAGAAATTATAAAGAAACTAAGGTTTCAACTCCCTCAAGCAAATTTGACATTAGATGGATTTGGCTATTATTTCAGGTCCTTTTTGGAAATATAGCTCAACTGTTTCGGTTCTAATACATCCTTGGCTTTCAAATATTCGGCTTTCAGCTTTCCTGATGAAGTTAAATCCAGAAAATCGCTTCGGACGCATGAAATTAATAAAGCGTTGGTTTTTTTTTAAATGAAAACATCCCCATCTTAAATTTGATCCTTCCAATTCATTTTTTTAATGTCCAATATAAAGAAAAAATGGCATTATTTAAAGTTTGTTCTCAAGCATAATAAGACTCTAAACCACAATTGAGCAAAATACAGTTTTGAAATGATCTGTGTCAAGATTATAAGAAATGTACTAGGTACACCGACGTTGAAACAGTGGAGACAAAAGAAAGTATGCCACTAAGTCATAGGAGAAAATCAAAGCTGAATTCAAAATGTGAAAACTCACACCAGCACAAAAACCTGCGAATCGAGTAACTGGAGTAACAAAATAAACAAAGAACCAAGGTTGAAAAGTTCAGTCCTTATCTGAACTTCAAGGACCGTACAAAAAACACGACATGTTCAATTTGTCGTGTTCGCAGTCATAGATCAGATGGAAACAAGGACAGATCACGATGGCACTTCGTGTGAGTTTTTTGGATACATTTGCAGAGATGTCTCAGTAATCATTTATGCATCTAATGAAACCCAGGTTACTATTAACTCTGTGAAATATTCATTGCATACCAACCTAGTGATGAAAGATTTTTTCATCATTAACGAGTTCTACAACTGTAAGATCCCACAACATGATAATGAAGAACTCCCTACAGTTATTAAAAGTCTCGGCATTTTAAATGGAACTCTTCATTTAGTATTTTTGATGATAACAATGCCACACATGAATCCGCTACTTAAACCTGATGTACAATTCTGATAAACACAGCTGCTATAACAATTTGCGCCATTATCCGTCCAGTTTCATCTAATCAAGCAATATCCGGACAGTCAATTTATCAACAAAATCATGTATACCCATTTATACCATAAGGATATCAAACAAATTTAGTACTACAATCCTTATTAAAATAATCACATTCCTCAACAGCCTCCTTTGCAAACTGCAACTCCGCCACCCAAATCTACCACTAACAAACAGGATAACCACATACCGGTAATTCCCTTTTATTTTAACTGCACAAAGTTTTATTTTCAAACAGAAGTCTACTGTTAACGATTTTAGTGATTTCTATTTCATGACTTCGAAGAGGAGATAACTCTAGTCATTTTGTGAAAATAAGTGTGATTTCTTTGAAACTTGTGCTTATTAGCTCGCAACATAAGAAAGCTTATCTGTATCTGAATCGTTACGTCGTAACTTTTAACTCTTAACTTATTCATTAGATTGAACTTATCATGATACATATGTATTGCCTGCGAATAGCCTCAATTGGAGTAGTGTTGGGAGATTAATTGTTAATGTGTACTCGGTGGTTAAGATTAATTTAAATATCTTCCTTGTCAATATCTGTGGAGTATCACTTAATGTACAAGACCTGGCGTACTTGTATTTATAGCTTCAGTGATTCGGAAGAAATTTCAATACAACATAGAAATATTGTGGAAAAGTAATGACATGAATACAGTGTGGAATTTGTGTATGTTAATATCCTTTGAACCCAACTTTACATTGATATACCTTACTTGCATATTTCAGTTATATTGCTACCTTCTTTTAAAATATTCAAGACACTTTATCCGTGTAGTAACTGGTCCATAAAGGACGAATCTTGAGTTTACTAGTATCACAAGATAATATATATAAGTGTACTTTATATCAGCCCGGAAAAACAACAATGAAATTCATTAAATAATTCATCTAGATTAGAACCAACAAAATCTTCTGTATCCTTCTTATGTAATTAATTTATTCAAACTCTCCCTCGTATTATAAAATCATAGAAAGATTTCCAAATGGGGAATAAACTGGAATGAAAGTATGGTGCTAATTGTAAAGAAAATGCACTAAAAATCACATACCTACATGTATTCAAAATACGTGTACTGACCAAATATAATGTCATTATTGTTTTGGTACATATATTTTCATCTTTTAAATAAAAAATTTTGTGTTCAGCTAAATTAATCAATAAATGATTGGATTTTCAAGGAGAAATTTTAAAAGGTCTCATCGAATAAACTCTACCGATTTTATTTATTCTATGTGACAGTTCACCTTGCAAACATCTAAATATCCTAAACAACACCAACCGATTCTCAAGAAAAGTTTTCAAATTGTTAGTTTTGTTCACATTGTTGTCAATATAATGGAATTCAATGCGACTGTCATACAAGTGAGAGGTTTTGCTAGCTATAAACCAGGTTTAATCCACCTTTTTCTACATGAAGTTCCTGTACCAAGTCAAGGAATTTGACAGTTGTTTTCCATTATGTTGATGTGTTTGAGCTCTTGATTTTGCCATTTGATAAGGGACTGTCCGTTTTGAATTTTCCTTGGAGTTCGGTATTTTTGTTATTTTACTTTTTATTTGTTTCCCAATAACTATTGAGAACCATACATGTTTTTTTATGCTGGTTGCGTTGCTTGTAATCTCATTTACCCCTCATTTGTATCTAATGATACTAAGTTTATCCTTTCAATCTTTCAGACTACAAGAGATGACAGTTAATAGAAACTCCAATTTCAAAATATATGGTGTTTTACCACATTGAAAGGTTCAAGACGATACACACATATCCAGCATAAAAAACATTGCAATACTGAAGAAAAAGTAAAACAGCATTTGATAACTGTATGACAAAGAATTCGTTAAAGACAACCATAAGACTAAAATTGAGAATGGAAATGGGGAATGTTTCAAAGAGACAACAACCCGACCAAGGAGCAGAAAACAGCCGAAGGCCACCAATGGGTCTTCAACACAGCGAGAAAATCCCACACCCGGAAGCGGGCTTCAGCTGGCCCCTAACAAAAATGTGTACTAGTTCAATGAAAATAGATGGTCACACTAAACTCCAAAACATATAAATTAACTAAAATTAAAAAAACATACACGACTAATAAAGGCCACAGGCTCCTGACTTGGGACATGTGCAAAAATGAGGCTTGGTTAAACATGTTTTGAGAGATCTCAACCCTCCCCCTATACCTCTAGCCAATGTAGAATAAACAAACACACAGCAATACGCACAGTAAAAGTTTACCAATGTTAAAATCTTATGAATCCATTCAGAAGATAAAATTCAAAAAAGAAGAGCACACAAGCTGAACTATCTCACCTGCTTCACTGATTGTGATTGGTTTAATGTTGAAAGTCTTGTAAAACATTTTTTTTTTTACTGCAAGTATCGCATGAACTTACATTATTGATGATCCATGTAAATGAGGTTAAGTTCAGATGAACCCTGCAAGAGGGCTATGTACACCCTACAACCATTCAATTCACAAAATATAGTTGACCTACTGATTATAGTGTATGAGATACCTTTAACCTTGATCACTATTCCATGAAATGATGCCAAGGTTTTGCTGAACCCTGTCTGACAAGACATGCAGACCTTGCAAGGATCCAATATACTAAATATTATTATTAAATTACTCATAAGTGAGCCCTACCTGTCAAGGCAAAAGAATTCAAACAATGTATATTTATTTATACTTTTTTCTTGTTTTAGATTTATTAAAAACTTTTCTCTCATATCGTAACTCAACAATAATGATGTTTCTCTAAGAAACCAGATAAATGTCTTTCATTCCCTGTTCTGACCCATAAAACTCAATCATACATTTGACCATGTTTCTCTCTTGCACATGCATACTTCATAAAAGCATGAATTCCATTCTCACACATGCATACTTCCCAATAACACTTGTTCCATTTCATACTGTCATTATATTTTTCATTCTGTCACACACATATATGAAATTCATAAATCATTCTTTCACACACACGTAATTCATAAATCATTCTTTCACACACATATGTCATTAATAAATCATTCTTTCACACACATATGTAATTCATAAATCATAACTTTAAGGACATTTCCTCTTTTAACACTCACACTGAACACATTATGTCACACATCACAACAAACTCTTACTCTGCCTGGTAAAATATTCAACTGCTAAGCAATGATATTGCCCATAACATTACCCAAAAAACAAATGATACATGTATCTTCAAAATGACCAGAAAATGTATTTGCACATGTTTGATGCAACACCAATTAATACCAACCTAATGCCATGACAGGACTGCCAATTCGTCCTGTTTATGCTGCCTTCCTTTTAATGTCAAACTGAATACAATTACATCCAACAATGTCCAAGCCGCAGTCCAACGAACTTTATGTCCAGATTGAGCTTTTAACTTTAACATCAATATTTATATAAACTTTTCACTGTATGTTTATATGACTGATATAGTTCTTGTATTAAAATTCTGGAGTAATTTCAGCAATATGACAAACAAAATAAAACTTTTGTCTACAGATCTATAATCAAATAAAAGTCTTGATTTATTTCTGTCAATCATTCTTCACCTTTTCCTCTTCTTCTTCAGGCTGCAAAAATACAAAGTAAAATATTAAAAGTGCATAAAGTTGTGTGTGTATGAATATTATCACAAGGCATAAACTCAACTTGCTTCAATTTCTCTGTACACAATCATTTTATCATAAAGAAAAGAAGAACAGATGCTCCCGCTTGTAAATATGCAAAAGTCAATGTACTAATTCAAACATAATGACTTGTTTCTGTAGGGGTTGTCTTTAGAGATTGCTCTCATTGTTCAATAACAAACAGTAATGGGGTCAATAACAAACAGTAATGGGGTAACTCCAGAAGGTTGAAAGTGACACCACCAAAACTTGAACGTAATATGTGTTTCGTGATAATAAGCATTGTGTTTAAATTTTATAACATTTGGTGACGCAAAGTGAAGTAAGAGAGCAAAAATTGAAAATTCACCAATTTTCCCATTTATAAAGGGACATAACTCGAGAACTGAGAAAGTGACACCACCCTTATTCGAACTTGATCTGTGTTTAATGGTAATATGCATTGTGCACAAGGGTCCGGAAACGGTCATATTTGCCAGTCATGTCCTAAGATGAAACTATTTGTCCTAAACGAGTAATTGGGATTTAGGACAAATTTTATTTTTTTACAGAAGTAATTTCGGTCATTTCATTGACTCAATGTTTGAAATCGGATTTCTTAATCGCCATTTTGCACTTGTGATCACTTGTTTTTGTTTAAAATCCCTTTCCTGTAATAAAACTGCCACTACAGTAGTTAGATAAACATTGGCTAATGATCGCTAATCACTTTTGACCTGTGGTTTTAATTCACACCTGACAGTGATCACAAGCTCAGAATAATATCTTTAAAACATTAAAGTTCCCTGACAAGTGTATTCATTATTTATTTACTTTTCATCAAAGACAGTCATCAATTCTGATTTAAAAATTAAATCTAAATTTACTTAGAAAAAAGTATATTTCATGAGTAACACATGTGCTTTATTTATTATGTAATACGCATGCGTGAAATTGTCTTCAGCAAATTTAATATTTAATCGTAAAATGCAAATTGATTTCATGCTAAATTAAACGAGTGCAACTATTATCTGTTATATTCAAACACTTTTAAAGGTAATAAAATAAAAAAGCCATAAAAAGCCCGTGATTTCCTGTCAATTTGATAAACAAGACAAATCCCGGAAATGAATCTGGAATTATTCATACTTCAAAATATCGAAAACTTCCGGTTTTAACTTTTGTCAAATCGAAAGAAACGTAAGCAATGTCTGAGAATTAACCATTTTGAGTCATTAAAATCATTTCAATTTTAGACTGTTGCCTTCCCTAAACTGTCCTTCATGGTAACGGTAATCCATTTACCTAGTAAATGCGATGAAACAGCAATACAAGTTCGTCATGTTCGTTGATCCTATGAATATAGTCAAGTTGATATCGACAATTTGAAAAGGGGCACCAACTTTTCAAACATCTCAAAATGACCGAAATTGTCTGGAAAAATTTCCAGATCCTTGATTGTGTATAAGTTTCATAACATTTGGTCATGGTAACCTAAAGTTAGAGAACGGAAACCAATTTCGGGAAGTGTGGAGATACAAGCATGATAAAGGGTAAACCTTAGTGCCACCACTGCCATTGGAAGGGCATAAAAAAGGACTAGGCAGTTGACTTATTTATCAATTATTTCACTCTATACTGAAAAATATACAATATTTTATAAAAAAATATAATAATTTCCCATTTGAATAAATAAAAAATCTTACCACTGCAAGCTGTCTACCAATATTACCAAAAGTAACACCTCCTGAGAAAAATATACATGGAACCCATGACCTTACAAACAGGAAATCAGCTTTTGTATACCTGGAATATATGGGAAAAAAATATTAATACTAATACTCATGGTGCCTTGGCTACATGCATGTATCTCATTAAATTAGTGTGCGCTTGTATTTGTTGTTTACTTAACTTCCAGTGAAACAGTGTGTGTGGATGAAATTTTATACCAGTAAAAGAACCCTATGAGAACATACAACTCTATCAATAGTGACATTAAAATTAGGAGAAATATGCACAGGCCATTCATTGTACCACAATCCAGTGAAATATACTCTGAAGTTGATGTTAATTTATCAACATTTAAGTTACATAATACAGAATTCACTCCTCCCCCTGAAAAAAAATTAGGCTGGAAAGATTAAATTGAAATATAGATAAGGGCTACCTTGGAAATTATGTATAAAATTATGTTATTTTTCTTCTTCAGATTTTAATACATTTCACTTAAAGTGATATAGATATAAGAACAAACTTTATAGCCTACACAGCATGCACAGTTGAGAAAAACTTTTGATAAGGCTTTCTCTCCTTGTACTTCCAATAATGTTACTATAAAAATTCAGCAACAGAAGTAGAAGATAGCAGACATGATTCCAAATAATCAGCTTCATTTTAGTAACGCTGATCATTTTTTTTTATACAAGATCATTCATTATTGATTTGCTTGTACCTGTATTTCTGCTGTCAAGAAAGCAAGAAGTTTAGAGAAATGGAAGTATATTTTAATTGTTTGTTCATCTTCGTCTTCGTATAGAATGAACAATCAAAATTAGTCAAGAAATAACTCTTCTCTATAATTCCTGTTTACAGACAACAGGAGGAGGAGGAGGAGGAGGAGGGACTATAATGATATATCAAATACGATTATTCTATTACACTTATTAGGTGAATTACCTGTAAATTCCAGAATAAACAACCAGTTGTGTCATAAATGTAGCCAGGACAGCAATGCCAACTCCCAAGCTAAACCCACTGCCGGATCTGTCAAATAACCACCACAAACCTATAGACATTGCTGCCAGTGTCAATGATAGTTGAAAATTGTCAGCAAAATCTAATCTCTAATACAAAGTTAAGAAATTTTTTAAAACATACATGAACTTAACATTCAAAAATAGCAAAATTTTCATATTTCAAGACAGTTTCAAGAAACGATCCAAATGAAATTATTCGAAATTCTCAAATAAGGAGTTTTCAATTTTTGTTTATCTAAATTTCATATTTTGTGATAAATATAACAATTGAATAGGTCTAAAAAAAAATTTAAATATGATAAATATGAAAATATACCAGAACATCCACCAATGAATACTTGACACTTTTTCACCATTATTTTTATCATATATCAAGTTTTTCATTATATTAAAAATATAAAATTTAAATTTAAAAAAAAACTTATACCAGAAATACTAGTAAAAACATCTCCCTGAAAATGTAAGATTGTACTGAATTAAACTGAATTAAACAATACACATATACATATATTATGTAGAACTATATATAAAGGATACAGCACTAGCATGGTTGATTCCTACAAATACTGCCACACATCTCATCACACTTGACCATTCCCTTTTATACACAAGTGGTTCTCCTAATTTCTGGTCAAAGAAAGGGTACAACAATCCTATACATGCTGCAAAAGAGAAGTTAATTGCTTTAACAGAGTTGAAAAAAAACCAACATTTTCTGTAGATTCAATATTATGTTCTTATTGCGATTAAAAATTCAAATATTTAGAAATAATAATAATATCAAATTTTATGTGTTTAATACTTATACATTGTATATTGTATGAACTGCTTGATTTAACATGCTACTGGATTTTTATTGGTACAATCTGACAAACCAGTTATTTGACCAAATGCTGATCAGAGTACAAATGTACAAATGTACATTGTATACAAGTAAAAACAAACCTGCTGCTACACCAACTACTGGGTGAACCCACCAGTCTGATGTAAGGTAACTATTATAAAATTCCATAGGAAAATTAGGTATTCCTCGCTGTTTCTGCAGTAAATTCAACACCACAGAAAAAAATGTGCCAACAAAAAATAACACAGTTGCTCTCAATGTTACTGTACAGGAAGCCATTACAAATATTTTCTGAAAAATAAAATAAAAAAATCCATATAAGATCATATATTTGATAGATAATGTAAATTTCTAGTGCATTTATATAATAACAAAGCAGCTTTAAGCTATAACAGGCAATCAAGTAAAAATGCAAAAAAAAAATATATATACAGATAAAGTTTATAAATACATGTACATTGTATATATGATTAATATATCTGACACATAATCACACATGCACTACTGCAGTCAGGGTAATACATTTTACAACAATGTACTTATACATGTTTACTGCTTGAAGTTTCAAGTAATATTTCCTTGTAGAAGTAAATTTGTAAAATTTTAATTCTCATTTCAAGATTTGAATAATCTACTTTGGCTGTTAGTTTTCTAGTTGAATTTTTTGTTTTAGATTTCATCCTGCCAGATTTAGCTTACTGTACGGTATTAGTTTTAATTGTTGCTGGCTGTACAATAACCTAAAGGTGCTGATCTCCACCTCACGTGATCATTGGTGGATAGCTGTCTCATTGGTAATCTTTACCACATCACCTTAGTCTATATTTACCGCATCACCTTATTTCTATTTAGGTTCCCTACTTCCCTGTCAAATGCAAGATAGGTCTTAATTCCAACACTTCGATAGTCATTCATAGAAGCCTAATTTGATGCACATGGATAAAGTGCAGGGTTCTCACAAAGGAATTTTCAAAATGTGTCCAGGGACTTGAAATTTTTACACATGAAATACATTATCATATTATTAAGGTAAAAATGTGTGTCTATTGGAGGTAATTTTAAGGATAAGATTATTGATTTTGTAAAAAGAAAAGAACTGTTGATCATATGTTTATTTTAAAAACATTAAAAGATAAATATACTGGATCTGGTGGGAAATTATTTAAATGTTTTATAGACTTCAAGAAAGCCTTTGATCTTGTATGGCATCTAGGGTTTTTTTTTTTAAATTAAGAAGCATTGGAATTGGAGATAAGATTTATAACATCATTAAAGATATGTATGAACAAACTAATTTATGTGTTAAACAAAAGCAGGTCTAACTTAAATATGAGATAGGAGTTAGACAAGGGGATAACTTAAGTCCATCTCTCTTTAAACTATTTATTAATGACCTCCCAGAGTATTTATTAGATAATAACCATGATAGAAGTGTTCAACTTGGTACACTAAATTTAAACTGCCTCCTATATGCAGATGATTTAGTGCTTCTTTCAAAATCAGCAGAAGGCCTTCAGTCATCTATTGATAGACTATCAGAATATTGTAAAATGTGGGGCCTAGAGGTTAATATGAAAAAGACAAAATGTATAATATTTAATAAATCAGGAAAGGTACAATCCAAAAAATTCCTTTATAATAATAATGTCCTAGAAAATGATAAAAGTTATCGCTACCTTGGAGTTATATTCCACTGCTCTGGCAGTTTTAAAGAAGCTAGACATTCCCTTTATCAAAAAGGCTAAAAAGCATATTTTAATTTTTAAACTTTGTAAAGCATTTGGGAATCAAAAACCAAAGATAAAAAAAAAATTTCATATTTTTAATACACAGTGAAGCCCATTTAATCATATGGTAGTGAGATGTAGGGTTTCTCAAAAAGTACAAAACATTAAAGAACCCCCCAGATAATATTAATTTTTTATTCAATTTATGTAAAAATCTTGAACAAGAAAAGTTGCACTTAAAAATGTGTAAATATTCATTAGGTGTAAACAAGAAAACCACAAATATTGGTGTAATTGGAGAGGTTGGTACTTATCCACTTTTTCTAGAAACAATTTATATGTTAAAATACTGGGGGAGTTCCCGGGGGTTGGACCCCCCCTTTTTTTTTACGATCAATACATTTGAATGGAGACATATAGTTGGAACCCCAAGGTGTATTGAATGGTTTGATTTATTTTTTGGGGATTTATTTGTATTGTTTTCTTGTGTTTTTTTTTTTTTTCATCTGCAATTGTTTTAAACAATCATTGTAATCATTGTATATAAATTTAATGTAATTATTCAGCTCAGTTTTGGGCGCTGTGATTAGCAATAAAACATTATTCTATTTTATTCTACGTCATGTCAAAATGCCAGATTTTGATTGGTTAATACGAGGGAGATAATTCACTCTATCCCATGGCAAATACTCTATTACCCTTCACAGAGACGCTTGCTCAAGTGTGCGCTTTAATAAATACGGATGTACAAGACGACATAGTTTATTACTTTGAATTTGAAATTTAATAGACAGTAATAACAGAAAATTCAGTATAATAAATTAAATAACACATATCTGAGAGGATGATAGAGCAGATTGTTACCCCTCGAAAAGACATTGTCAACCTTGGCTTCGCCTCAGTTGACAATGTTTTCTCGGGGTAACAATCTGCTCTATCACCCTCTCAGCTATGTGTTATTTATATACTATTCCATAGCCTTAATTGAATATCTTGCCTATGACCAAGCAAAGTTTGTTGACTCTAAAGAAGAAAGTTGTTTCCCTGCTGACTTTTCGATCATTTTGAGGTTTTATGCCAAATATTTCATTCGTAAGAGAACACACATTTCCAAAATAGAGATATTCATCCAACAGACATAGACGAGTTACAAATGCACATCATCGCCACATGTACAAATGAAGTCCAAATAACTGAAACTACTATAACGTGTAGTCTCAGAAATAATTATGTCGTCTTCGGACTTAAAAGACTATTTTTCAATTTTTGCTTGAACGTCTTTCTTACAAGACTATCGCTGAGTATCAGCCATGCAGCAGTTTTAATTGTACTTTCAAATTCTTGTATGCTGTTTTTCACGAATACCCTTTGTAAAAATCGAGTTTATGTTACTTACATGCTTTAAACTGAAGACTGCGTCTGATAATGCTCTCTATTGTTGTTTGTTTACTATTAAAATATGTACAACAACATGTTAGATGTTGATCAGCTGTTATCATGTATCTGCCGAGATAGTCGAACCATAAATTTTGACCAATCAAATAAGGGATTTCTTTGCTCCAAGTATAGATATCCAATCAATACTTGCGAACTACAAAGCGGCTTACCTGCCGGTTCTAAAAATAGTTACAATTGATCATGTGACATTGTTCAAAATGGCAGCCAGTGGGAGTGTGTTTGCAGGAAGACCACGAACAGGTTCCAGGCTGCCTGCACAGCTTGACGCGGACGGCAATGAAGCAGAGGTTATCAATATCACAGGGACTATGCCACCCTTAATTTCTCCCAACCTAATTAATAAAAATGGAAAAGTTTTCCTAAGCTTTTAGGTGCAAAGGACAAAAATGGCAGTTTATCATGCATCTAGAAAATAAGTCTGAGTACAGACAAACCTGTGCATTTTGAAAAGTTTTAAGACCTAGCATCCATAAGACATATGAAAGTTATATGCATTTTGTGTATCAGAACGATCAAATCTTTTTCAGATTTTGATGGGCATTTTTTTTTCTATTCCTGATGAAAGTGTAAAATAAAATAATTAAGTGAAATCAGTTGATAACAGAACAGTAATTGACAAATGAACTATAAACATGTAAGCACGAAATGCTTAAACTGCACTTTTATGGAGTCTTTCATTTTATATGTGCCCATTGTAAGCCATGACTTGACTATGGCAAGGATACAAATCCTGGATCGTCCTGAATATGTATGAAATATTTGCCACTGGATGTTAAGCAACCAACAATCAATCAATCAAATCCTGGATGATGGTGTAATCTGCCTTCTTAAAGAAATTTTTAATTCATTGTTGATAGTATAAATCAGACTGCAGCATTTTTATCTTTTAATTTTCCATTGATTTCATTTCCTAAACCTTTTATAGCTTCCTATATTTCATTACTGTACATTTGACTTGTTATTGTCTTTTGGTCTTTATGGATAGTTGTTTTATAGACAATCAAACCACATCTCCTTATTGTTGTGTACATGTAGTTTTATATACAATATTTATCTTTGAAGTTGTGCAATGAATTCAGTAAAAAATTGCATTTTCTGATGTCAGATCTGTCATTATGATATAATACCATTTTTCATTTGAATCAAAAAGATATTTAAAGTACATATTATAATAATTATTGAAGGAGGAGTACATGTTTATAATTATTGTTTAGTAATTATGTAAAATTTCATTGTTGTTGCCAACAAGGGACATATACACATGATATATGTAGGGACATATACACATGATATATGTCCCTTAAGTCTATTCAAAACCCAATTCAGAAAATTCATTTGGAAGTAAAATAAAAAGATATGATTAGAAAATATAACTCTCTTTTTATTTCAAATTACTGTATTACAATGTACATGTACTTACAATTTTCACCAACAAGGGTTAATTTACATGTATGTTAACTTTTCTTTAAAGGTACTTTTAAAAATACTTGGGCTGACAGATATTTTTAACCAATCAAGCCTACTCATTTAAGTTAAAAAAAAAAAACATTACACAAAACAGAATAACATTTTTCAATTAGCAGAATAAATTTCACCATTTTATGAAAATTCTACAAAACTTTGATTTTTTTTTGTAAAACCTGGTCAAAATGATTAAATATACCATTTTAGGGAAATAAAGAGTAAAACATGAATATAGTTAACATTTACACCTACAATGCTTTTTATTTTGTAACATACTCATCTATATAAAGTTATAAACTAAAGTATATTTGATTTGTTGAGGCTTAAGCTTATTGCATCTGTAATTAAAAAATCATAGAAACACCTCAAATGAATGCACTGACAAATTTCCCTTTCCTGCCACACAAACAGGTAAATTAGCAGTCCTGTGATATCACAGCTAAGCTATATTTTAATTTGTATTTACTGTATCATGATAGTTGGCTTTACCATTGATCTAAGCTAAGTATGTAATTTTTTCATACTTTTGGCTGTACTACCCGCTGAATTTCACTGTTTCATATATATACCATTTGTTTTACAGTTTGATGTGAGAGAAGATGAGGAACAAGATGTAAAACTTGGTCAGACTTTGGATCTGTTGTTAGCTGCAGGATACTTCAGAGCTAGAATTAAAGGATTATCTCCCTTTGACAAAGTACAATACAATTATGTTTTTATTCATATATTCTTACAGATATAACAGAAATTTACATTTTTTATATGTATTCTCATAAGAAACTTTTAGTCTTGCTGAGTTTAACATGTCATGTGATCAATGTCCAACTTTTTGCTTCTTAAATATTTTGTAATATATATACATGTATATATATAATATATATATTTATGAAAAAAACCCATTGTCAGTGTCTAGCGGCTTTCATCCATCTGAAGGGACTTTTCAAGACTAATACGTTGTTGTTGGTAACGTTGGTCGTTAACATTGTTGAGGAGGTTTTATGACATGTCATTGTCGATGTTTTGCTTTTTATATATATCATTAAATGAAAGATTAAGTAATGAATATTTGAACTTTTCATTGTTTTGACTTCAAAATTTAATATAAGGACTTAATGTAGTTTAATATATTTTAATAAATGAATGATCTAGTTATGAATATTTTATTGTTTTGACTATAAAATGTTAAATAAGTACTTAATATATTTTTGGTTATATTTTTTTAATTGAAGGTAGTTGGTGGAATGACATGGTGTATAACAACCTGTAATTTTGATGTTGATGTTGATCTGCTTTTTCAAGAAAATTCCACAATTGGACAAAAAATGTGAGTTTTGTTTCATGAGGTTGTATAAAACTTGCATTTTCAGTTTTATGAACTTGAAATAAAGAATAAATTTCAGCACGTTAAGATAAAGATATGGAACTATGGGGTTTTCATAAATGAGACAGGAATCCAGGCCAACATCTGAATATAATAAAAACCATCATTGGCTAGGACACATTTATGATAAGGAAAGATTTTTCATTGTCCCTCATATATACAAGAAATTATAGTTCTAATGTTATTAGGCCAAATAAAAATATATGTGTGTTTCCAGTTACTCGACCGACACTAGTTTACACAACCAACCCTAAAACTTTTTTTTGCATTTCCGAAAAATAAATTTGAACAATCACATTTTCTGGAATGTTAACTTCAATAATTAATTTCACAAACTTCTGTCATCTGAATTTCCATAAAAAGTATCCATTACGGCTAAAAATACCACAAGTTCTGAACAGAATGTAACAAAATTAATTAAAAACGTAACATGTCTGTTTATTTTTCAACCAAACATTTAGAAAATGTGAAGTTGTATATAGCCAGAACTGGACTCATTGAAAACACAATTTTTTCCTGGATTTTGACAATCCCTCCAAAAAAGTGCCTACCTATCGACCCTTTTTTGTTCAGAATATAACTGGAACCACCCATATAATTGTATTTGACTTTTATGTATGCCAAAATTTAGTCTCTCATTTTTGGGATAAAGATTGCATTTCAAAATCCTTATGGTACTGACTTGATATCTATATCTTCCAAGATTTATCCCTATCTTTGATAGTTCAAACAAAATAGTGCAGTGAAGTAGTCATTCTTTAGGTCTTATCCAGGCAATGTAATGCAATTAATCCATGATATGTTATACTTAGATATTGAAGTTAAAATATGATGTGTATTTGAATTACCATACTTGTCAAGAAAACCTTGTTATATTGATAATTACATAAGTAATGCATGGCAAATGCAGTCAGGATTCTACTCCGTCAAAATTATCTCCCCATTACGCCACCTAATTTTTATAATCGTAAAAATGGAAGCCATTGTAGTGATGACGTGCTGTCAATTTAGCTCTTGAAAACCGATAAATTTATCCACATAGCATCATTACGATCCTTAATTTTATATGCTAGTTGTATTTTAAAAGACAAATGTATCTTCTAGCTGTTTAGCATCATTTAATGTACTTTTATGCATTTGGTCAACTTAAAACTATTATCTGATCGGTTGTCCAGGGGATTTTCGAACGTTAAAAAATATTAAAAAAAATTCTAATTAAATATTTCGTGGAAGGGCAGACTATAAATTTTCAGAGGTTGAAGACTAATTACCCTAGATAACACACAAAAAAAATGAAGTATTTTTGAAGTTATGCATTTTTAAGATCCACATGAAAAGTCTGTCGTCAAGTACTTTTAGTAAAAATATGTTATTCCAACACACCTATTCTATTCTTATGACTCATTAGAAAGGTCACTTGACCCATATATTTCGTTTTTTAGTACTGTAAATTTTTAATGTTATTATATCAACCTAGAGTCTAAATATATAAAAATAATAGAATCTGAAGCGAGATGATGTATCAAATATTTTTCTTTTATACGTTTTCCAGACAGAAAAGTCAACTCAAACAAGCCTAAACATAAAAAGGTGTACTTGACTTTCTCTTTTCAATGAAATTATTGCCCATTTTTGGGATTTTTTCCCCAAAAACTGTCACCAGGGGCCCGGGGGCAGAGATGCAAATTAAATCTTTAAAAAGATCAATTAATTTTTTTTCGGTGGAATTTATGCTTATGCACAAAAAAGATCCACATGTATTTGCACCTACCACAATCGACGGTTTTGTGAAAATTTGTCTTTAATTTAAAAGTTAACAAATATCTCTAAGCTACATACCATAATTTAAGTAAAAACACATACATAAGATGCATAAAATCCTAAATTAGGCACTTTCATTGAACTTTTAAGGCCCATAGATACAGATGTAAACAATTCAAATTTACCAACTTAGCCTTTTTAACCTTCTCTAACAAAGAGTTCCATTTCTTTTGCTTAATTTCAACTGGGTTTACGCCTGTATGAATCTGTTGTAGAAATAGGTTCAACAACAAACTTACAATCATTTACAAAGCAAGATAACTCTAACTCAAATTTACAATTCAATGTTTTATTTAAAATTCACAAAATTGCAAAATGAAAGCAATGTTTACCCTTCAGTGCTCACAAGCAATCTAATTAACTTTTCTCTGTTTTGCATGTGTTAACTGACAATGTGTCATATAACATCACATGTGGACTATTAGATCAAAGTTAAATGATATTTTTAGATGAAGATCTGTTGTATTTGATAGGGTCAGTAACATACATTGATTCTCTAAACTAAATATTTATTATATTGTGGATTCTTTATTTTTCGTTAGATACCAATTTTTGTGGATTTCTTTGGTAAAGAGGAACCACAAATTTAAATGTTCAACAAATTACAAATTTTCTATTGGGTTGTATGCAGACTTTGACATAACCATGAAATCAAATATCCACAAAAATGCAAGATTTCCTCAATCCATGAAAATTGGTATCCACGAACATAAATGAATTTACAGTATTTTATATTCCAGACATGGCCAGTGTTCCACTACAGTATTTTATTTATCCTGGAGATTAAAATTTTATCAATTCCAAATGAATAGTGAAACAAGAAAATGTAGTTCTTCATCACAACTGCTACTGAGATTTCAAATTCAGTTTTAACCATTTTGCTTCATTAGGCAACATCTTTAATACCAAAATTTTTTGATAACATAATGATAAAGAAATCCAAAGCTTAGATTTCATAAAAAAAAATCCCTCTTTGATGTGAATCAAGCCTCTTTTAAAAATATTATGTATGACTGTAATCTGTTATATAAGTTGCTGTGTGATTAATAGGATGCATGTATTTTTCCAATTCAATTAAATACAGCATTCAGTCAGTGTTAAAAATTGATCTTATTATCCAACTGTTATTTTCAGAGCATTAACAGAAAAGATTGTAGCTGTTTTGCCAAAAATGAAATGTCCACATAGAATAGAACCTCATCAAATACAAGGATTGGATTTTATACATATCTATCCAGTTGTACAATGGTTGGTGAAACGTGCTGTGGAAACAAAAGAAGAAATGGGGGATTACATCAGGGCATTCTCAGTGTCGCAATTCAACAAAAACCATAAAACGCCAGAGGTTTGATAATATTGTTTATATAATTTATACTCAAAATGTAATTAATACCTATTAGTGTAAACAACAGTAGCAAAATTGAATAATTTTCTGTTAATTCAAATACATTTTAAATCTAGATATCTAAACAATTTAAACCTTGTCGGTCTAATTATTTTCTCTCAAATACATGCTAGAAAATGAGAAAAATGTTAAAATTAATGAATACACAATGTAACTGTTAATTTTAAACAGTAATTATTAAAGCATAAGCGCTTTATACTAAAAATGTGAGCACATTCAACACTCTTACAACCCTATTTAATCACAAAAAGAAGCATTCAAATTTTATAATTAAATTTTTATGCTACAACCATGAAATTATGAGTTAAATCAAACCTTTCTTTGTATTTCTATGTATTGTTTTACTTTTGTCATAGAGAGCATATGCAGTCATATGATAGATTTTCCTTTTTATACAGAAATAAAATATAACTTTCAAAATTACCTAATCTTACGAAACTTCTAAGAAATTTAATTATGTAAGATAAATTATGTGTACATCAAAAAGTGAAAAGTGTTAATGAATACACAATAAACATGTATGTGTTAATTTGAAGCAGTGATTTCTTGGTGTTACCTCTTACAACATCTGTCCAAATTAGTTTTGCTAAGAATTCCGCTCAAGCCAGAGCTAGGGGCCATCTTAAACTTGCAGTGAGGTGAGAGTTTTTTGCTCCGTGTTGAAGGCCTCACTGTGACTTTGAGATGAAGAACAGCAATAAAAACACTGTTCCTTTGCTTTTTGTGTGTTTTTTTGTTGTGCATGTACTGATTTTGTGTCATGGATGGATACCCCATATCCTTTGTTTTTCTATTATATATACATAATAAATTTTGTATACATCAACATTTTCTTTTACAGGATGTTTCATTTGAGTTATTGATAGAAAAATCAACAGACTCAGTCGCCAGTGTAAAGGTAATATCTAATTACTAACAAAATACTGTGGATTCATTTATTTTTTAGCTCACCTGGCCCAAAGGGCCAAGTAAGCTTTTCTCATCACTTGGCGTCCATCGTCCTGCGTCCGTTGTCCGTAAACTTTTCCAAAAATCTTCTCCTCTGAAACTACTGGGCCAAATTTGACCAAACTTGGCCACAATCATCATTGGGGTATCTAGTTTGATAAATGTGTCCGGTGACCCAGCCAACCAACCAAGATGGCCGCCATGGCTAAAAATAGAACATAGGGGTAAAATGTAGATTTTGGCTTATATCTCTGAAACCAAAGCATTTAGAGCAAATCTGACAGGAGTAAAATTGTATATCAGGTCAAGATCTATCTGCCCTGCAAACAATTTTCATAAATTTTGTAAATTTTTGTAAATTTTTACAAAATATTTTCCACTGTAACTACTGGGCCAAGTTCATTATAGATAGAGATGATTGTAAGCAGCAAGAATGTTCAGTAAAGTAAGATCTACAAACACATCACCATCACCAAAACACAATTTTGTTATGAATCCATCTGTGTCCTTTGTTTAATATGAACATAGACCATGGTGAGCGACACAGGCTCTTTAGAGGCTCTAGTTGTGGATTGAGAGAAAATTGTATTTCCGTGGATATTGGATTTCATGGTTTTGCCAAAGTCTGCATACAAACCTATAAAAAATTTGTACTTTGTTGAACATTTAAATTAGTGAACTCCGTTTGGTGAACCAACGCCTGTGTGAATCCTTTCGGTAGAGCCCATGAAGTGGATACCTTTGGTGTGCCGGGTTGTCAAATAATGCAAATGAATGCAACACTTAAATAATACTCAAAATTGATATTATTTAAATTAGTGGTTCACTTTTAAATGTAATGAGATAAATTTTACCATGACAAGATGCACTCTGCTAAATTTTAAGTTTCATTACTGTTTAGGAATCTTTTTAGTGGTTTTGATGATGTAATAAAATCTAGTCTTGTGCTCAAGTTGAACACATATTGCAGGAGAATTACAAGCCACAGAGAAGGTACCGCAGACCTGATGCTGAAAACTTAAAAGATGAAGAAACAAGAGTTCATTCTACATTGTTAGAATATGGCAGGTAAAGTTTGGTAAAGAATGTATTTACTTATTAAATTTTATACAAATAAAATTTTGAATATTCTTCTAAATTTTCATATACTGGTTTATCAAAAATGTGAGATTTCTTCTGAATTTGAAAGTTCTCTGAAATTATAGAAAATGAAAAAATATTTTTATCGAGCGAAAGCAGCATCAATTTTTTTAATTTTTTCCAGACGTTATGGAATCAGTAAATCAGACCAGGAAGAAAAGGTAACAGAAAAGTTATTGACATCAACTGTTGTATGAACTTGTATGTCTTTTCAAGTATTTTACCTTTCTCTTGGGGGCCCTCAAATCTGTATTCTTTAATTTTTTAAGCCATTTTTCTCTTTTCTTTATATCTTTTGCCCATTATAATTTAACACCCTGTTATTCTCAATTCTTTATTTTTTTACTCATTTTTCTGTTGTAGTTGTCCATTATTCTCAATTATGTAAACCCCACTCAGACTCTCATGCAGTTTACTGTTCAGCCTAAGTTTACTGGTATATGAAGAATCATATGATACAGACTAGCCAATGTATCTAGAAGCATACACTATTGCTCCTCTGAAGATACTTTTATGTTCCAATTTAAATATTTAAATATAAATTTTCTAGAAGGGAAAGATGTGGTATCCTTATTTATCCTGATACTGTGAATTTATTTTTGTGGATACCAATTTTCTTGGTTGGAGGAAATATTTGATTTTCTGGATGTGCATACAAACCTTTAGAAAATTTTCATTTTTTTTATCATTTGAATTTGTGGTTAACAGTTATCGACAAAATCCACAAAAAATGGTACCCAATGAATAAAAATGAATCCACAGTACATGGCAAATCGGAGGACAGCAAAATTTGATGTCTTACTTGAATATCAATCAGCTAAATGTTGAAACCAACCAAATGATGAATTCAGAACTATTGTTTAAAAAAATGTCCACTAATCAGCAGTCATGAAGTTTTGAACAAGTGAAAAATTAGAGAAATTGTATCAAATCAAATAGAAGAAAACATCTAATTAATATCGGATAAAATATTTAGTTGACAATTATAGTAATATTTTGTGTTTTGAAACTTGAGAATAATTAAGGCATGTGTTAAATGTATGTTAATGATGTATATTTCTCAGGAAAGTGAAAAAAGTGCTAAGAAACGTGCTGTTGCAGCTGGTTTGGGAGGGGAGACAACTGAGGAAGATTTACAGGCACAAGAAGAGGTATATTTATAAATATTTGAAACACTTTTTAGCTCACCTTTCCAAAGGAAATGTGAGCTTTTGCCATCACTTGGCATCCGTCATCGTCGTCCGTCCTGTATAAACTATTTCAAACATCTTCTCCTCTGAAACTACTGAACCAATTCCTACCAAACTTATGCTGAATGATGCTTAGGGTATCTAGAATAAAGTTTGTGTTTTATTTTTTGTTTCGTAAAAAAACATGGCCGCCATGGCTAAAAATAGAACATAGGGTAAAATGTAGTTTTTGGCTTATATCTCGAAAACTAAAGCATTTAGAGGAAATAATCTGAAGGGGGTAAAAATGTTCATTAGGTCAAGTTCTATCAGCCCTGAAATTTTCAGATGAATCTAACATTCCATTGTTGGGTTGCTGCCACTAAATTGGTATTTTTAAGGAAATTTTGCAGATTTTGGTTATCTTGAATATTATTATAGATAAAGATAAACTGTAAACAGAAAAAAATTTCAGCAAAGTAAGATCTACAAATAAGTTTTATATGATCAAAATTGTCAATTGATCCCTTAAGGAGTTATTGCCCTTTAAGGACTATTTTACACAATTTGTTTATCATGTTTTCTAACTTTAAAATATCTTATCTGAAACTATTGAACCAAATTAAACAAATCTTAAGCTGAATGATTCTTAGGTTATCTAGAATAAAGTTTGTGTTTTATTTTCTGTTTCCTCAGAAAACATGGCTGCCATGGCTAAAAATAGAACATAGGGTAAAATGCAGTTTTTGACTTATATCTCAAAAACTAAAGCATTTAGAGCAAATCAGACAAGAAGTTAAAGTATTCATTAGGTCAAGGTCTACCTGCCCTGAAATTATCAGCCAAATCGGGTATCTGATATTTAGGTTATTGCCCCTGTATTGATGATTTGAAGGAAATTTTGCAGTTTTCTGTTATTATCTTGAATATTATTATAGATAAAGATAAACTGTAAACAGCAAAAATGTTAAGCAAAGTAAGATCTACAAATAAGTTTATATGACCAGAATTGTCAATTGACCCCTTAAGAAGTTAATGCCCTTTAAAGACAATTTTTCACAATTTGTTCATCTAGTTTGCTGCTTACTTTAAAAAATCTTCTCCTTTAAAACTGCTGAATCAATTTCAGCCAAACTTGGGCTGAATGAGTTTCAGAGTATCTAGTATAAATTTTGTGTTTTATTTTCTTGTATGTCAAGAAACATAGCCACTATGGCTAAAATGGAACATAGGGATAAAATGCATTTTTTTGCTTTTGAAGAAAATATGACAGATACAAAGAACATTTAAATGGCATTTTTAAGCCACTCATTAATATATATTGAAAAGCAAAAATAATCATTGATGAAAGATTTAAGAAAAAAATTACAGGTGAGCGATTCAGGCTCTTGAGAGCCTCTTGTTTAAAAACATTTTGTCAATATAATTATTGATATTTTTTTAGAGGCCATGGTGGCTGAATGGTCTAAGCAATCAAATTACTGTATCACTAGCCTGTCAACACTGAAATTGTGAGTTTGAATCCTGCAAGTGGCAGGTGTGTTTGACTCCAATCTTAATTTACTAGGATTGTCAGTTTTCCTACTGAAGGTCGGTGGTTTCCTCCACCAATGAAAACAGAGAGCCACTAAATAGTGAGATAGTGCTGAACACTAATCAATCAATCAATATAGATATTTTATTCAATTTGTATATGTGTTATCAATTTCTAGGCTCTTTACTTTTGAAATCTATATTTCTTCACACAAATTTTTCAATAAGTTATATAGCAAATGAAACTCAAATAACAATGATGAATCATTCTATTGTTTGATGCTATTATTTTCCTATATAAGCTTAAGGGGTTACTCTCAGACCTACTTAGTGTTTGTGAGTAGAAATATCTAAATCAATCAGATGCTCCAAATCAAACTTTATTTCATTTCTATATTCTTAATTTTTTTTCCATTCCTCTATTCTTTATAAATTTTGCCAATTATTTTCTAATTTTTATATTTTAGCACCTCTTTTTTCTCTATTCTTGATTTTTTTTTACTTATTTATCTCTTTCTTTATGTTTTTGTTTAATTTTTCTGTAGTATTGGCCTATTAATCTCTATTCTGTAAACTCCATCCAGACCCTCTTGGTAGTATTATTTTGTTAGAATGTGTACTTCGAATTTTAAAATATGTAGAATTTTGTAGATTTCTTGTTTAAGAAATAGCACAATAATTTTAAACATAGGCAGATGATTTTGTTGTGTTGGTATATTTTTATTTCTTAATCCAGTTTATTTCATTTTAAAGTGTTTTTTTTTGTTTCAGAAAAGGATAGCCATGTTGATGTCAAGAATGTCAGCTATGGGGGTTCAAGAGGTATGGCAATAGGCTATTTTTCATATTACCTACTTTTGACTCCAGAGTATATAATTTTTAAATTTTTATGCCCCACCTAGGGGCATTATGTTTTTCGGTCTGTGCGTCTGCTCGTTCGTTTTTGTCCGTCTGTCCTTCCGTTCGTTCGTTCATTCATCTGTCCGTCTGTCCCGCTTCAGGTTTAAGTTTTTGGTCAAAGTAGTTTTTGATGAAGTTGAAGACCAATCAACTTGAAACTTAGTACACGTGTTCCCTATGATATGATCTTTCTAATTTTAATGCCAAATTAGAGTTTTGACCCCAATTTCATGGTCCACTGAACATAGAAAATGATAGTGCGAGTGAGGCATCTGTGTACTATGGACACATTTTTGTTTTTTAAGAGTAATTTAAAGAAGTAAAATTAAGCTTACAATTGGTGCAGTTTCTGGTAAAATGAACTGTTTTTCGAAAATTTTGTCGTGTATAGAAAACATAAAGCAATTAATTTTTTCCCCAAATTGCACTGAATATATGCTTGTTTTTATTTCTTTGCATTGCTCTTTCATGACAGAGTACCAGTATGTCCTACCACAGAGAAGGTCACTTGTTGAAAAATTTATATACTCTAGAGTAAAAGTCAGTTATATGAAAATAGCCTATTTTACAATTAATTCAGACTGAAATCTTACTTATGCTATATTATATTTTGTCTGCTAAAATAATTTTTTTTCTGATTTAGATACTAAAGCAATAATAAAACATTTCAGAGAATGGTGTTTCGATAGTTAAATAAATATATTGCATTTTAATGTGTATGACTTTTGATATTTTTGTAAGATTGCAAATGTAATGTATATTAATTATTGACCAAAAGAATAGGGAAAAAATATTGCATGGTTAGTGATAACTGGCTAAAGATCATATATGGCCAACTTTTGTTTGTTTGTGGGCTAACAAGATACCCCACCCTCCAAAACAAAAATATTTGGTAGTTCATAGAATTAAAAAAAAAAGCAAAAAAGCAAAAATTTATGGGAACATGTAACAGCTAAGATGAGTCTAGGATTTTAAAATAAAAATTTAATGCATCAAGACCATTTGTAAATTTGCAGTCAAATCTTTAGAATATTTGAAAAAAAATTGAATTAATTCAGAATTTAAAATATTTTGAAAAGATGTACTTATTATCTGGAAAAACTGCAATAAAATGCTAAAGCCTTAAGAAATTGACTTGATGAAATTTATTTCTGAAATTTCCCAAAAGTCGTGACGTTTGCATCTCAAAGGACATTAATGGTTTACTTTTACAAATTGTGACTTGGATGGAGAGTTGTCTCATTGGCACTCATACCACATCTTCTTATATCTATATGTTAAATAATCCTGTGGTCAGTTTTGTTTCATATACTGTTAATTTCTTGATTTTATTGCATGTAAGTTTTGTTTTTGTTTGCATGGCAGGGTAAACTAACAGCTAGTGCTGTAGGATCAATAGTCAGCATGCAGAGTGAACAAATACAGCAGATACATACAGAATATGCTGAAAAAGTAAGTAATAGGCTAGATAGTCAATACTTAGCTTCCTTTGCTTTGCCTTTATGCCTTATCACCCTGCTCAGTATCAATGTAATTCATCATTGCTTTGATATGTGAGCAGAACTTATCAGGAATGTCACAATGTCTGAGGAGACATTATAAAGCTGTACTTTCGTCAAACATAAAACTGTCTAAGATGGAGGAAAAAGAAGAAATAGCATGATAAGCAGATTATCAGGTTTTCTGTGTATCGATGTTGTAAAATATCAGCCACTCGATACAATGTGAAGCTTTCTAGCTGGTTTGCTGCATTCACTTTACAAGAAGATTCACATTGTGGCTTGCGGATGATATTTTATCAATGTTTAGAAAACCCAATAATCTATACCTATTCTTCATTCTAAGGGCGTTGGTTAAGCAACAGGCAGCGGTTCAGCTTATTATTTATAATACTGCATTCTTGTGCATAGCAGAGATGTATTTAAAACTTTAGAGTGGAAGCAGGAATTCTTGTCCAGGATATATTTCTATTCCAGTTCATGTAACTTAGTAAGTTTACAGCTTTAACTTTGCTACTTTTTGTCTGATAAAATCAGAATTTATTTGGAACGTTTTTCTTTTTCTTAAAATAATTAAAAAACAGATGATTTCAGATAGCTAGTTTCTTTTCAGAGAAGTCATTTTCGTCTCTTAAACTCTCTTTATAATTTATGGGATCCATTGCAAGTAGATTTTAATACATATCATTTTGGTTTTATGTTGTAATATGCATGTTCAATTTACAACACAGTATAAGTAATTACAGCATGTTTTTTTTTACTTTTTTAATAGATTTCTAGTTAAATAGTAATGATAACATCATACCTCATTACAATGAAAAATCACTCTGAAAAATTAAACATTGTCAATCTTTGCAAAAATATATTACAAGAACTTCTACATGGATGTACAGTTTGATTATCCATGCAGCCAAATGCAATATTATACTTATTCATTACATCAATAAAAAAATAAGAGAAGGATGACAACTGGCCTTACAACTTTTGTAACCTCCTGTTAAATGAATAATTTATGAAGGGGTCCACACAAACTACAAGATAGACTTTTAATTTACAGGATGAATTTGTCTTGTCAGATTTGAATGCATGTTAAATATTTTAGTGAATTGCTTTCTATCTTATTTTCTTTAGATTTGTTGCATAACTATCGTTAAAAATTTTCTTTGATATTTTCCATGTTAATTAAATATTTTGATTTTTTTGGCCACTCCAAATTCATTCACAGTTCTACTTATTCGCTCTCTCAAAAGTTTTGGAAACTTACAAAAAAAAATTAACCACCATTCCCTGATGACTTTCTTACCAATCGCTTCATTCAAATGAAATCAACAATTTCATTTTTAAAATATCATCACTAGCCCTGAAATTCACTTAAAATTACATTTTTTTTTGTGGTGAAATAATATTTCTCACTCCTGAAAATAGAAGTTTTGTAGAGTATAAGTTAAAAAAGCCTTCCTTTCACAAATTTCAGGTATCGCTTGCTAAAATAATCATTTAAGAAAAAAATTAAAAGCAAACATTTTGCTCACTCTGCATTTTGTACATTAAAGTCAGAAGAACAAGTATTTGTATTGAGTGGCCTTACTGTAAGTCATAACAATGATTTGATAATATATTGTACACATGTTCTATTTAAAGCAATCAGAGATTGAGCAGATTGAAAAGACAGAGAGAGTTGGAGGAGAGCAACAACATAAACGTGTAAAGGCTGCAATGTCAAAACAAATTGAGCAACAGAAATCTAAACTAGATGAGGTTTGTATATTATTATTAGCTCACCTGGCCCGAAGGGCCAAGTGAGCTTTTCTCATCACTTGGCGTCCGTGGTCGTCCGTCGTCGTCATTAACTTTTTACATTTTAAACTTCTTCTAGAGAACCACTGAATGGAATGAAACCAAACATGGCATGAATGTTCCTTATGAGGTGCTGACCAAGTGTTGTTACTTTGTAGCGGATCCATCATCCAAGATGGCCGCCAGCGGGGGACTTAGTTTAACATAGGACCCTATGGGAAATACATACAAATGTCTTCTTTTAGAGAACCAATGAATGGAATGAAACCAAACATGGCATGAATGTTCCTTATGAGGTGCTGACCAAGTGTTGTTACATTGAAGCTGATCCATTATCCAAGATGGCCGCCAGCGGGGGACTTGGTTTAACATGGGAGCCTATGGGAAATACATACAAATGTCTTCTTTTAGAGAACCACTAAATGGAATGAAACCAAACATGGTATGAATGTTCCTTATGAGGTGCTGACCGAGTGTTGTTACTTTGAAGCCGATCCATAATCCAAGATGGCCGCCAGCAGGGGACTTAGTTTAACATGGGACCTTATGGGAAATACATACAAATGTCTTCTTTTAGAGAACCACTGAATAAAATGAAACCAAACATGGCATGAATGTTCCTTATGAGGTGCTGACCGAGTGTTGTTACTTTGAAGCCGATCCATAATCCAAGATTGCCGCCAGCGGGGGACTTGGTTTAACATGGGAGCCTATGGGAAATACATACAAATGTCTTCTTTTAGAGAACCACTGAATGCAATGAAACCAAACATGGCATGAATGTTCCTTATGAGGTGCTGACCAAGTTTGTTACTTTGAAGCTGATCCTTCATCCATGATGGCCGCCAAGTGGGGGACTTCCTTTAACATAAGACCCTAAAATACATACAAATGCTTCTTCAAGAGGTGCACTGAATGGAATGAAACCAAAACATGGCATAAATGTTTCTTATGAGGTGCTGATGAAGTGTTGCTACTTTGTTGCTGATTTACTGTTCAAGATGGCCACCAGGATTTTTTTATTAAATTACAGGACCAATATTAAACCAAATTTGGCCTCACTCATTATTAGGGTATCTGTTATGATTTTAATCTATTTTTACATGATTTCCAAAACCAAAGTAGAATCAGGTGAGCGACACAGGCTCTTGAGAGCCTCTAGTTTTATGACTCCAATATTACATGCATGCAGTTTAAGCTAACTTTGCCTGAAGGTCTAGTGTCATTCTTGAAAGTTGTATCAATATACAATAGACTTTAAAAGCCCTAAACTCTGGGTTTAATTATGTGGCTTGTATAATCCTTTAATAACCACCATGATAATTTAGAGGGAAAAAAACATGAAATTATACTGATGATAATGTTTTTCTTGTATTTTTGTTTGAACAGTTCTTATAGCATTCATGATGCTGAATGTGTACTTAGATGGTCTGCCACAACTTACCTATTTGAGAAATGAATATGAGTTGAGGCAATTTTTCCCTTCCAGGAAAACATTTCAAGAAGAACATTTGTTGTTGGAAATATTCATTAATGTTAAGATGTAAATTTTTGTACATCAGTTTGGTTTAACTGTGAAGTTGTGCTGATGTAGGACACATTTATTATACGACCGCAAAAAATTTTTTGGGATCGTATAATGGTATGATGTCGTCGTCTGTGTCGTTGTCGTCCGAAGACACATTGGTTTCCGGACAATAACTTTAGTTTAAGTGAATGGATCTCTATGAAATTTTTTAAGAAGGTTCAATAGCACAAAAGAAAGATTGGGATTGATTTTGGGGATGATGGTCCCAACCGTTTAGGAATTAGGGGCCCAAAAGGGGCCCAAAACAAGCATTTTTCTAGTTTCAGGATAATAACTTGTGTATAAGTATTTTGATTGCTCTGAAATTGTACCACAATGTTTAATACCACAAGTAGAAGGTTGGGATTCATCTAAGGGGTTATGGGGCCAACAGTTTAGGAATTAAGGGCCAAAAAGGGGCCAAAAACAAGCATTTTTCTAGTTTCCAGACAATAACTTGTGTGTAAGTGTATGGATCTCTCTGACATTGTAACACAAGGTTCCATATCACAAAGGGAAGTCTGGGATTGAGTATGGGGTTAATTGCCCAAAACATGTAGGAATTAGGAGCCAAAAAGGGCCAAAAACAAGCATTTTTCTAGTTTCCAGACAATAACTTGTGTTTAAGTGTATGGATCTCTTTGAAATTGTACTACAAGGTTCCATACTACAAAGGAAAGGCTTGGATTGAGTAATGGGGTTATTTCTCCAAGGAGGGTTTCAAAAAGTTTGGAGGGGGGGGGGATTTTTTTCCAATTTTTTGAGGGGATTCATATTTTTTTTTCAAAATTTTTCATATTTCGAATTTTTGAAAATTTTCAAGAAGAAATCGTCCATTGCACAGTATTGCGCAATAGATTTGAAAGATCTTTGACCACATTTATTTTGTGTCAGAAACCTATATTATGTCAAAAATTTGATCACAATCCAAATTCAGACAGTATCAAGCTTGAATATTGTGTCCAAATTTGCCCCAACTGTTCAGGGTTCGCCTTCTGCGGTCGTATCAGGCTGCGCTCAGCGAAGCATTTTATTTTTATTCTGGTACAGATTCTTTTATTTTATAAAAGATCCATCCCCTCATAAGAATGAAAAAGATGACAAGAAATGATAATCATCATGCAAATATTTGGGTTGTCATGTGTTTTTAGTTGAAATGTTTTTTTTTTCAAACTTGAAACTATCTTTTACTCCTATATTCCTTATTTGAACCTGTATAAAAGTCTAATAATTTAGATGCAAATATCATCCTTTGTTGTATAAAAATACACTTTGTGATAAGCATATGCTCAAAAGAGACAATAAACTAATTATTGGATAAAGAATTTAGCTATCTATTCAATTTTGTAACTTTTTTATTTAAGCGTCACTGATGAGTATTTTATAGACTAAATGTGCATCTGGCATACAAAATTGCAATCCTGGTATCATTGATGAGGTTTTTTTTCCTTTTTATACGCCCGTCAAAATTTTGACGGGACGTTGTATGGTATACAAATGTCGTCTGTCCGTCTGTCTGTCCGGCGTAAACATGTCGCACCGTAACTTGAGAACGACTTATCCAAATTTCATGAAACTTAAAATAGTTGTTTTTATGATGGTCAAACGATCTGTATACTTTTTGGTGAAAATAAGATTAAAACTTTTTGAGTTACGGGACTTAGTAACTAAAACAGGTGTGTGTTTTTTTTCACATGAATTGCCGTATCTCAAAAACAATTTATGATTATTGCTTAAAACTTTACACACTTCTTAGTTATATTAATCTTAAGATCTGTATACTTTTTGGTGATGATTTAAAATTTTATTTTAGAGATATTGAGTATTTTGTTAAAAAAGGGGGAGGGGTTTTTCACATGTCGCGCCGTATCTCAAAAACAGTGTATGATTATTGCTTAAAACTTTACACACTTCTTAGTTATATTAATCTTAAGATCTGTATACTTCTTGTGATGATTCAAAATTTCATTTTTGAGTTATTGAGTATTTTGTTCAAAAAAGGTGGAGGGGTTTTTCACATGTCTCTCTGTATCTCAAAAATGATTTATGATTATTGCTTAAAATTTTACACACTTCTTAGTTATATTAATCTTAAGATCTGTATACTTTTTGGTTTTGATTCAAAATTTTATTTTTGAGATATAGATTTTTTTTTTAAAAAAGGGGGGTTTTCACATGTCGCGCCGTATCTCAAAAACGATTTATGTATATTGCTTGAAATTTTACACACTTCTTAGTTATATCAATCTAAAGATCTGTATACTTTTTGGTTTTGATTCAAAATTTTATTTTAGAGATATTGAGTTTTTTGTAAAAAAAGGGGGTTTTCGCATGTCAGGCCATATGTCAGAAACTATTTATGATTATTGCATAAAAATTCACACACAAGACGATGGGCTTATCATGCGCTCATGGGGCAGCTGTTTATTTTTTCTGATTTCATAAGCTGATATTTTTTATTTTGAAATAAAAGAAAAAATACATTGATTATATATGTCCTTGAATTATTTCTTTTGGAGTAGTATATTATTCTATATATTTAACTATACTTGTGTATTTCAGATAACATCCAAACATGATCAGCTACACCAGGCTTATTTAGAGACACAGGCTATGTATAAAGAGGTTGGTCTTAGTATTTCATATATTAAAGCCAAATAAAGTGTGTGATAACATTTTGTGAGGGAATTCGATGTTTGCTATACCACGGTTCATTTAAACTCACTTTATGACAATATCACTATACCAATCAGAATGAAATTTTATGCAGAGTTTTAAGAAATGATTTTACTTTGTATACATGTATTAATTGTGAAACATTAAATGTTTTAAAAGGGAGAATTTTCTGTATAAAGTCAATAATAATGTAGACTTTTGAAGCTCAAACTTTCTATTGCCTTAAATACGCAAATGAAAGATCAGAAAACTAACCAATACACAACGACATGTTTTTATACGACCGCAAAAAAATTTTGTGGTCGTATATTGGTATGACGTTGGCGTCGTCGTCGTCGTCGTTGTCGTCGTCGTCATCGTCTTCGTCCGGCGTCGTCGTCCGAATACATATTGGTTTTCGCACTCTAACTTTAGTTTAAGTGAATGGATCTTTTTGAAATTTGACCATAAGGTTAAATACCACAAAAGGAAGGTTGGGATTGATTTCGGGGGTTATGGTACCAACAGTTAAGGAATTAGGGGCCAAAAAGGGGCCAAAAATGAGCATTTTCTAGTTTCCAGACAATAACTGTGGAACGGTGTATGGATCTCTCTGAAATTATACTACAAGTTTCCATACCACAAAGGGATGGTTAGGATTTGCTTTGGGGGGTTATGGCTCAAACCGTTTAGGAATTAGGGGCAAAAAAGGGGGAAAAACAAGGTTGTCCTGGTTAATGGACAAATACTTTAGTACAAAACATAATTTAAAGCAGTGTAAGGGAGATAAATCAAATACATCATTGAAATTATCTCCCTTACACTGCTTTTAAATTATGTATAAAGTAATGGTTGATGAACAATAAAGATAATCTAAAACAGTGTAAGGGAGGTAATCCAAATACAACGTTTTGGTTACTTCCCTTACACTGCTTTTAAATTATGTTTAAAGAAATGCATATTTATAAAGGAAGACCAGTAAAAATATCTGCAAATGTTTTCATCTTTTTTTTTTACAAAAAAATCCATATGAAAGATTTGACACTATATTTTTATTAATTCTATTATAAAATAGATTAAGTTAGCACTATGGTAAATTTAAATGGGTAATTATGGTTGCCAACTCCATTGGAAATTTGAATTGAGATTATGACCATATCTTGAGGGAAAGAATTTTTTTGGGGGAAAAAGGGGGGGGGATAAAAAGAAATTGTGGGGGGCCAATTTTTTCTCATTTCAGATTTCAGAAATTAAAAAGAATTATTCTTCAAATATTATTTTTTTTTCAAATTTCAAATATTGAAAAATTTCAAGAAGTAATCTTTAATTGCACAGTATGGCGCATTAGATTTGTAAAATCTTTGATCACATTTATTTATTTGTTATGCCGAATCTAACAGTGTATTTAGATTTTTAATTTTGGGTCCAGTTTTCAAATTGGTCTACATTAATGTCCAAAGGGTCCAAAATTAAACTTTGTTTGATTTTAGCAAAAATTGAATATATGAGGTTCTTTGATATGCTGAATCTAAACATGTATTTAGATTTTTGATTTTTGGCCCAGTTTTCAAGTTGGTCCAAATTGGGGTCCAAAATTAAACTTTGTTTGATTTCAACAAAAATTGAATATATGGGGTTCTTTGATATGCTGAATCTAACCATGTATTTAGATTTTTTATTTGTGGACCCCGTTATCTAATTGGTTCATATTGAGGTCAAAAGGGTCCAAAATTAAACTTTGTTTGATTTCATCTAAAATTGAATTATTGGGGTTCTTTGATATTCCAAATCTAACCGTGTATTTAGGTTTTTAATTTTGGGTCCTGTTTTTTAAATTGGTCTACATTGAGGTCCAAAGGGTCCAAAATTAAACTTAGTTTGATTTTGACAAAAATTGAATTCTTGGGGTTCTTTGATTTGCTGAATCTAAACATGTGTTTAGATTTTTGATTATGGGCCCAGTTTTCAAGTTGGTCCAAGATAGGGTCCAGTATTTAAACTTTGTTTGATTTCAACAAAAATTGAATATATGGGGTTCTTTGATATGCTGAATCTAAACATGTATTTAGATTTTTGATTATGGGCCCAGTTTTCAAGTTGGTCCAAATTGGGGTCCAAAATTAAACTTTGTTTGATTTCAACAAAAATTGAATATATGAGGTTCTTTGATATGCTGAATCTAACCATGTATTTAGATTTTTTATTTGTAGGCCCCGCTATCAAATTGGTTCATATTGAGTTCAAAAGGGTCCAAAATTAAACTTTGTTTGATTTCATCGAAAATTGAATTATTGGGGTTCTTTGATATGCCAAATCTAACCGTATTTTTAATTTGGGTCCCGTTTTTTAAATTGGTCTTCATTGAGGTCCAAAGGGTCCAAAATTAAACTTAGTTTGATTTTAACAAAAATTGAATTCTTGGGGTTCTTTGATATGCTGAATCTAAACATGTGTTTAGATTTTTGATTATGGGCCCAGTTTTCAAGTTGGTCCAAGTTGGGGTCCAAAATTAAACTTTTTTTGATTTCAACAAAAATTGAATATATGGGGTTCTTTGATATGCTGAATCTAACCATGAATTTAGATTTTTTATTTGTGGGCCCCGCTATCAAATTGCTTCATTTTGAGGTCAAAAGGGTCCAAAATTAAACTTTGTTTGATTTCATCAAAAATTTAATTATTGGGGTTCTTTGATATTCCAAATCTAACCGTGTATTTAGATTTTTAATTTTAAGTCCCGTTTTTTAAATTGGTCTACATTAAGGTCCAAAGGGTCCAAAATTAAACTTAGTTTGATTTTAGCAAAAATTGAATTCTTGGGGTTCTTTGATATGCTGAATCTAAACATGTGTTTAGATTTTTGATTATGGGCCCAGTTTTCAAGTTTGTCCAAGTTGGGGTCCAAAATTAAACTTTGTTTGATTTTAACAAAAATTGAATATATGGGGTTCTTTGATATGCTGAATCTAACCATGTATTTTGATTTTGGACATTGGACCATAATAGGTAAATTAAAAAAATTCAAGTTCTTAGACCACATTCTTTCTGTGTCAGAAACCTATGCTGTGTCAAATATTTAATAACAATCCAAATTCAGAGCTGTATCAAGCTTGAATGTTGTGTCCATACTTGCCCCAACTGTTCAGGGTTCGACCTCTGCGGTCGTATCAAGCTGCGCCCCAGCGAAGCATTTTATTTAAATTACAGCAAAAGTTTTGGTTGACAAATTTTTATTCGTTTTTGCAAAAACCGAACTTAAAATATCTGTCATTTTCTCCCTAACCAGTTTACCCCTATTACTTATTATGATGTGGACCGGTCATTGTTACTGAATCTTACGCAATTTGATTGGATTAAGTTATTATTATTTGACCTGCAAACTGTTTATTTTTTTCATACACATATATTGAATAAATCAGAACATGCATGAATGTGTACAGTAACTTAATTGACCTTCAAACTGGACGCTGGACGAGTCCATATTATTTTTTATCAATGAAACCAGGGACAGTCTATACTAGCGGGACTGGTCACTTAGAACAATGTCTATACAAATGTGCATCAGAACTGTGGCGTCCCTGATGTCACATGACTTCAAATCAAATCATTTCACATTTAAGAAGTGTTCTTCATAACTTTATGTTCAAGTTTTATGAAATTTTATTCATTTTGTCATTGCAAAATGCTGTTTTTGAAAAGATTTCTTGGATAGTTTTTAAAATATAAACCTTTGAACTTTGAGGTATTTTGTTAGTAAATTTCGAGTGGCCACCATCTTGTTCAATATGTCCCCCCTTTTGCATGACTGGAGTGTTCTTCAAAACTAGATGTCTCAGTTTAATAATTTAACGTTCTTTTAAAATCTTATATTTTTAGTCATGGTTAATGGTTATTAATCAGATTTGTATGATTTAAAAAAAATAATATTGAATTACAATGTACTTAGAAATACGCAAATAACTACTAGCTCCGTATATCAGAGACATGAAACTTAGTTAATTGTTTGGTGCTAGCTTTACACAGGTGGGGGGGGGGAGGGGGGGGGGCGTAGTTATTAAATAAAATCAATAGTGACCAGTCCCGTTAGTATAGACTGTCCCTGATGAAACTAAAGGTAGGAAAGATAAGAATTGCCACTTTTTATATTTTCACAAAATTTTCCACATACAGAGTAGATAAATTATTTTTTTAAGCATATTCCGGAGAAAAAAAAAAAGTTTACAAATCAGACGTTTTATTCCATTAAACAAGTCATTTTTTGAAGAGAAATGCTGAAATACAATTTACACACGGCTACGCCAGGTAAAATTATTGTTTATCATAACAAAAAAAAAAAAATTTTCAGTCTCATTATAATGTTATAATTACAAATAATCCCAAACAAAAGTAGTCAGTAGATAAAGTCAAAATATGTCAAATCTGCCTTATTTTGGACATCAAAATTCAATACGATCGTTTTAAGGTCAATTTTGTCTACCTCACAAAATCTTGTTACAATATAAAGAAGTTTTTTCATTTTACTCAGCATTATTACTATGGAAACATACAACCTAAAAAGCTTTTGAAACACAGCTTAATCTTGATATATCATTGCTTACTTTGTTTGCTTTTAATGCAATAAATTGGTTTTGATAAACAATACCAATGAAAGAAGTGGATGCATATTTCATTGATATTTTCTAGCAATCTAGAAAAATAGTCAGGAATGTTACTGAGTATTTCTAAATTTGTGTTTCCCTCTTTGTTACAAAATCTCAAATCTTAAATTGATACAAATAAAACATGTAAGCTTGATACAAACAAAAACTATGTACAAATGTGAGCTTGATACAAACAAAAACTATGTACAAATGTAAGCTTGATACAAACAAAAACTATGTACAAATGTAAGCTTGATACAAACAAAAACTATGTACAAATGTAAGCTTGATACAAACAAAAACTATGTACAAATGTAAGCTTGATACAAATAAAAACTATGTACAAATGTAAGCTTGATACAAACAAAAACTATGTACAAATGTAAGCTTGATACAAATAAAAACTATGTACAAATGTAAGCTTGATACAAACAAAAACTATGTACAAATGTAAGCTTGATACAAACAAAAACTATGTACAAATGTAAGCTTGATACAAAAGTAACATAACCACACTTCTTAGATTGATACAAACAAAACATATGTAAGCTGGATGTATGGATGGATATTGATACAAACAAAACATATGTAAGCTGGATGTATGGATGGATTTTGATACAAACAAAACATATGTAAGCTGGATGTATGGATGGATATTGATACAAACAAAACATATGTAAGCTGGATGTATGGATGGATATTGATACAAACAAAATATATGTAAGCTGGATGTATGGATGGATATAACACCACACTTAAGTTTGTAATAACAGCTCATAGGTTTAGGGATCTACAACAAAAAGGAATGTTATGGTTATTTATTAAAATTTCAATTTACTAAAGGTATTTTTCATTGTAGGCAGAATCAAGAGGTGCTAGGATTGATGAAGAAATGGACAAATTAAATGAAATAGAAACAGAGGAGAACCAAAGGTATATTAGCAATCATTTATTTTTACTGATGATACGGCTGGTAATTCTCAATTTATACAAAACTTTTTTAAATAATTCTTGTGTTAGGGTGGGCTGAACAGACAATGATTTTGAATGCTCAGTAAAATTCAAAATATAACTTTAGTTAGACTAAGCAACATAAACAACAAAATTAAGTATGTTTTTGTTTTATCAAAGTTTTCATACTACAAAAGTTGTTATTTGCAAAATAAAACTAGATCACAATATTAAACAGTTTAAACTGTTTTCTTACATAAGGTTATGTGAAGCTTACATATTTTTATTCTTTAATACATACTTTAAGGTAGATAGGGTGTCTTCCTCCATCTTGGATTTTGAAATACCAGAAAACAATCGGTCTAGATCTTTAAGAAAATGTGCAAATTTTGAGAGTAGTAGGTAATTCATGTGTAAGAATTCTCATTTTAATATAGAAAATTACATGTTTTATCATGTTTATGGTTGTATTTTACAAAAAAACAGAATACTTGTGTTTGATTCAATTTTTTCCAACCTTGCCACATTAGGGGAGGCAACTCAAATGTAAGGGCAGATAATTCAGATATAGTTACTTTTACAATAGGATGTGTAAGGAATTTACCTATTTTATTATGTAGCAAGAAAACGGGTCCCGTGACCCCATTTTTTCTTTTTCTTATCTGAAAGCATAATATTAGAGCTATCTTCTCATATTTTATCTCAAAATTCTATGGTGTAGTTTTCGTTTTATGGCAGAAAATTAGGTTTTCCATGCATAATCTATACAAAATCTGTCAATTTTGTAAAACCTGTAGCGTGAAAATAAGTGCCGTGACCCATTCTTTTTATTATTTTTTTTAAAAAAGCATGACATAAACTACATTTTGGCAAATTATTAAAATATTCTATGGATTATAATTTAGACACCCCATCTACCTTAACATAACTTAAAATTATCATACCTTATTAAAAGTTCTTGACCAAGGAATGACTAATATCAATGGTTAATTTTAGACATATGAAATAAAAATTTCATCAGAGGTTGTCTTGAATTTTCAGCACTCAATTTTAACATTTGGTATGCAGTAATTAAGCATACTAGAACATCATTAGTTACACCACATAATTATCTCCCCTTTAAATACATCACATATTTCATATAAGACTGAATATTAAATAATGTTTCAAATAGATAAAGTCAATAAATCTATACCTGCAAAATTGGATTTGCTTTTCTCTGAGGTTTGAATGGTCTTTTCTAAGTAAATGTGTATCATTTTGCATCATTGTATTCACAGCATTCTGCAAACACTGAGATCTCTTGTTGCTATGAATGAAAATCTGAAGAAGCAAGAACAGGAATTCAAGGCTCATTGTAAGGAAGAAATGAGTAGGTTAAAAGGTCAAATAGAAGAAGTGAAAGAACAGACTTCTGAGGAAGATTCAGGAGACAAGGTAGTTTTAGCTCACCTGATCTGAACAGTCTTTTAAATTTTTTTTAAAGTTGTGAATGAAGAATTTTTTTTTTTAAATCCAACATATATATAACTTACAACAGTACAGACATTGAAATAGCAAGTTCATGTAATATATATATAAAGTATAATACAACTCGTAAGAAAGTGTATAGTATTTGAACTTGAGTTTGATACTTTGTTGGGCTTTTATAAAAGGTTTTGTTATTAAAAAGGAAAAAGAAAAAACTATATTCTTTTAAACTTATTTCATAACTTGGCTTTGCGGTCTTTTGGTTCACTACACATTGAAATTATATTCTATAATGAAAATCACATGTAGAAAGTAAATTCAGTACACAACATCTTTAATGAAACAGTTATTTGAATTGCCTTATGTTAGAACAATTGTTTGTTGGAAATATTCTATAGTTGAAATCCAAAGTAAGATAACTTCCAATATAAATGAATGCTGTTTTTTTTTAAATTCAAAACAAAATGAAAGCAAGTGACCTTCACATTTTGCACATAAGCGCCAAACAGCATTCAACTCTAATATTTACAGATCTTCGAAATAAAATATGTATTGGCTATGAACATTTTGAATCTGAAAGTAAAACTTTAAGGGGATACCCAACACTTTGACCAAAATAGATTTGAAACTTTTAATTTTCATAAAATTTGACAAAATAATTATTTTGACCTGTTGACAAAAATATAAAAATTTCAAAAAATTTGAACAACACAATTTGATTCCTGTTTACTAATAGTATGTGATTAAAACGTTCAGCTGATTTATGAAGAGTTAACTCCCTTATGTGTTCTGTACCCCCTTAAACACAATGTTGAGGCAGAAATTGTCTAGTGAGATGATCCACCATCAAAGCAAAGAGCTTTTCTCACAACTTTTTGATATTGTCAAAATTATTAGAGAAAATAAATTATTATTATTTTCCATGTTATGACATCTCTGGATGAGACTTATCGATTGAATTGTGTTTTTAGATGAGTAACAGAATGAGTGCCTCTAGCTGAGCAGGAAGTCCTTAACTTTTTGATTTTGGGTGGGTTCCTATTACACTGTCACATTCTTTAGAATTCAGTGAAGTGTTTGTGGACTGTTGTTTGTCTTTTTGCTCCTTGTTTTTGTCTCGCCTTGAAAGGGTCAAAAAGCCAGACATAGGTATGCTGTTTCCGGCGTCGGCGGCGGTGTCAACAATGTATTAGTTTGTGATTAGGTCTAGTTCATGGTGAACCACTAGTGGTAGGTCAATGATATTTGGTATGCAGTTGTATTAGCATTGGCACATCTCATTACCATGGAGATTATTTGGCCCCACCCCCTCAGTCAAGGTCTATTGACTTTGAAACTTTGCTTAGTTTACATGTATTAGTTGTGATTAGGTCAGTTTATGGGGAACCACTAGTGGTAGGTCAATGCTATTTGGTATGCAGTTGTATTAGCATTGGCACATCTCATTACCATGGATATTATTTGGCCCCACCCCCTCAGTCAAGGTCTATTGACTTTGAAACTTTGCTTAGTTTACATGTATTAGTTTGTGATTAGGTCAATTTATGGGGAACCACTAGTGGTAGGTCAATGATATTTGGTATGCAGTTGTATAAGCATTGGCATATCTCATTTCCATGGAGATTATTTGGCCCCTGCCCCCTCAGTCATGTTCTATTGGCTTTAAAACTTTTGCTTAGTTTACATGTATAAGTTTGTGATTAGGTCAGTTTAAGGGGAACCGTTAGTGGTAGGTCAATTATAATTGGTATGCAGTTGTAGAAGCCTTAGCACATCTTATTTCCATGGAGAATATTTGGTCCTTACTTCTCAGTCATGGTCTATTGACTTTGAAACTTTTGCTTAGTTCACATGTATTAGTTTGTGATTAGGTCAGTTTAAGATGAACCACTAATGTTAAGTCAATGATATTCGGTATACAAATGTATTGGCCCATTTGCAAGTTTCATTTCCATGGAGATTATATTACCCCACCCCCTAATTATGGTTCATTGACTTTAAGACTTTTACATAGTTTACAATTTAATGTTTGTGTTTAGGTTTGTTTAAAGGGAACGACTTATGAAAAGTCAATGGTATTTGGTTTTTAGTTGTATTAGCATTGGCACATCTCATTTCCATGGAGACTGTTTAGCCCTGTACATTCAGTCATGGTTCATTGACTTTGAATATTTGCATAACTTACATGTTAAAGTATTGTAATTTTAATTTCAACATTTGCATTATCAAAATAACAAATAGGCGAGACATTTCTCTGTGTTAACAGTTTATATTACAGTCCCTTGGTATTTTCTCTATCTTTGTATTAGTATGTAGCTAGTAAATATATTTAAAAGGTAAAAGTATAAGGTAACTTTCCTTAATGAAAAAAAACTGAAATTATGGAAAGTTACCTTATACTTTTACCTTGATTGTAACAAGATTTCCTACGAATGGCATAACCACAGATTTTACATTGACTGTATTATTTGCATGCCTGTACTTGTCCTGAAGATGCCATACTTTGTGGCGAATCATGTAAAACAGAATGAACTAGTACTTTTGGGTATTTTACAGGTGTTGTTATCTTTATTGTCATATTATTGAAAAAAAGTAAATGTATTCCAGGAGAGAGTGTCACTTATAGATAAACAGTATGAAGCTGATAGAGAGAAACTACACAAAATAAGGCTGTTGCTGGTAAGTATGTTTTGTTTTAAGTAATGTAAAGTAATTCAAGAAAATTAGATATTATAAGCCATGAAGGCCTATAAACCTACAGACATCGGCAGTTTGACATACTGTTTATACACTTGTCAATTGTTAAATACTATAAATTCTTCTTCTTCCTGGGAAGGAACCAAATTCAAAATTTGAATGTAATTGGTTCTGCAGAACATAAATTTACCTCTAAATTTCATTATTTTTTTGTGCAGTTTGTATATTTTCCAAAGTACAAATACATTAAGATATGATTACAGACAAATGCTGGCAAAAGTTTTCTGACATGGAAGAGGCACAATACTATGTGGCAGGACTAAATATTTGTTGTAGCAACTTTTAAACATTTTGATAATCATTTATTTCAAACATCAAACATGTTAAGTGAAAAAAAGTTGGCCTTGATCGGGTCTGACATTCTCTTTAGGCCTTATTTATTTATTGCTCACATAATAATTAGGGCCCCGCCAAATGGCGGATGCCCTATAGTGATCATTCTGTCCGTCCGTCCGTCTGTCTGTCCGTCCGTCCTTAACAAATTGTGTCCGCTCTATATCTAGAGAACCATTATGATTTCAAAGTTTATACTTGACATGTATATTAACCAACACCAGAGGGTGTGTCATAATGTATGTACAACTTCCTAGGTCAAAGGTCAAGGTCAAAAACTTTGGTTTTAGTTGTTAACCCCATGTCCTATGGTAAAGATCGTGTCCGCTCTATATCTAGAGAACCGTTATGATTTCAAAGTTTATACTTGACATGTATATTAACCAACACCAGAGGGTGTGTCATAATGTATGTACAACTTCCTAGGTTAAAGGTCAAGGTCAAAAACTTTGGTTTTAGTTGACAACCCCATGTCCTATGGTAATGATCGTGTCCGCTCTATATCTTGAGAACCATATGATTTCAAAGTTTATACTTGACATATATATAAACCAACACCAGAGGGTGTGTCATAATGTATGTACAACTTCCTAGGTCAAAGGTCAAGGTCAAAAACTTTGGTTTTAGTTGACAACCCCATGTCCTATGGTAAAGATCGTGTCCGCTCTATATCTTGAGAACCGTTATGATTTCAATGTTTATGCTTGACATGTATATAAACCAACACCAGAGGGTGTGTCATAATTTATGTACAACTTCCTAGGTCAAAGGTCAAGGTCATAAACTTCGGTTTCAGTTGACAACCCCATGTCCAATGATAAAGATACACATTTTTTTACCACACATTATTCACAGCGGGGCCCACAGAGATGGCTCCCATCTCAATGATATCTAGTTTGATCTTTTTAGGTTTTCTGACATTTTTAAAAGCATTCCTGAGGAAGTTTAACCTTAGTAGGAAAAACAGTATTTAAAAGTTTTTAAGGATTTACTTTTAATTCCGATTACATTATGCACAGTCTCCCTTCCAATAAGTGGCCAGTGCATGCTCTGAAGTATTTCCCATTCTCATCCATCTGTCCTTCTGAAATCAACTGGTTTTAGACTTTCTTCATGGTACCTAACAAATATTGATTTGATTTTTTGGTACATTAGCATATATAATAATGACTTATACAAATTAAGTTTACATTTCATTCTATTTAACCAATTTAGGTGAAATAACAGTCTTTGAAAAAAGCCTTTGAAATTCATGAAAAATTGTACTTGTTCCACTTCATCAGATAAGAATAAAGCCTAGATTCTTTATTTCTACCAAAGTACTTTTTAGATTTGTTAACATATTTTTAAAAATTGACTCCTAGCATTTATGATGTAGACTGAGGATGCTATATTTACCTCAAATTTTTGTCTTGTAATATAACAATGTTTTGACTTTAATGTTGGAGAGTGAAGGATGACCCAGCGAATATCCTTGATAACATTTTAGCCATTATTTATATATTTTTTTTAAAGGCAAGAAAGACAAGGGAGATTGCAGTACTGCAACGAAAGATTGATGAGGTTCCATCAAGGGCTGAGTTAAGTCAATATCAGAGACGTTTCATAGAATTATATAGCCAAAGTAAGTTACATTCTCTATGAAATGAACAGTCCTATAAAGAAATTCTTTTATTTATTGGAAAAATCTGAAATGGTGAAAGTGGGTTGTGTTTAATGTCTATTATCAAACTAATTATTGAAAAGGTAGAGAAAAATGTCTAACCGTACCCAATGTTAGTTAAAAAGTCTAAAACTACAAACACTAGATATATCATCTTCAAAGGTTAAGAACGCTTTGAGACATGAACTTACCATGATTTAGTTACCTTAGTTTTTATTGAGGATAACTCTTTTCATAAAATTTGATTCATGAATGATATTTATGCACTGACATTGCTTTCCATTGTATGTCTAAAATAACTACCTTATGGTGTTTATATATCTCAACTTGTACGATTTGCTCGTGTATGTAACAACGTATTAGATTTTAGCGAGAGAAATTTATGTATTACTGAAAAATTATTACACCAGGGTTTTTCGATATCATAAACTAGTTAAAACATTTACTAAATTTTATCATCGGTATAAGGACATCATTCGTAAATATAACTCAACATGCAGACATCTTATACGTTCGGGTATTTCACATCCAATCTTTTATGGTAATATTCTTTACAAAGCACAAAAATGTCAGTATTCACCTCAAAAGCTAACAAAACCTTTAAACAGACTTGTTAAGAAGGGATATAGTTACGATACTGTTGTCAGGTCATTAAAGATTGCATATTTTGGCTTTAATATTGATTCACTTATAGGGTCTTTGCATCGGAATTAAACACATTTATTCTAAAACCATTTGTTGGCATGACACGGGTTATGTTCTTCTCATATATTTTATGATGGTATAATACTAAACCCCTAATAGGAGGGATTGTGCCTGATATTCATATGATGAAGACATAATCTTTCAATCAGTTTAATTGAGGTCTGTAGCTGGCATGACAGTAACTGCTAGTAGTCTGTTGTTATTTATGTATTATTGTCATTTTGTTTATTTTCTTTTGTTTCCTATTCTGACATCGGACTCGGACTTCTCTTATACTGAGTTTTACTGTGCGTAATGTTGTGCATTTGTTTTTTCTACATTGGCTAGAGGTATAGGGGGAGGGTTGAGATCTCAAAAAACATGTTTAACCCCGCCGCATTTTTACGCCTGTCCCAAGTCAGGAGCCTCTGGCCTTTGTTAGTCTTGTATCATTTTTAATTTTAGTTTCCTGTGTATAATTTGGAGTTTAGTATGACGTCCATTATCACTGAACTTGTATACATATTTGTTTAGGGGCCAGCTGAAGGACACCTCCGGGTGCGGGAGTTTCTCGCTGCATTGAAGACCCATTGGGGGCCTTCGGCTGTTGTCTGCTCTGTGGTCGGGTTGTTGTCTCTTTGACACATTCCCCATTTCCATTCTCAATTTTACCATTGAGGTCAGGTGTGGATTTAGACAGGGGGTTCACCTGGTGCTCCTCTCACCCCATCCCCCCTTAAGAGAAAAAATAATGTAATTTGTTGGTATAATTTATAGGTAAAATTACAGCCAATTTTTAATCAAAATATGGTCCTTCTATTTTTCAGGGGCGCCCCCTCCCTAACATCAAATCCTGGATCTGTGTCTTGACGTATCTATAATGTCTCTATTATTAAGATAAATGGCAAATACTTGTGGCTAACTGCACTATGTATGAATTAAGGTTCATGTATATTTCTGTAAAAAATGAAACTTTTAGATTCACCACTACTAATATGAATTGAGTGTTATGATATAATTGAGTGTTATGATATAAATACTTTTTGTTTTAATTACAGTTTCTTCTACGCATAAAGAAACTAAACAGTTTTACACTTTATACAATACACTAGATGACACAAAGTTATACTTACACAAAGAGGTAGGAACCACTCATTTATAAGTTTATATTTTGGTGAAACCACTTTCAAGGCATTTTAGGCTGCTTGTGATATGATATATAATTCATGCTATTGCATGTATTTTGTTGTTAAAGATGACCAATGTTACAAAAAGAATAGTTTATATTGAATTTTTAAACTTCAGGTTATAGTTTATTTATTGTGTATACCAACTAAATAAGTTTTCTGACTTCAAACTTTTGGATAAAAGACTGAACATCTTAATATTTTATTATATTTAAATTTAATTATTTTTCTCAAACTTCTACAATTCAACAAGTGAAAATCTCAGCTCTGAGATTGATATAAGTTTAATTCAAATTCAAGACCTGAATATTTTGTTTTCAGTTTATAATTTTATGGTCTGTATTAAATTGTCAGATATACAGTTATGAATATTAGATGTGTACAATTCATTTGTATTTTTTTTTATTGTAGGTTAATTTGCTGAATTCTGTCCATGATACTTTTTCACAGTAAGTTTTCAAAAATACTAATACATAACAAAATTGCTTTGCCCAAGGAAAATATACCCTGTCATGGTGTGGCAAAATAAATCATCTTGTACTTTTTAAGCTGTTATGTTGAATACCCTGTTATTTATTGTTTTTTCATGACTAGTATTTTTTTCTAGTAAAGTAAAAATAGTCCAATATCCTAAATAAATTTATTTGATTTTTTCTTTTATCATTTAAAACAGATGAAGATATTTTTACACCTAACTTTTAAATGCCCAACAAAATTCAGTCTGTTTAATTTAGTGATTGAACATATACAGTAACAGGATTCAGGAGATTATACCATTGTAACTTTTTTAAAACATTCTTCGTCTTGCCTGAGACAAAACTTTGAAAGGTGAGTGGCACTGCTACATTCTGTCAATATTAAGGTTCATTTTGTGTTTTTCAGACATTAATAACTTTTTACAACCTTCATTCAATTTTAAGAAACTTTGATAGAATCTTATTTATTATCAAAAGACCATATCCAGAGCTGAATTTTAAATATAATTTTATTTCAATCTTCCATGCTTTTCTTGTAAATTGGCATAGTTGTTTTTGCATTTGGCACTTAGACACATTCTGGAATTAAACAATTTTAAGAGTTAGACATTATTTTTGTCAAACTTGTGTGGAATTTTATGAAACTTTGACAGAAGCTTCACCTTTGTCAGGAGATAGCACCATGAGGAAAATTTACCTTCCATCTTTTACTTAATTTACTGATAAATTGTCTTAGCATTTTGTCAGTCAGCATTATTATTTTACAATGACAGCACCAGGAACAATATAGACACACTGGGTTCATTGGAACCATTTATAAATTTTTGGTAAATCAGGGTTCTTCATATTTGTGTTTTTTTTTATAATTTCTGTTATGATTCATGTGCTTTACACAGTTACCATGGACACAGTACAGGATTCTTCAGGTTCAAGATCCAGTTCCAATTTTTTGTGAATAAAATAAATTTTGATAATTTATATTTAACTATTTACTAAACCTTATAATATCACCTTTTAAGAATCTGCTTCTAGAAATTTATTTAGTTCCTCATATTTAAACATATACATATGCAAATGAACAAATTTCTTAAGCATCTGGTAGATTAAAAAAAAATTAGATATTGACCGTTTCACATGTAATTTTTCCTCAATATACTTTCTATTCTAGAGCTATGGGATCACAAGGAACAAAGGAGCAGTTTCTGAAACAGTTTGAACAAATAGTTGAGGGCATTAAACAAAATAAAGCTAAAGTTAGTATAACCAACAAGATTGATGAAAAATATCTCAAACAAAAAGCTTTTTGATGTATATATAAAAATAAGAAGATGTGGTATGATTGTCAATGAGACATCCCTCCACCAGAGACCAGATGAGGTAGAAGGTTAGCAACTATAGTTCACTCTATGACCTTAAAAATGAGCAAAACCCATACTACATGGTGAAATAATTCACACGTAAAAACTAACGGCCTGATTTATGTACAAAACATATAATAAATAAGATATACAGCAACAAACGAAAACATCTTTTCTCTTTGCATCATCTAAATACTTGATGATGTCAGAATTGAGAATCATTAATGGTATGTCAATCTCACTACAACCCTATTTGTATCTCTTTTTTTTTGTATTTTGAAATTGTGAATTGAGTTAATGACTTTACACAAACATTTGGTTGAAATTGAATCATGTTCCTTCAAAATGGAAAAATCAGATGATTAAGAAATAAGGATTTTGTGCAAAATAAATTTCAATATAAAATGAAGAGATGTGGTATTAATGCCAATGAGACAACTACCCAAGAGAGACCAAACAATGTAAAAGTGATCAAATATAGGTCACCTTACAGCATTTAACAAAAAGCAAAACTCATATGGCGTAGTAAGCTATAAAAGGCTTTGACATTGCTGACATTACAAATGGTAAAACAAATTAAACCAATGGCTTGAATTGTGTACAAAGCAACAAACTATCATTTGTTTACAAGGCAACAAATCATCTTTTGTGCTACATTAATTATTGAGTAATTTTTATAAAGGTTGAAAAACGAAAGCAGGAAGAAAAGATGAAGCGTGACAGGTTAAATGATCAACATCTTGACCTGATAGAAAAGCAAAGACTTTACTTTAAAACAGTCAAAGAATTTAAAGAGGTTAGTATTAACTATAATGTACGATTTATTGTACTTTGTTTTAAGTATTATTCCAATAGAAAAGTTCTGTCATCTTTAGTTATCTTTAACACAAGTGAGACAAATTTCAGATAAATCAAGTGTTTGAACCAAATACAATAATACCTAACAAAAAAAAACTGCAAGGTCTTGTAATGTTTTAAAAAAGTTATACAAATCAACTGTTCCGTATATACAGTGCAAGAAGTGTCAATCAAAATCTGTGAAAAACTTTAACTTGCATTTTCCCTTAAATTCAGGGGTAGAACAGAGCAGCTACAGTTATACTCAAACATTATATGTCAAAGTTTGGAAAATTAAATTTAACTATGGCTTTTTATTATAAGAGAAATAAGTTTTGAAAATTTCTGGAAAAAGAATGAAAACAACACTTTATAAATTTCTGGTGTCCAAAGTGTTTTTCTGGATTTACCTTCATCTGGAACGCTGAAGCTGAATATTTGAAAGCCAAGGATGTATAAGAACAGAAACAGTTGAAGAGCTATATGACCAAAAAGGACCTTAAAATAATTGATGTTGGTTCCAGTTTAAGAAAATATTGGATCACATTATCATACCATGAAGCAAAGCATATTTTAATTATAATCTAAACATACATGTACACAATATTAATTTTTATGCCCCCGCCTTAGCGGAGGGGGCATTAAGTTTTACCCTTGTCCATCTGTATGTACGTACATCGGTCCGTACGACTTTACATCTCAAAGTTGGTTTCCGTTCTCTAACTTTAGTTTGCCTCAACCAACAACTGTTATTAAACTTATACACAATGCTTATTACCACATAATACAGATCAAGTTCGAAATTGGTTGGCGTTACTTATACCGTTCTTGAGTTATGCCCCTTTATAAACATAAAAATTGCTGAATTTGTCTTTTCTGTTCTCTAACTTTAGTTTGCCTCAACCAAATGTTATGAAACTTTTACACAATGCTTATTACCACTTAATACAGATCAAGTTTGAAATTGGTTGGTGTCACTTTTACCATTCTTGAGTTATGCCCCTTTATAATCATAAAAATTGCTGAATTTTTTCGTTTCCTCTTACTTTAGTTTGCCTCAACCAAATGTTATGAAACTTATACACAATGCTTATTACCACAAAACTCAGATCAAGTACAAATTTGGGTAGTGTCACTTATACCCTTCTTCAGTTATGTCCCTTTATATCTTTATATGATATGCAAGTGGGGGTATCATCTGTGTCCCATGGACACATGCCACATTTATTTTAAATTGTTTTGAAAAGTCCTTAATATGTATAAGACCTGAAAATCAGATTTTATAACCTATTTGAAATAAAATGTTTCAGATTATTTTATATTTTTGTTTTATTTTGTAGGAATGTCGGAAGAATGAAATATTGATGTCAAAATTGAAAAGATAACAAATGACCTTGTGAAAACCAAGATGGATGCCATATTGAATATTATATCAAAACATGTTTTATTGAATCTTATTGTAACGATTATAAATGTTAAAATTAAAATTCTTTTATATACATGTATGCAGTTTTGACTCCACAAAATTGAAAAGGAAGTGATAATATAAATAGAGGTGCATAACAAGCCTAACTAGGAAACAGGAGTAAAAATGTAAATTGAAAAATTTATACTATATGTCATTATGTATATTTTTTGATGACCATATATTCTACTGGTAATGTAACAGTCTTCTTTTGCTTTGTAAATAAATTTATGTTCTCATTCCAATATAACACGGACCTGCTAAAAAAACGGAGAGTGGCCAGCCCTTAATGCAACCATCACTTGGATATAAGCAATTAATGGTACAGGACACTGTACTGCCTACAAAAATGAGAAAAACCCATACCTCATAGTCAGCTTTAAAAGGCCCCAACATAGAAAATGATTCAAACAAAAAAACTAACGGCATAACTTATAACAATTCAATTCATGAAAAACAGCATGAAAAACAGAAATGACAGAAATAAACCAACTACAATCTTCTTCATAATGACCTCATTTAATGCAGAAAGTCGAATAGTAAACCATCACTATTATCACATCTCAGCTTAAGGTCCCTTTTATGTACTGGTTACCTAAACTAAAAAAATAAAACCCATTCAAATATCATTTGATCTTGGTTTAAAGTAGGTGTTTATTGCCTCTTAACTTATTCCTTTACTACAATTACAGAACTTATTAATTTTTGTAAAAAAAGAAAGCTTTTATAAATAATGGAATAAATTATTTTTGAACTCACCTGGCATAAAGGGCCAGGTTTAGCTTTTGTCATCACCAACAACAACAACAATACTTTATTTCAAGAGGGTTACACAGTTAGCTATATAACTTATCTGCCTTGAGGCTCTCATCATAGAAAAGCATAAACAAAAATTCGTTAAAAAACAACAATGCAAACATATACATGACATACATTAGTATAAAAGTCATGTATAAATTACCTGACATCCGTTGCCGTCCGTTAAATTTTACAAAGATTATCTCCTCTGAAACTACAGGGCCAAATTCAACCAAACATAGTTTACAGTCATCGTTGGGGTATCAAGTTTTAAAAATGAGTCTGATGACCCCTCCTGCCAACCAACATGGCTATCGGTTAAAAATAGAACATTGTTGTAAAAAGAAATTTTTTTTATTATCTTTAAAACCACTATAGATAGAAAAAATCTGACTGGCAAAATGTTCAGACTGTTGAGATCTACCTACTGTCTAATTTCATCAAAACTTGCAGACGACTTTTTTGGAAATTCTCAGTTGGCCCCTTATTGAAGTAATTTCTCTTTGGTGAGGATTTTTTAGATTTTTTATGTGTTTTATTTAGCCTATTATCTTGAAAACTGTAATAGATTAACAGAAACTTTAAAAGCAAAAATTATCAGTAAGACAAGTTCTACAAATAAGTTAAATAGGGGAAATTGTAAGTTGATTCTTTAAAGGAGTTATTGCTCTTAAAAAAGACGATTTTTTGATTTTTGGGGTTTTTGTCTATTATTTTGAAACTATAATAGAAAGAGAGAATCTTAGAGGACAAAAATTATCTAAAATGCAAGATCTACAAATAAGTTGATATTGCTGAAATTGTTAGTCAACTCTTTATATGAGTTAGTGCCCTTAAATGACAATTTTTACCAAATGTTTGCATCTTTCCCTATAATTTTAAAACTATAATAGATTAACAGAAACTTAAAAAGCAAAAATAATCAGCAAGACAAGATCTGCAAATAGTTCAGCATACATATAGGTGAATTTGTCAAGTGTCTTCTTATAAGTAGGAGTTAACACCCTCAATGACGATTTTTACTCTTTTTGTGTTTTGGGCAAAAACTATAGAAGATGGAGAGAAACTGTAAACAGAAATTCTGATCAGCAGTACAAGTTCAACATCAAAGTGATTTTAGTCATGAATAATATTCTAGTCTTCAATGTTGGAGAGTGTCCATTGTTGTAGATGCACATAGATGTGGGTGAGCGACACAGGCTCTTTAGAGCCTCTTGTTTAAGTGTAAAATACTCTTTCAATGTTTTAGATCATTTACATGCTTTTTGATGGTCCTTTCTATTTGGATGACAGTTATGACTTATCAACTCTGTACACTACACTACCACACAAAAGTTTTCATATTTAATTTAAGAACAGTCCTTTGAAAAATCTGATTGCAAATGTATTTGCTGCTAATCGTACAAAGCCTTTTTCTCTAAAAAGAAATAAAAAAATGTTACAATATTCTTACTTGAAATGTGATGAGATGATTAAAGCTGTAAATTGTCCTACTTAGGCAATATATACGTACATTTCAGCAATAGAGTATCAACAGGTTTTAGGTATTATTTGAGACACCAATTGCACCTTTTTTAATAGCACTCTTGTTCCTGCACTGTTATAAGTGACAGTTTATGGCCAAATTCATTTAAGTTAGAAATAAACTCCATTTCATTGAACAAATTAATAACACTTCCCCATACCTTGATAATTTTGCTTTAAATAATCAATAATTTTTGTAACTATACTGCAAAAATTTACCATTGGATTCTGACTAAATAAATGTTAAATAAACAGCGATAAATTCTATTTCCCCTTGGTCGCGCGCATAAAGAGTTGTGAGGAACATGGACATACCAGGCGTCCGTCCGTGTGTCTGTTCATCTGGTCTTTCTTCTTCTTCTTCTTCTTCCATATACTGCCCACATTCAACATGATGAATATTCTGGCAAGTTGCGCATGATTAAAAACAGGTTAAAAACAGGATAAAAACAAATTGTTCTGTTGATTTAGTTTGTGGTTTTGGTGACTTGAGACTTAAATATCTCAAGAGACTTTGCTGTGGCGGTATCTGGTGGCAGTTTGTTCCAATCCTTGACGGTGTTTATGAAGAAGGACCATTTCCTACAGTCTTTGGTGGCTGGCTGTAATAGGTAAGTATGTTGTCCTGTCCGGTTTGAGCTTCTTGTTGGTTTTTGTAGATATTTATTCTTGTCTATGGCTACAAGGTCGTTTGTTATTTTGTAACACATGATGAGTCGTGCTTCTTTTCGTCTTGTTTGTAAGCTTTTCCATCCTAATTCATTTATCATGTTGCTGACACTTGATCTATTTCTATGTCTGCTGGTTACATATCGTGCAGCTCTTCTTTGTACCTTTTCAATTTTATCTATGTGGTTTTGCTGGTACGGGTCCCATACTGTCGTGGCGTATTCCATTTGCGGTCTTACTAATATTTTATAGGCATGCTCTTTGATGGATTTTGAGCTAATGTGGAGGTTTCGATGTAGGAAACCAAGGCTTCGGCTGGCTTTTCCTGTGATGTTGTTTATATGTTCTCCCCAATCTAGATCATTTGCGATGGTGCAGCCTAGGTATTTAGTTGATGTTTCATGCACCAGAGTATGGCCGTGGAGTTTATAGTCCCATTTGGTTGGCTTTTTCTTTTTTGTAACAGTGAGGACACTACATTTTTCAGGATGGAACTCCATTTTCCAGAGTTCTTCCCATTTTGCCAGTTTGTCCAGGTCTTCTTGGAGTTTATGGCAGTCGCTGTCTGATGAAATTGTCAAATAGACCACAGTATCGTCCGCAAACAGTCTCACTGTGGAGTGTAAGCCTTCTGGTAGGTCGTTGATGTAGAACAGAAAAAGACTGGGTCCTAATACTGATCCTTGCGGTACTCCGGATTCTACTTTTACTTTGTCAGATGTTTCGCCTTCAACAACTACTACCTGGGTTCTATTGGTGAGAAATTCCTTTATTCATTTGTTTGTTTTACTTCGGATGCCATAATGGTGTAATTTATGGAGGAGTAAGCTGTGGGACACCTTATCAAAAGCTTTTGAAAAGTCAAGTATTAGCAGATCTGATTGTTTTCCGTTTTCCAGGTTTTTTGTAATGTCATCGATACATTCAAGGAGTTGTGTTTCACATGATCTTTTACTTCTGAAGCCGTGTTGTAATGGGTATAGTATGTTATTTACCTCTGCATGTTTCATGATGTTACTGGTGACTATGTGTTCTATTATTTTGCAGCAAATACATGTTAGGGATATTGGCCTATAGTTAGCTGCTATGTATTTCTGGCCTTTCTTATATGCCAGACTCATTCGCTGTAGTCTTGTTAGCGCTCTCACAGGTACAGTTCTTGCCAGATTTTTATAAAACTTATACTATAGGTTAATATCAGCAATACTCGGACAAGTTCTATAATGGTGTCCGATCGACTTTTTTAAAATAGTTATGACCCTTGGAAGTATTAAATTTATGGAAAATGGCCTTGTTAGCGCTCTCACGGGTTCAATTCTTGGCAGATTTTTATAAAACTTATTCTATAGGTCAATATCAGCAATATCTCAGATAAGTTCTATAATAGTGGACAATCGACTTTTTTAAAAAGAGTTATGACTCTTGAAAATATCAAATCTATGGAAAATGGCCTTGTAAGCGTTCTCACGGGTAAATTTTTTTTATAAAACTTATAGTTTACTATAAGTAATGCCCTTGAAGGTCTTTTTGAAATATTTAGTATACAATAAAAAAGACTTTTTTTGTCCCACCCACACACTATTTATTTATACATTGTTTTAAAGAACAACAAAAAAAGTGGTTTTTTTTTTAGTTATTGCCCCTGGATAGATAAAATATGTGCAACACGGGGGACATTGGAACTCTGTTCTTTTATTTGACATGGATGTTCTTTTGGTCTATTCTTAGGTTGTGTATATTTCCCAAACTCATTCGCTGTAGTCTTGTCAGCATAGGTACTTGGGGACAGGACAATTTTTTAGCCTTACCCCTTTTTCCCCAAATCTGTTATATCCGTCGATGACTGCTTTGGATAGTAAACTAGTAATTGATAGTAAATAGTAAATATATGTTATTTCTAGTATATTTATTTTATTATAACACAGAACGAGAAAATAATTGAAATTAAAAGAAAACAAAAAAATAACAGATTATGGGGAAAAGGGTTCATATGAGTCTCTCAGTGTAGTGACTTTTAAGATTTAAAAAAAAAAAATGGGAGAAATGTATAACTTGTAAGTTATTAAGTCACGGATTTCATTACCTAAAATTACTTAAAACATTTTATTTAAATTCTCTCGTGGATACAAAAATTCGTTTCGGATGTTTTGCTTCAACAGCAGAAAAAAGAGAGGCGAAAGATTCAATAGGACATTCAAACTCATAAGTAGAAAATAAACTGACAACGCCATGGCAAGAAAAGGACCAACAGACAAACAACAGTACATAAAAGACAACATAGAAAACTAAAGACTGAGCAACATGAACCCCACTAAAAACTGGGGGTGATCTAAGGTGCTCCGGAAGGGTAAGAAGAGATCCTGCTCCACATGTAGTACCCGTCGTGTGGCTCATGTTTGTACAAACCCGGTTATAAGTCTAATTCGGTAGGTCACATTCGGTGAAAAGGGGACGGGATTTAGCTACGACAATTGGAACATATCCGTTGTCATCTGTGAAAGGAATATTCCATAACGGTCAACCAAATCGTGATGGCGTCCGTGAAATTTACGAAGTGATGATTTCAATTTCACCACTTAGAACTCTTTGTTTAATAGCTTCCTTGTAAGCAGCAACGCTCTAACAAGGAAATCATGATAGGGAATACAAGCAAATCACGTCATAAATTTTAAGTTGAGGAACTTAATTGATGCTCTGAATAAACTTATTCGTAAAGGTTGTCAATTTACACTGTAGTAAGTTAGATCTTCGAGTATTGATCAATATTGTCCTTATCAGTACTTACATTGATATAAAAAGAAGTTGTGGAATGATTGCCAATGAGACAACTATCCACAAGAGACCAAATGACTAGAAGTTAACAACTGTAGGTCACCGTACGGATGTTCTTTTTTATTTATTTAAGTTAAAACATAATTAAATATATATTGCTATACAGTTATGAATACTTTTGGTCCTCTGTCGATACAATGAACTTATATGTTGGCATTGCACAAGGTCATGCTTTTCTAAGACTTACTGCATGACTTCTTTACACTTTGAATGTTAACTGATTAATATTTAAGTATAGGAAACATGATTTATCTGCTTAATTGTAATAAGCTTCCTAAAACTTCGAGTACTCTTCATCTGTTTTTTCAGACATAAAATATTGTATTATATGTCTCTGGTATTTTCTGTCTTTTGTCTTTTGTCATTGTTTTCTTGTTCCTTTGTGTCGATCTGGTCAGTTAAGCCATTTTAAAATGATTTTTACATTTTGATCATATATTGTGCTATTACAGCACTGTCCCAGATTATGGCAGGGTTAACCGCTTATAAACATTTTAACCCCATCAATTTCTTTATGTGCCTTGTCCCAAGTCGGGAGCCAGCTGTAATTCCTTGGTTGTTGTTGTGTTTGTCCCACTTTTTTCTGGTTTTTGTTGATTGCTGTTTGTTATATTTGTTTTTCGTTTATTGTTTTGTCCTAAATGAGGCCATTGAATTTCTCATCGAATTGTTTCACATTTTTCATGTCGGATGTCTTTTATAGCAGACTATACTGTATGAGTATTGGTCATTGTTCAAGGAACGTTGACCTGTTGTTGCTTATTTCACTGGTGTCATTTGGACTAAGTTGGAAAGTTGTCTCATTGGCAATCATGTCATCTCCTTATTTTTCATTTTATTATGTTTAACCAAAAAATAGAGAACTTGTTAAATGAAAAATTGAAATTAGAGAATGGGGAAGGCTATAAATGCAAATATTTCTTATATTTAAATGATTTACTAGTAAGCCTAAATTAAATTGTACATCAATGTTCATCAAACGGATCCAAACCCAAAATCTTCTGATATCAATACTAAAATGTATCCAGTGATTTCGACAGCAGCTGTGATCCTGTTGTTTTATGTAAATATCCTGTATGGTGATTATGTTTATAGTTTATCACAGTCAGAAATAAGTCATCAGTGATGTGTTCACAAAATCAAAATTGATTTTTCTTTACATGATAACCTATAACCATAAGTATAATGAGTAATTTAAGTATATTTGAGACAGAAATTTCAGGAATAACGATCATAAACGGTCGATACCGAAACTTAAGGGAAGCCAAATATTGACCGATGAAAACAAAGCATATTACATATAATGAAGCCGGAGTACTGTCTATAGAGTGAATGGTTCCAACTGATACTGAAAATTGGAGTAGCACTGGTCCATGCATTGGTTGTAATATAAACAGTATACACGACACATTTTCTGGAACAATATTAATCAGATACGCTTGATATCGACAGTTTGGAAAGCCAATTAAAAAGGTTTAAGATTTATTGATCGATTTATTTGACAGGACATGGCTGCGTATTTATAAATACATGCCATACAGCCCAACAAACGCCATACGTTAGTAAGGGTTTTTGCACGCTATTATTGCTGGACAGGAGGTCCAGGCAGGACATAGGTTTAAGAAGAACATCCTCACTGGTAATGGACGCCATGTTTAACGACGACCACAAGTACACATATATATGACAATAGAACTTAAAAAACTATTCTTAAACCCTGTATTATAAAGGGGAAGTAAATATTGACACAACAGCATCCATGCTATATATATATATATATATATTTAATTCTAGGATATGCAAATTGTCTCTTCAAAATTATAAATATCAATGTACGTCTAAAAATTAACGGTTTCGTCAGAATACTAAAAAATGGTCCAACTTAACAACATCAAAGTTGCTTTACATAACATTTAGTTGACTTGTTTTCACCCGTATTTTTAAACACGATTTCTCCGTCAATTTTGTATTCATCGTATGGTAAGGTGTGAATGGTCTCAAATCCAAATTTTTCATAAATTTTCTGGGAATAAATTGAAGTGCCTTCACCTTTTATGAAAACTGGACTTAACCCTAGTTCTTTACAAAATAGTAGAGTGGCTTTCATTAATTTAGAAGCTATTCCCTGTGCTCGGTGATCTCTATGGGTTGCCAGAGCAAAAAAGGACACTGCTATGTCTGCGTTATATCGTTTAAATACGTCCATTGCATCATATCTATGCCCCAAAAAGTCCATTATTGTAACCCATTTTCTATTTTTGGATTTTGACCAATCTGCCTTTTCGCCTTTCTTGGCTAAACACATTGACCTACAGGCTATTATTTCTCCGGTTGAATCTGATATCAGTAAAACAGACAGATTTTCACGAAAAACTTCTGAGAATATTCCAGCTACCTCTTCATCAAACTCTGCTCCTAAAGATTTACATAAAGCTTCATCAGTGTAAAAATGTTCTTTGAGGAATGTTACAAGACTGCTGTTACGTTTATCGGAGGATAATTCTAAGTGTCCATTTTTGAAATCAAAAGAGTCATTTATTCGTCGTAAGTCCTGAAAAATAAATAAATCCCTTATTTCACATGAAGTTGAATATTCCACAACATACTACTTATATTCGTGGTATTGCATGATAAATTATGCAATGACAATTCCCCTGCAACTATGTATGCTGTCATTTCTAAAGTGATAATTGTTAGTCGGTTTAAACTGGGACATAATATAGTGACTAGTCCCAGGTTTAAATTGCTTTTAATGTTTTAATTAAACGCTTAATCCCTCGATTGCACAATCAATTTACATACGCATCCTGACACACAACACTGTAGCCATCTATTTTTATTGGCGGGAAAACGAGGCTTCAGATATATACATTGGGATTCACAACACTAGATCGGATTGATCTTAAAAATAGGAATATCTCAGATCGTTCAAAGTATAGGGAACATAGACATATTCCTAATGCATTAACATATGTTGGTTTGTCTATCCTTGACCAATTTCTTCCTGGTTAAAGAACAATATTAAATCAGATGGAAAGGATGGATCAATGAATTGAGTGAATTAATTGGTGTTCAACGTTCAATGGCAAATACTACGTACATGTCAGGACGACAACATATAGATATAAGAAGATGTGGTATGAGTGCCAATGAGACAACTCTCCATCCAAGTATCAATTTGTAAAAGTAAACCATTATAGATCAAAGTACGGCCTTCAACACGGAGCCTTGGCACACACCGAACAGCAAGCTATAAAGGCCCCCAAAAATGACTAGTGTAAAACCACTCAAACAGGAAAACCAACGGTCTAATCTATGTTGATTTGAAATGAATATGAACGCTGGTTTGTACTAGACCGACACTAAGCCGGATTTTGAAGGTACTAGGTTAGTTCACAAGGTAACATTCCGGAGGAAGACATATCAGCATGCACCCTATATCCAGACGCATTCGTCGGACTCTGAGCCGACCTGTCATTACATTTACTCCTAAATGCCACGTGATAAGAGGAGAAGCAGAAATATACCAATTTCAAGGGAATCTCCAACTTCCCGCTACCACGAGACCACCTAGGCGTTTAGATTTAAAAAGTTTGCAATAAAATGATAGACCCGATGACAGATATCGAAGTTTATTTTATGAACATATATTAACAAAAAATATCTTCTCAAGTTTAATATCTTAGATCTTTGATATTATTATTAACCAGGTTGCATCAGCTTTTAGATGCTGACCCAGATGAGTGAAAAAAATCATTGGAAAACACTGCTTTATTTTCTTTGATTGATGCAATTTGTGGTATAAAATTAAAAAAAAAGATTTTGATGAACATATTCTATTTTTCGTGTTTGGTACAATGATAAGAATGCACGAAAGGCGAAATAGGAGGGAGAAAAATGGATGAAAACCAAATTACCCATCAAGGTTGGGTATCAAAACTACTACTCGCACTTTACAGCTGAAAATTTACTCCTAAATGCCACGTGTTAAGAGGAGAAGCAGTAATATACCAATTTCAAGGGAATCTCCAACTTCCCGCTACCACGAGACCACCTAGGCGTTTAGATTTAAAAAGTTTGCAATAAAATGATAGACCCGATGACAGATATCTTTATTTTATGAACATATATTAACAAAAAATATCTTCTCAAGTTTAATATCTTAGATCTTTGATATTATTATTAACCAGGTTGCATCAGCATTTAGATGCTGACCCAGATGAGTGAAAAAAATCATTGGAAAACACTGCTTTATTTTCTTTGATTGATGCAATTTGTGGTATAAAATTAAAAAAAAAAAGATTTTGATGAACATATTCTATTTTTCGTGTTTGGTACAATGATAATTAAGAATGCACGAAAGGCGAAATAGGAGGGAGAAAAATGGATGAAAACCAAATTACCCATCAAGGGTGGGTATCAAAACTACGACTCGCACTTTACAGCTGAAAAGTGGCGTAACTTATTGTATGTGACTAGGCAAAATATTTCCAGGCATAATTTCAGGTACCGAGTCCAAAATGGGCTGATTGCAAATTATCAAGTCAGTATATTGGGAGAAAATATCCTGTCAAATTAAGTCATTTTAACAGATTCGTTGAAAATAATGTACGCAGTGTTATTGCCGAATGCATTGATTTATATAGTAATTTTAAATTTATTTTTAAGTTTGACTTATTGAATTCTATAAATGATGCATGTCCCTCAATAACACGGATGACATGAGAACCATTACAGTTTTGGTGCATCAATAACAAAATGACATCACAAATATTATACATTTATATACACTATAAATATTAGACGTAGAGCAGGAAATCAATTTGAATTATTAAAACCTTTACCCGGAAACATGGGAGCAAAGTAAATGGATACGACACGTAAAAATTATTTAAATCTACAGGAAATTATTATCCAAAAACTGTTATAAATAAGTGATTAAATTTAATTTATTATAATTTCACCAACCTTCAAACGAATTTGACGACTTCTTTGGACCTTTTTGTTAAATGTCTATAGTATTGTGTATGTTCTAGTACTTTTATCTTGATATTTGAGGATTTGGGCTGTCGTCTATCGTTTTGAGTTAACTGATTGGTCCTTACAAAAACAAAAGCATTTTTTGGGGTATCTTTGATATATGATTGGCGATAGTCCTTTGTTGGTTTATAAACTTCTAAAAGAGAAATCATAATTGATCACAATTCACTTGTCAGTTTTGCTAACTGCACGGGCAAATTTATACTTTACAATTGAGTTGCTGGATGGATGACAAGGAGTTAAACAATCAGTTGAAAATGTCAATAAAGACAATTTTCGAGTTCATTTTTATGATAATAACTTTATTGCAAAAAGTTAAACCTTGACGGGTTAAAAGGCAAACAACATGTACACAAGAAACATACAATACACAAATAAAGTTCTAAACAAGGCAAGTTAATATTAATAATATATAAGTATCTATAGATAATGAATGGGTTACGTCGGTTGACACGAGACCAATGGGCATTAATGACGTCATTGTACAATCGACTTTTACTGTAACATAATAACATTGTGACAGCGGAAATGCAATGTAAAATGCTCGAATATGAAAATCGTTTATTTTGCCAATATCTTATACCGAGTGTTAAATACTAAGCGAGAACATTCGGCTACTGCTCACTAATGATACCTGTTATATCTGCATTGACTTCTTTTATTAGTTACGCCACGCGTATGATTATGTTATTGTTATTTACACACATGATTAATTAAAGTAGTTCCTAAAATGTAAACAATGGTTGCTTGATGCTTTACATCTCCCCCTCGGCCAATACATAACAATACCCCCGCCCCTCTCAAAGTATAAGGTAAACAGGAAGTTGTTGAGTGATGAATCTGAAAACGCATCACACGGTATAGCTGACTCGTATAAAACCTGAAACCAAATTTCAGAAATCCTTGTAATGTAGTTCCTGAGAAAGATACGACGAAAAATATTCATGGGACGGACGGACGGACGGACTGACGGATGGACTGGCGGACGGACGGATCGATGGACGGACAGAAATAAAACCGTATACCCCCACTTTTTTAAAGCGGGGGTATAATGACCAAATGCCTCACGATTTAAAGAGAACAAATAATACAGTAGACATATACTTTTTATTATCTACTCTCTAGTAATTAAAATTCAAGGCGATCAGCTCTCGCAGAAATGTCTGTTGTCGTTTAAAATAAATACAACTGACGTTAAAATTGCATTTGTACCCCATGTTTGATCGGAATAAAAAGTTGTCTTTTTCATCTTAAAATAGTTATGTTGTCAGTGTAGAAGTTTAAATACTTTTCCGAAGGCCAGTTCGAGTAAAATAAACTTCCTCTCTTTTGTACATGCATAACTATCAGCTATAGCTAGAGGAGGGGATAAGGCGTCTGCGCAATGCTAGGCGGTGTTGCCGTAGAAGTATGAAGTGAAAAGTACAGGTTCCAGCCCCGCTCGGGGAGGAAGTAAAGAATCAAATCTATTCTAACATTGTTAGGTTGATTTTCTAGGCACTTTATAAATATTCTAAAGCCTGGTATTTCTTGATCATAAGAAATCCGATGGACAAGGTATAATTTACAGTTGTCACTACACATAGGCAGACATACATAACTTACTTACAAATATATAAATTGTAAAAATACTTTCTCCGTTTAAAATGGTTTAACACATAGTTTTTCTTTACCTCTTCAAGTTCTTTCCTAGGCCTGAGTTCGTTCTTTTCCGTCATGTTCAGTTATCACGTTATCACAGTATAGTGTCAGATGTAATAGTTATACACCGAGGGATAGGTGTGTCTGGATAAGAAACCCCGTCGGCCGGAGGCCGGAGGGGTTTCTTATCCAGACACGCCGTATCCCGAGGTGTATAACTAACTTACACCCCATTCTAAACCCTATATTTGTTAACATTGATTATTAAATGAAAAAAAAAAACGATAGCATATTTATTGACAATATCAAACCATGATTTATAAAAATTTTTTTTTTTTATTACATGAAACCCCACTAGTAACCTTTCTTTGGTTATCTTCGTTCAAACTTTGACAAGTGAGTATATTTTACAAATGTCAAAGTTGTTTTGCATATTCCCGTTAAATCCATGTGCTAATATGGATCAGCAGGTCAAGGTTAACTGTTTCGTGTATTCTTATTACAAACAAAAAATACATCAGACTCCTGGTATACAGTTGTCAATATGGACGGGTATAAGACGGACGACATTTTGTGGCAAGCGTTGGATTTGGTATAAGAGACTAAAGACAAAGACAATATTATAACCCAAAGTACTTACCTGTATCAGTTTAATAAAGGTAATCATAACTGTATTTTATATCTTAAGATTTTATCAAAAAACGAAAGCCCCCCTCCCCCTCTTCTCGAAAATAAACAAACATTCATATTCGAAAATACTAAGGGATATGTGTGTCTGCATTAAAAATCCGACTACCAGACACGCTCAACATACAATATTTGATATAGAGGAACTCCCTTTTTGGGGGCAATCAGGGGCTGATCCTGGGGGTTCCCAACTCAAGAGAAAAAGGGGGGGGGTGGGGGTCCAACCATTCAAATGCATTGATCTTTTAAATAAAAGTCGGGTCCAACCCGCAGAACCCCTAACCCCAGATCGGCCACTGGATAACCGGGGGGGGGGGGGGGGGGGGGGGTCCGGGGGTTAGAATCCCCATTTGTTTTAAAGATCAATGCTTTAGAATAGAGACATATGACTGGGATAAAAAAAAAATAACTTCAAGTGAAAAAGTATTTAAAGGATTATTTTTGTATTCCATATAGATGCTTATTGGAATTTCCTAAAATGTTTTTTTTTAATATCATGAAACAATTTGTAGTGAACACTATTAGTGATTTCTTATGTTCATGCTATTTAAAAAATAATCAATTTCTATTGTTACGAATAACAATGGACTTTGTTTGCGGGGTGTAGAAGCAGGGGTTTCCAGAAACCCCGCTCGTCACACCCTGTGGTCAAAATCCATTGTTATTCGTAACAATAGATCTATTCAATTTACACATGTTTCAGAAATAGAAACTGTGAAGTATAACAATAGAACTGGGGTGTAAATATATGATTATATATTTAAACGTGTACTTACCCAATGAAAGTTTTCCACAGTGCCATCTCTATCTTGACCAGGTATTTATTGCGAACCCAATGAAAGTTTTCCACAGTGCCATCTCTATCTTGACCAGGTATATTTAAACTTTTGTAAGTTCACCTGTCCTATTGAAAAAATACAATAGCTATTGTTCTCCCTGTAGTTTTTTCACTGGGACCTTTAAATTTCTTCTAAGAGAAATCTATCACTCATTGATTAATTTACCTGAGCATAAAAAAATCTTGTAAATAGAGGAAAATACATGTTTTATACTCAAAACTTTATGTGATGTTATAGTTATTCAATATTGATAATATATTTTCAACCGGTTGATTGTAAACAGTGATGCAAACATTAATAAAATATAAAAAAGAAGATGTGGTATGAATGCCAATGAGACAACTCTCCACAAGAGACCAAATGACACAGAAATTAACAACTATAGGTCACCGTACGGCCTCCAACAATGAGCAAAGCCCATATCGCACAGTCAGCTATGAAAGGCCCCGAAATGACAATGTAAAACAATTCAAACGAGAAAACTAACGCCCTAATTTATGTACAAAAAATGAATGAAAAACAAATATGTAACACATAAACAAACGACAACAACTGAATTACAGGCTCCTGACTTGGGACAGGCACATACATACAGAATGTGGCGTGGTTAAACATGTTAGCGTTGATTTCTGTTATATTAATAATATATTTTCATTCAGTTTAATTATATAAACATTGATTCAATCATAAAAAGTTGATTTCTGACAAAACTTTCAACATTGTTCCTTTTAAAATAAAATTTGTTTGACATGAATAAAACTTGAAAATTATGATGTTCAAATTAAGATCTTCTTAAATGTATTCTATAACTAAAAAAAAAATCAAATTTCAATAGGAACATTGATAAAACTTTTGTTAGAAATCAACTTTTTATGATTGAATCAATGTTTATATTAAACTGAATGAAAAGATATTATTAATATTGAATAAATACATCATCACACGCAGTTAATGAGTATATAAAAAAAGTATTTTTGTCTATATATAAGAATTTTTTTTTTACTCAGGTAAATTAATCAATGAATGATAGATTTCTCTTAGAAGAAATTTAAAGGTCCCAGTGAATAAACTACACAGAGAAAAATAGCTATTGTATTCATTCAATAGACCAGGTGAACTTACAAAAGTTTAAATACCTGGTCAAGATAGAGATGGCACTGTGGAAAACTTTCATTGGGTTCGCAATAAACTTTTGTAAGTTCACCTGTCCTATTGAATAAATATAATAGCTATTATTCTACTGGTAATGTAACACTCTCATTCCAATATAACACGGACCTGCTAAAATAACGGAGAGTGGCCAGCCCTTAATGCAACCATCACTTGGATATAAGCAATTAATGGTACAGGACACTATACTGCCTACAAAAATGAGAAAAACCCATACCTCATAGTCAGCTTTAAAAGGCCCCAACATAGAAAATGATTCAAACAAAAAAAAACTAACGGAATAACTTATAACAATTCAATTCATGAAAAACAGAAATGACAGAAATAAACCAACTACAATCTTCTTCATAATGACCTCATTTAATGCAGAAAGTCGAATAGTAAACAATCACTATTATCACATCACAGCTTAAGGTCCCTTTTATGTACTGGTTACCTAAACTAAAAAAATAAAACCCGTTCAAATATCATTTGATCTTGGTTTAAAGTAGGTGTTTATTGCCTCTTAACTTATTTCTTTACTACAATTACAGAACTTATTAATTTTTGTAAAAAAGAAAGCTTTTATAAATAATGGAATAAATTGTTTTTTTTGAACTCACTTGGCATAAAGGGACAAGTTTAGCTTTTGTCATCACCAACAACAACAACAATACTTTATTTCAAGAGGGTTACACAGTTAGCTATATAACTTATCTTCCTTGAGGCTCTCATCATAGAAAAGCATAAACAAAAATTCGTTAAAAAACAACAATGCAAACATATACATGACATACATTAGTATAAAAGTCATGTATGAATCACCTGACATCCGTTGCCGTCCGTTAAATTTTACAAAGATCATCTCTGATGAAACTACAGGGCCAAATTCAACCAAACATAGTCACAGTCATCATTGGGGTATCAAGTTTTAAAAATGAGTCTGATGACCCCTCCTGCCAACCAACATGGCTATCGGCTAAAAATAGAACATTGTTGTAAAAAGAAAATTTGTTTATTATCTTTAAAACCACTATAGATAGAGCAAAATGTTCAGACTGTTGAGATCTACCTACTGTCTAATTTCATCAAAACTTTCAGACGACATTGTTGGAAATTCTCAGTTGGCCCCTTATTGGAGTAATTTCTCTTTGGTGAGGATTGTTTAGATTTTTTATGTGTTTTATTAAGCCTATTATCTTGAAAACTGTAATAGATTAACAGAAACTTTAAAAGCAAAAATTATCAGTAAGACAAGATCTACAAATAAGTCAAATAGGGGAAATTGTAAGTTGATTCTTTATAGGAGTTATTGCTCTTAAAAAAGACGATTTTTCGATTTTTGGGGTTTTTGTCTATTAATTTGAAACTATAATAGAAAGAGAGAATCTTAGAGGACAAAAATTATCTAAAATGCAAGATCTACAAATAAGTTGAAATTGCTGAAATTGTTAGTCAATTCTTTATATGAGTTAGTGCCCCTAAATGACAATTTTTACCAAATGTTTGCATCTTTCCCTATTATTTTAAAACTATAATAGATTAACAGAAACTTTAAAAGCAAAAATAATCAGCAAGACAAGATCTGCAAATAGTTCAGCATACATGTAGGTGAATTTGTCAATTGTCTTCTTATAAGTAGGAGTTATCACCCTCAATGACGATTTTTACTCTTTTTGTGTTTTGGGCAAAAACTATAGAAGATGGAGAGAAACTGTAAACAGAAATTATGATCAGCAGTACAAGTTCAACATCAAAGAGATTTTAGTCATGAATAATATTCTAGTCTTCAATGTTGGAGAGTGTCCATTGTTGTAGATGCACATAGATGTGGGTGAGCGACACAGGCTCTTTAGAGCCTCTTGTTTTAGTGTAAAATACTCTTTCAATGTTTTAGATCATTTACATGCTTTTTGATGGTCCTTTCTATTTGGATGACAGTTATGACTTATCAACTCTGTACACTACACTACCACACAAAAGTTTTCATATTTAATTTAAAAACAGTCCTTTGAAAAATCTGATTGCAAATTTATTTGCTGCTAATTGTACAAAGCCTGTTTCTCTAAAAAGAAATAAAAAAATCTTACAAAATTCTTACTTGAAATGTGATGAGATGATTAAAGCTGTTAATTGTCTTCTTAGGCAATATATACGTACATTTCAGCAATAGAGTATCAACAGGTTTAATGTATTATTTGAGGCACCAATTGCACCTTTTTTAATAGCACTCTTGTTCCTGCACTGTTATAAGTGACAGTTTATGGCCAAATTCATTTAAGTTAGAAATAAACTCCATTTCATTGAACAAATTAATAACACTTCCCCATACCTTGGTGATATTTTTGCTTTAAATAATCAATAATTTTTGTAACTATACTGCAAAAATTTACCATTGGGTTCTGACTAAATAAATGTTAAATAAACAGCGATAAATTCTATTTCCCCTTGGTCGCGCGCATAAAGAGTTGTGAGGGACATGGACATACCGGGCGTCCGTCCGTGTGTCTGTTCATCTGGTCTTGTTAGCGCTCTCACAGGTACAATTCTTGCCAGATTTTTATAAAACTTATACTATAGGTTAATATCAGCAATACTCGGACAAGTTCTATAATGGTGTCCGATCGACTTTTTAAAAATAGTTATGACCCTTGGAAATATTAAATTTATTGAAAATGGCCTTGTTAGCACTCTCACGGGTACAATTCTTGGCAGATTTTTATAAAACTTATTCTATAGGTCAATATCAGCAATATCACAGATAAGTTCTATAATGGTGGACGATCGACTTTTTTTAAAAGAGTTATGACTCTTGAAAATATTAAATCTATGGAAAATGGCCTTGTAAGCGCTCTCACGGGTACAATTTTTTATAAAACTTATAGTTTACTATAAGTAATGCCCTTGAAGGTCTTTTTGAAATATTTAGTATACAATAAAAAAAACTTTTTTTCCCACGCGCACACTTTTTATTATACATTGTTTTAAAGAACAACAAAAAAAGTGGTTTTTTTTTTAGTTATTGCCCCTGGATAGATAAAATATGTGCAACACGGGGGACATTGAAACTCTGTTCTTTTATTTGACATTGATGTTCTTTTGGTCCATTCTTAGGTTGTGTATATTTCCCAAACTCATTCGCTGTAGTCTTGTCAGCATAGGTACTTGGGGACAGGACAATTTTTTAGCCTTACCCCTTTTTTCCCAAATCTGTTATATCCGTCGATGACTGCTTTGGGTAGTAAACTAGTAATTGATAGTAAATAGTAAATATATGTTATTTCTGTTATATTTATTTTTTTATAACACAGAACGAGAAAATAATTGAAATTAAAAGAAAACCAAAAATAACGGATTATGGGGAAAAGGGTTCATATGCGTCTCTGTAGTGTCTTTTAAGATTTAAAAAAAAAATGGAATAAATGTATAACTTGTAAGTTATTAAGTCACGGATTTTATTACCTAAAATTACTTAAAACATTTTATTTAAATTTTGTCGTGGATACAAAAATTCGTTTCGGATGTTTTGCTTCACCAGCAGAAAAAAGAGAGGCGAAAGATTCAAAGGGGCATTCAAACTCATAAGTAGAAAATAAACTGACAACGACATGGCAAGAAAAGGACCAACAGGCAAACAACAGTGCATAAAACACAACATAGAAAACTAAAGACTGAGCAACATGAACCCCACTAAAAACTGGGGGTGATCTAAGGTGCTCCGGAAGGGTAAGAAGAGATCCTGCTCCACATGTAGTACCCGTCGTGTGGCTCATGTTTGTACAAACCCGGTTATAAGTCTAATTCGGTAGGTCACATTCGGTGAAAAGGGGACGGGATTTAGTTACGACAATTGGAACATATCCGTTGTCATCTGTGAAAGGAATATTCCATAACGGTCAACCAAATCGTGATGGCGTCCGTGAAATTTACGCAGTGATGATTTCAACTTCACCACTTAGAACTCTTTGTTTAATAGCTTCCTTGTAAGCAGCAACGCTCTAACAAGGAAATCATGATAGGGAATACAAGCAAATCACGTCATAAATTTTAAGTTGAGGAACTTAATTGATGCTCTGAATAAACTTATTCGTAAAGGTTGTCAATTTACACTGTAGAAAGTAAGATCTTCGAGTATTGATCAATATTGTCCTTATCAGTACTTTAAGTTACATTGATATAAAAAGAAGTTGTGGTATAATTGCCAATGAGATAACTATCCACCAGAGACCAAATGACTAGAAGTTAACAACTGTAGGTCACCGTACGGATGTTCTTTTTTATTTAATTAAGTTAAAACATAACTAAATATATATTGCTATCAGTTATGAATACTTTTGGTCCTCTGTCGATACAATGAACTTATATGTTGGCATTGCACAAGGTCATGCTTTTCTAAGACTTACTGCATGACTTCTTTACACTTTGAATGATAACTGATTAATATTTAAGTATAGAAAACATGATTTATCTGCTTAATTACAATAAGCTTCCTAAAACTTCGAGTACTCTTCATCTGTTTTTTTCAGACATAAAATATTGTATTATATGTCTCTGGTATTTTCTGTCTTTTGTCTTTTGTCTTTGAGTCATTGTATTTTTGTTGCTTTGTGTCGATCTGGTCAGTTAAGCCATTTTAAACGGATTTTACATTTTGATCATATATTGTGCTATTACAGCACTGTCCCAGATTAGGGCAGGGTTAACCGCTTATAAACATTTAAACCCCATCAATTTCTTTATGTGCCTCGTCCCAATTAAGTCGGGACCCAGCTGTAATTCCTTGGTTGTTGTTGTGTTTGTCCCACTTTTTTCTGGTTTTTGTTGATTGCTGTTTGTTATATTTGTTTTTCGTTTATTGTTTTGTCCTAAATGAGGCCATTGAATTTCTCATCGAAGTGTTTCACATTTTTCATGTCGGATGTCTTTTATAGCAGACTATACTGTATGAGTATTGGTCATTGTTCAAGGAATTTTGATCTGTTGTTGCTTACATCCACTGGTGTCATTTGGACTAAGTTGGAAAGTTGTCTCATTGGCAATCATGTCACATCTCCTTATTTTTCATTTTATTATGTTTAACCAAAAAATAAAGAACTTGTTAAATGAAAAATTGAAATTAGAGAATGGGGAAGGCTATAAATGCAAATATTTCTTATATTTAAAGGATTTACTAGTAAGCCTAAATTAAATTCTACATCAATGTTCATCAAACGGATCCAAACCCAAATCTTCTGTTATCAAAACTAAAATGTACCCAGTGATTTCGACAGCAGCTGTGATCCTGTTGTTTTATGTAAATATCCTGTATGGTGATTATGTTTATAGTTTATCACAGTCAGAAATAAGTCATCAGTGATGTGTTCACAAAATCAAAATTGATTTTTCTTTACATGATAACCTATAACCATAAGTATAATGAGTAATTTAAGTATATTTGAGACAGAAATTTCAGGAATAACGATCATAAACGGTCGATACCGAAACTTAAGGGAAGCCAAATATTGACCGCTGAAAACAAAGTATATTACATATAATGAAGCCGGAGTACTGTCTATAGAGTGAATGGTTCCAACTGATACTGAAAATTGGAGTAGCTTTGGTCCATGCATTGGTTGTAATATAAACAGTATACACGACACATTTTCTGGAATAATATTAATCAGATACGCTTGATATCGACAGTTTGGAAAGCCAATTAAAAAGGTTTAAGATTTATTGATCGATTTTATTTGACAGGACGTGGCTGCGTATTTATAAATACATGCCATACAGCCCAACAAACGCCACACGTTAGTAAGGGTTTTTACACGCTATTATTGCTGGACAGGAGGTCCAGGCAGGGCATAGGTTTAAGAAGAACATCCTCACTGGTACTGGACGCCATGATAAACGACGACCACAAATACACATATGACAATAGAAGTTAAAAAATATTCTTAAACCCTGTATTATAAAGGGGAAGTAAATATTGACACAACAGCATCCATGCTATATATATATATATTTAATTCTAGGATATGCAAATTGTCTCTTCAAAATTATAAATATCAATGTACGTCTAAAAATTAACAGTTTCGTCAGAATATTAAATAAAATGCTTCGCTGGGCGCAGCTTGATACGACCGCAGAGGTCGAACCCTAAACAGTTGGGGCAAGTATGGACACAACATTCAAGCTTGATACAGCTCTGAATTTGGATTGTGATTAAATATTTGACACAGCATAGGTTTCTGACACAGAAAGAATGTGGTCTAAGAACTTCAATTTTTTTAATTTACCTATTATGGTCCAATGTCCAAAATCAAAATACATGGTTAGATTCAGCATATCAAAGAACCCCATATATTCAATTTTTGTTGAAATCAAACAAAGTTTAATTTTGGACCCCAACTTGGACAAACTTGAAAACTGGTCCCATAATCAAAAATCTAAACACATGTTTAGATTCAGCATATCAAAGTACCCGAAGAATTCATTTTTTGTTAAAATCAAACTAAGTTTAATTTTGGACCCTTTGGACCTTAATGTAGACAAATTTACAAAACGGGACCCAAAATTAAAAATCTAAATACACGGTTAGATTCGGCATATCAAAGAACCCCAATAATTCAATTTTTAATGAAATCAAACAAAGTTAAATTTTGGACCCTTTGGACCTCAATGTGGACCAATTTAAAAACGGGGCCCAAAATCCAAAAACTTAATACACGGTTAGATTCAGCATATTAAAGAACCCCAAGAATTCAAGAATAAAACCCCATTGAAATTGATCAAGAAATAAGCAATTTATACGAAGTATCTTCTTTTGCACAATACTGTGCAATTGAATATTTCTTGCTATTGCGCAATACTGTACAATTGACAATTTCTTGCTATTGTGCAATATTGTGCTATTGGATATTTCTTGCTATTGCGCAATACTCTGCAATTGAAGATTTCTTGCTATTGCGCAATACTGTGCAATTGAAGATTTCTTGCTATTGTGCAATACTGTGCAATTGAAAATTTCTTGCTATTGCACAATACTTATTATATAATAATTTACACATCCTGTTTGGTGTGTATCTCCTACCATATCATTATTATTTGCTTTTAAATATAAATCAGAAATAACCAACTTAAAATGGAAAATTTAAAAAAAAAAAAAAAAGGAAAAAAAGAAAAAAAAAAAAAAAAAAATCCCCCCCCCCCCCAAATTTTTTGAACCCCCTTATGATTCATCACCCCCAAACTCTATCCCAGCCTTCCCTTTGTGGTATGGTACCTTGCAGTACAATTTCAGAGAGATCCATACACTTGAACACAAGTTATTGTCTGGAAACTAGAAAAATGCTTATTTTTGGCCCCTTTTTGGCCCCCAATTCCTAAACGTTTCGGGCAATTACCCCCAAACTCAATTCCAGCTTTCCCTTTGTGATATGGAACCTTGTAGTACAATTTCAGAAATATCCAAACACTTACACACAAGTTATTGTCATGAAACTAGAAAAATGCTTGTTTTTTGCCCTTTTTTAGCCCCTAATTCCTAAAATTTTGAGGCAATTACCCCCAAAATCAATTACAGCCTTCCCTTTGTGATATGGAACCTTGTGGTACAATGTCAGAGAGATCCATACACTTACACACAAGTTATTGTCTGAAAGTTACAAAAATGCTTATTTTTGGCCCCTTTTTGGCCCCTAATTCCTTAACTGTTGGTACCATAACCCCCAAAATCAATCCCAACCTTCCTTTCGTGGTATTGTACCTTATGGTGAAATTTCATGGAGATCCATTCACTTAAACTAAAGTTACAGTGCGAAAACCCATGTGTCTTCGGACGACGCCGGACGACGCTGGACGACGACGACGACGACGACGACGACGCCAACGTCATACCAATATACGACCAAAAAATTTTTAATTTTTGCGGTCGTATAAAAATTGGTCCAACTTAACAACATCAAAGTTGCTTTACATAACATTTAGTTGACTTGTTTTCACCCGTATTTTTAAACACGATTTCTCCGTCAATTTTGTATTCATCGTATGGTAAGGTGTGAATGGTCTCAAATCCAAATTTTTCATAAATTTTCTGGGAATAAATTGAAGTGCCTTCACCTTTTATGAAAACTGGACTTAACCCTAGTTCTTTACAAAATAGTAGAGTGGCTTTCATTAATTTAGAAGCTATTCCCTGTGCTCGGTGATCTCTATGGGTTGCCAGAGCAAAAAAGGACACTGCTATGTCTGCGTTATATCGTTTAAATACGTCCATTGCATCATATCTATGCCCCAAAAAGTCCATTATTGTAACCCATTTTCTATTTTTGGATTTTGACCAATCTGCCTTTTCGCCTTTCTTGGCTAAACACATTGACCTACAGGCTATTATTTCTCCGGTTGAATCTGATATCAGTAAAACAGACAGATTTTCACGAAAAACTTCTGAGAATATTCCAGCTATCTCTTCATCAAACTCTGCTCCTAAAGATTTACCTAAAGCTTCATCAGTGTAAAAATGTTCTTTGAGGAATGTTACAAGACTGCTGTTACGTTCATCGGAGGATAATTCTAAGTGTCCATTTTTGAAATCAAAAGAGTCATTTATTCGTCGTAAGGCCTGAAAAATAAATAAATTCCTTATTTCACATGAAGTTGAATATTCCACAACATACTACTTATATTCGTGGTATTGCATGATAAATTATGCAATGACAATTCCCCTGCAACTATGTATGCTGTCATTTCTAAAGTGATAATTGTTAGTCGGTTTAAACTGGGACATAATATAGTGACTAGTCCCAGGTTTAAATTGCTTTTAATGTTTTAATTAAACGCTTAATCCCTCGATTGCACAATCAATTTACATACGCATCCTGACACACAACACTGTAGCCATCTATTTTTATTGGCGGGAAAACGAGGCTTCAGATATATACATTGGGATTCACAACACTAGATCGGATTGATCTTAAAAATAGGAATATCTCAGATCGTTCAAAGTATAGGGAACATAGACATATTCCTAATGCATTAACATATGTTGGTTTGTCTATCCTTGACCAATTTCTTCCTGGTTAAAGAACAATATTAAATCAGATGGAAAGGATGGATCAATGAATTGAGTGAATTAATTGGTGTTCAAAGTTCAATGGCAAATACTACTTACATGTCAGGACGACAACATATAGATATAAGAAGATGTGGTATGAGTGCCAATGAGACAACTCTCCATCCAAGTATCAATTTGTAAAAGTAAACCATTATAGGTCAAAGTACGGCCTTCAACACGGAGCCTTGGCACACACCGAACAGCAAGCTATAAAGGCCCCCAAAAATGACTAGTGTAAAACCACTCAAACAGGAAAACCAACGGTCTAATCTATGTTGATTTTGAAATGAATATGAACGCTGGTTTGTACTAGACCGACACTAAGCCGGATTTTGAAGGTACTAGATCTAGTTCACAAGGTAACATTCCGGAGGAAGACATATCAGCATGCACCCTATATCCAGACGCATTCGTCGGACTCTGAGCCGACCTGTCATTACATTTACTCCTAAATGCCACGTGATAAGAGGAGAAGCAGAAATATACCAATTTCAAGGGAATCTCCAACTTCCCGCTACCACGAGACCACCTAGGCGTTTAGATTTAAAAGGTTTGCAATAAAATGATAGACCAGATGACAGATATCGAAGTTTATTTTATGAACATATATTAACAAAAAATATCTTCTCAAGTTTAATATCTTAGATCTTTGATATTATTATTAACCAGGTTGCATCAGCTTTTAGATGCTGACCCATATGAGTGAAAAAAATCATTGGAAAACACTGCTTTATTTTCTTTGATTGATGCAATTTGTGGTATAAAATTTAAAAAAAAGATTTTGATGAACATATTCTATTTTTCGTGTTTGGTACAATGATAAGAATGCACGAAAGGCGAAATAGGATGGAGAAAAATGGATGAAAACCAAATTACCCATCAAGGGTGGGTATCAAAACTACTACTCGCACTTTACAGCTGAAAATTTACTCCTAAATGCCACGTGTTAAGAGGAGAAGCAGTAATATACCAATTTCAAGGGAATCTCCAACTTCCCGCTACCACGAGACCACCTAGGCGTTTAAATTTAAAAAGTTTGCAATAAAATGATAGACCCGATGACAGATATCTTTATTTTATGAACATATATTAACAAAAAATATCTTCTCAAGTTTAATATCTTAGATCTTTGATATTATTATTAACCAGGTTGCATCAGCTTTTAGATGCTGACCCATATGAGTGAAAAAAATCATTGGAAAACACTGCTTTATTTTCTTTGATTGATGCAATTTGTGGTATAAAATTTAAAAAAAAGATTTTGATTAACATATTCTATTTTTCGTGTTTGCTACAATGCTAAGAATGCACGAAAGGCGAAATAGGAGGGAGAAAAATGGATGAAAACCAAATTACCCATCAAGGGTGGGCATCAAAACTACTACTCGCACTTTACAGCTGAAAAGTGGCGTAACATATTGTATGTGACTAGGCAAAATATTTCCAGACTTAATTTCAGGTACCGAGTCCAAAATGGGCTGATTGCAAATTATCAAGTCACTATATTGAAAGAAAATATCCTGTCAAATTAAGTCATTTTAACAGATTCGTTGAAAATAATGTATGCAGTGTTATTGTCCTTGTATTTTGGGATAAGGAGTATTTTATTGCGACGTTTTAATTTACGAATGCATTGATTTATATAGTAATTTTAAATTTATTTTTAAGTTTGACTTATTGAATTCTATAAAAGGTGCATGTCCCTCAATAACACGGATGACATGAGAACCATTACAGTGTTGGTGCATCAATAACAAAATGACATCACAAATATTATACATTTATATACACTATAAATATTAGATGTAGAGCAGGAAATCAATTTGAATTATTAAAACCTTTACCCGGCAACATGGGAGCAAAATAAATGTTTACGACACGTAAAATTTTTTAAAATCTATAAGTATCTATAGACAATGAATGGGTTACGTCGGTTGACACGAGATCAATGGGCATTAATGACGTCATTGTACAATCGACTTTTACTGTAACATAATAACATTGTGACAGTGGAAATGCAATGTAAAATGCTCGAATATGAAAAAAACATAAAAGAGCCAGACGTGGTTCTGGTGGTATTGCTCTGTATGTCAGAAGTTCTATATATAAAGGTATATCCAAACTATCTTGTACTCATAATAATGCTGTATGGGTTAAACTAGATAAACATTTTTTTAATCTAAAGAATGATATTTTTATTGCTTCAGTATATTTTTCACCAGAATATTCTTCTGGTTGTACAGAAGATATAAATGAAGTTTATTCAAAGTTGCTTAGGAATATTGAGCACTATGGTCAACTCGGAGATATTTTAATTCAAGGTGATTTTAATGCCTATACTTATACTATTCCTGACTTTGTAATCTCTGATGAAGCAAAATTCCCAAAATCAAATGACAATGAGTATTTAATTGACTCTCATAATTTAAGAAATAATCTTGATTCGAAATCTGCAAACAGGAGTGGAAAATTATTAATTGATTTATGTAAAGAATCCGGACTCAGAATACTGAATGGAAGAACTGTTGGAGACCCTATGGGCAAATGTATATGTAGAACATATAATGGTTCCAGTCTTGTAGACTATACACTTGTGTCTTCTAATATATTAGAATGTATTGGAAACTTCAAAGTTAATGAGTTTACTACAATTTCAGATCATTGTCCCATCAGTTGCTCTTTACTTACTTGCTTTCAAAAATGTAAAAACACAGGGACAAAATTAGATCCTCTGCCTGGTAAATTTATTTGAGATAACAAAGCAATTGGTTGCTATACTACAAACATTCAAAGCTCACATGTAAAACAAAGACTAGATGATTTTGTAAGTGATAGGCAGATCGATTTTAATATAGCTGTGGAAAAATTTAACGCTATATTATGTGATACAGCTCTTTCATCCACTAAATTTGTTCAAAAGAAAATCATGAATAGGCCTATCAAGAAAAATAAAAAAAACATGGTTCTCGGACTCTTGTCATGACCTTCATACTACAGTTAAAAAGTACTATTTTCTTGTAAATAAGTTTCCAGACAATGGATCCTACAGGAAATCATTTTACTCATTTAAATCTAAATTAAGAAGAAGGTGTAAACAAGAAGAAAGAAGTTACAAAAGTCAAATCTGTGACCGAATTTCACTAAATATGAAAAAAGACCCAAAGACATTTTGGAATTTACTTAACAAATTACATGCTCTATCAGAATTAAAAGACGAAACCCATTTTGATCAAGAATTATTTATAAACTACTTTAAAAAAATGAACAGTACTTTTAATATCCAAAACAATAAATTCCATGACATAATTATTGAAAAGTTGAATGCCTTAAAAAAGACACTAAATACATGCAATTCTGACAACGAATTTAATCAACCAATTCAGCCAGTTGAAATCTTAAAGGCAGTTAAGACACTTAAAAATGGTAAATCATCAGCTGGAGACTTAATTTCTAATGAAATGATTAAATGTGGTATGCCAGTATTATTAGAATCCCTATCAAAACTTTTCAACCTAGTATTTATGAAAGGCAGCTTCCCAAAATTATGGAACAAAAGTCTGATCACATTAATTCATAAAAAGGGGAACAAATCTGACCCATCTAATTATAGAGGTATCTCATTGACTTCTAATTTGGGAAAATTATTCAATAAAATTATACACACCAGACTTATGAAGTTCATTAACACCAATAATTTGATAAGTGAAAATCAAATTGGCTTCAAAGAAAAAGCTAGAACAGCAGATCACATCTTCTCATTAAAGTCAATTGTTGATAAATATAAGACTAAAAAAAAAGAAAGTTTTTGCAGCATTTATAGATCTACGAAAAGCCTTTGATACTGTCTGGAGGGAGGGTTTATTTTACATCCTACTCCAAAACAGACTTCCAGGCAAGCTTTTTAATGTCATTCAATCAATGTATAATGAAAAAAAATGCAGAATTAAATTTCAAAATGGTATTAGCCATGAATTTATATCAAATTGCGGAGTAAAACAAGGGGATGTACTTAGCCCAACTTTGTTTAATATTTATAAAGATGGCCTTGTAAATGACCTTGATCATGCAAACACTCAACCAATTGTTATAGGAGATGTTAAACTAACATCATTATTATATGCAGATGACATTATTCTATTGTCAGAAACACAAGAAGGGCTACAAAATGCACTTAATGAGTTAACAAAATTTTGTTCCCTGTGGAAACTTGATGTAAACAAACAAAAATCAAAAATTATAATTTTCAATTCTAATGGGAAATCCCACTGTAATTATTTTAAAGTAGAAAACGAGCATCTTGAGACTGTTAAATCTTATTGTTACCTTGGAATAACAATAAATTATTCAGGCAATTTAAGTCATTCAAAAAAAATTCTTATGGAAAAAGGAAGAAAGGCTTGGTTTAAAATTAAAAAAACAGTTTCTTTAGATAATTCTTGCAATATGCTTGAAAAATTATTTGATACTTTAGTTGTCCCAATCACTCTTTATGGAAGTGAAGTAAGGGGTGTAAGCGAAGTGTTCAAAGATTCAGATCCATTTAAACATTTACATATAAAATTTATTAAAGAAATTTTAGGGGTACAGTGCAAAACAACAAATGTAGCTTGTCTAGCTGAGACAAACAGAACCCCTTTGTACCTAAAAATTCAGCTTTCAGCTATAAAATTTCTAAACCACATTGTGAACTCACCTAATTCTTTAGTCTATAAAATGTAGAGAAAACAAGTAAATGGGTTAACATTGTAAAAGACTGGTTAAATAAATTAGGTTTTGGCCATCTTACTTTTGATACTATTAATTTAAAATATTACATAAATACTATCCAACAAAGAATCTTTGACCAGGCATATCAAATTATGAATTGTTCTATCCATAAAGGTGAAAAATTAAATTTCTTTTGTAAGACTATAAAAATTGGAAAAAGGCCCCCTGAATATTGATATATGTAAATTCAAAACTGACAGATCAGTTTTCAGTAAACTTAAACTCAATGCCCATTCCCTAGCAATTGAAAGGGGGCGTTATACCAACACTAAAAGAAGTAAACGCATTTGCAGCAATAAATTGCTTATCCTGTAATAGACAAGAAATTGAGGATGAATACCATTTCTTCTCAGTCTGTCCATGCTATATATCACTGAGGGACACCTATATACAAAATATTAATAAAAATCTTAATTTCAATTTTATTAAATTGCAGTCAGCTATAACACTGAGGCATATGACCGCACTTTTAAATAGCAGTCTGCCAGTCATTATAAAACTCACCATAAAGTATATTAATGATTGTTTTTTATTGAGAACATCTGTATAACTTATATTTCTTTTAATATGTATCCTAATTTTTTTTTTTTTTGTTCATGAACATTAATGATGTGTTAACTGTCAATACACACATATTTATAGTCTTTTTTTCCCCTGTGAATACCACTGTCACTCTAATATAATTATAGTCAATTTAACTATTGTCAGTTTATTGTCTCAATACTGTATGCCATAACCATTTAATGTAAATGTGTTTGTGCTAATACATATTGTCTATTGTCTATTGTCTATGAAAATCGTTTATTTGCCAATATCTTATACCGAGTGTTAAATACTAAGCAAGAACATTCATAAACAAGCGAATCTGTGAGCTACTGCTCACTAATGATACCTGTTATATCTGCATTGACTTCTTTATTAGTTACGCCACGCGTATGAATATGTTATTGTTATTTACACACATGATTAATTAAAGTAGTTCCTAAAATGTAAACAATGGTTGTTTGACGCTTTACATCTCCACCTCGGCCAATACGTAACAATACCCCCGCCCCTCTCAAAGTATAAGGTAAACAGGAAGTTGTTGAGTGATGAATCTGAAAACGCATCACACGGTATAGCTGACTTGTATAAAACCTGAAACCAAATTTTCAGAAGTCCTTGTTATGTAGTTCCTGAGAAAGATGCGACGAAAAATATTCATGGGACGGACGGACGGACGGACTGACGGATGGACTGATGGACGGATGGATGGATGGACGGACGGACGGACAGACAACGGTAAAACCGTATACCCCCACTTTTTTTAAAGCGGGGGTATAATGACCAAATGCCTCACGATTTAAAGAGAACAAATAATACAGTAGACATATACTTTTTATTATCTACTCTCTAGTAATTGAAATTCAAGGCGATCAACTCTCGCAGAAATGTCTGTTGTCGTTTAAAATAAATACAACTGACGTTAAAATTGCATTTGTACCCCATGTTTGATCGGAATAAAAAGATGGCTTTTTCATCTTAAAATAGTTATGTCAGGGGCGTAGCTGGACTTACATAAAGTGCAATCATAACCGAAAATTTTTTTTTGGCTATTTTATGCAGAATATGATAACTTTTTTCGGGCATTTTCCCGGTATGCCATGCTTATGAAATTCACATCACATTCACGCCCAAACTCCTATTTTGTGAATACTTGTGGAATTTATAGTGATTCGGCAAGGGAGGAGGCTATGGACCGCTCAAAGTCCCCAGCTGGTCCAGGGTAGCACCCTAGTCGGGGATCCAGGGCAGCACCGTAGACGGTGGTCCAGGGAAGCGAATCCCCATGAAGCTCCGAGCATATGAGTAATTACAGTGACTGCTTTGAACATGAAAAATACCCTATCTGTTTTTTACTATACCATATTTTCATGAAACGATAGTAAAAGTCTAGTGAGTTCCGAAATTTGCTGCTTATATTATTAACATGGTTATTTTCAAATATAAAAAAAAATTTATAAAACGGGAAGATCAGGAAGAGTCGACAACCGAAGCGTTAATCAATGGACAATTGACAAACCCGGGAACAGATAAGACACAAAAGGAGAAACAAAAAATTCAACATTGAAAACTAAATACAGATGAAAAACACGGACCCAGAAAACAATGTGGCGACCTCCGGTGCTCCAAAAGGGTAAGCAGTTCCTGCTTCTTGCAAGACACCCGTAGTGTGTCTCACGAAGGTCATTCTCAAATCAAAGGAGAGGTTTCTACGACAACGGTAGAAGGTCATTTGGGACACAGATACCCCAGGTGAATCAATAGTCTTTTGGACGAACGGACAATGGGAATACGAAATCTAACGGCCACTTTTAAGTCTTGACTTATAAGTAAGGGATATAAATCTAAGATGTTTTCAAGGTGATTGTATTGAGCCTGTATAATTAAATGTTAATACTGCATGTAAGACTTAAAGTAAAGTTAATATCGAAAGTCCATATATCTATTTTTTGCCAAGGCAAATGATCGCAGAACTCTCTCGGTGTTGATATCCATTTCTTTGTGAACATGTATGAGCGCCAACGAAGATAGTCTGTCCTGTACCATGGTTGAACGGAGATAAGTTTTCGGTCGCCTTAATGCACTAAATTACCGTTCAGTAATTGATGTAGTTACTGGCATTGTAACTAGAATTGAGATGATTGCGAATATTGAAGGATATAAAGTTCCTTATTAGTCACTGATACAGACGACATCAGAGATTTGGGCTTTAAACACCGCCCGACACGATAATCTGTAAAGACTAAAGACTATCCGTAATTCAATTTCAGAATTTTTTTTTTTGGTGAAAAAAATGTGCAAGCAAATGATTTTTTTGCGTAAAGGCAGCTACGCGCCTGTATGTTGTCAGTGTAGAAGTTTAAATACTTTTCCGAAGTCCAATTCGAGTAAAATAAACTTCCTCTCTTTTGTACATGCATAACTATCAGCTATAGCTAGAGGAGGGGATAAGGCGTCTGCGCAATGCTAGGCGGTGTTGCCGTAGAAGTATGAAGTGAAAAGTACAGGTTCCAGCCCCGCTCGGGGAGGAAGTAAAGAATCAAATCTATTCTAACATTGTTAGGTTGATTTTCTAGGCACTTTATAAATATTCTAAAGCCTGGTATTTCTTAATCATAAGAAATCCGATGGACAAGGTATAATTTACAGTTGTCACTACACATAGGCAGACATACATAACTTAATTACAAATATAACTTGTAAAATTACTTTCTCCGTTTAAAATGGTTTAACCCAAGTAGCACAAAAACATTTTATTGATATTTTTAAAATATATTGCAAAATGTCACAAAAATATCATTCAAAAATAATTTTTGACGTGAAATGTATGGCTGTACTCACATAAAAATAGCATATTTTCTGGAAATATATGTTCTGAATGTTTAAAGAACATTATTTTTAAATATTTTGATTTTATATTTAAATAACATAATTTTGATATCATTCAGCGTCAATTGAAAATATCCAGACAACATATATCAAACATTTTCCAAAAATAATCAAATGCTCGAATATGAAAGTTGTTTACTCTTGAGGTCATTTAAATTCCAATATCTTTATACCGTGCGTTAGCCAGGTATAAAATATTGACAGAAATAATGCCTATCCATGTTGTAAAAATGAACATAGAGCATGACATGAAAAATTCATACCAATGTTATAAAATGAGCATAGAGCATGACACGAGAGAATCATTTCGTTTCTAATAGTAAAATTTATAATTTTTTTTGTCAGTGGAAGCGGATATATGAGACAAATTCGAAAGGCATTCATTTTGAAATGCTAGGCAAAAGTTCAGAAATAACCAAGTTATTCTTAATCAAATGCAGAGATTAAAGTACAATCACTTTGTCAATTATACGATTAAATTAAATTAATGATTACATTGGCAAATAATCGTGATTATATTTGATTACAATGAATTTCAAAATAACCTTTTTGAATGATGTGAATGAATAAAGGTTATAACTGTAGCACTTTTTGATAAAGGATTTTATTTAATATGTATAAAATAAAATAAAACTGATAGTTATTTTGTTAGTGTAAAAGTTTAAATACTTATCCGAAGGCCGATTCGAGTAGAATAAAGTTCTCTCTCTGTTCATGTATAACAACAAAATGGATTACTTAAAATTTAAACTATCCCCTTATTAAATGTGTTAACACATAGTTTTTCTTTACCTCTTCAAGTTCTTTCCTAGGCCTGAGTTTGTTCTTTTCCATGTTTAGTTATCACAGTATCATGTATATATATGTATACGTGTACAAAACTTTGAATTACCTGCACCTTTACACAACTAATTAATACACAAAATGTTTGTGTACGCTCTACGTGATATAGTGTATATTTCGCATGTGTTAAAGAAATAGCTGGGTTGCAAGCTTTAGTTGTGATATTTCTTAGCTTTTTATCATACATTAACGGTTTACGTTAATTATAAAATTCATCATCATGTGTCTATCCAAGGTAACGCAAGATTTTAACAGTATGAGCATATGTTTATATCTTTCATGTATTTGTTTAGGTAATAGTTATACACCGAGGGATAGGTGTGTCTAGATAAGAAACCCCGTCGGCCGGAGGCCGGATGGGTTTCTTATCCAGACACGCCGTATCCCGAGGTGTATAACTAACTTACACCCCATTCTAAACCCTATATTTGTTAACATTGATTATTAAACGAAAAAAAAACCAAAAACGATAGCATATTTATTGACAATATCAAACCATGATTTATAAGAATATTTTTTATTACATGAAACCCCACTAGTAACCTTTCTTTGGTTATCTTCGTGCAAACTTTGACAAGAGAGTATATTTTACAAATGTCAAAGTTGTTTTGCATATTCCCGTTAAATCCATGTGCTAGACCAGACCAGACCAGACCAGACCTGTGGACAGGTCTGCTTGACCGGACCAGACCAGACCTGTGGTCAGGTCGACATGACCAGACCAAACCAGACCTGTCGACAGGTCTGCTTGACCAGACCAGACCAGACCTGTGGTCAGGTCTGCTTGACCGCAGCAGACCTGTAGTCAGGTCTGTTTGACCGGACCAGACCTGTGGTCAGGTCTGCTTGACCTGACAAGACCTGTGGACAAGTTTGCTATTTTACTGGTGGCATAGTTGATATTTTTTTTACATAAAAAAGACAAAGATCGTATGAAATAACTGATCGGAAGTTGATACTCATATGACATTCATCAGTCAAAGCAGTCCTGCTTACAAGTTAACTTTGGATCATGTTAACTTTAGCTTGGAGGAGCAGACCAGACTAAAGTTAACTCGGGAGTTAGAATCCCCATTTTTTTTTAAAGATTAATGCTTTAGAATAGAGACATATGGCTGGCATAAAAAAAAATACCTTCAAGCAAAATTATGAGTATTTAAAGGATTGTTTTTGTATTCCATATAGACGCTTATTGGAATTTCCTAAAATGTGTTTTTTTTTAATATCATGAAACAATTTGTAGTGAACACTATTAGTAATTTCTTATGTTCATGCTATTTAAAAAATAATCAATTTCTATTATTACGAATAACAATGGACTTTGTTTGCGGGATGTAGAAGCAGGGGTTTCCAGAAACCCCGCTCGTCACACCCTGTGGTCAAAATCCATTGTTATTCGTAACAATAGATCTATTCAGCTTACACTTGTTTCAGAAATAGAAACTATGAAGTATAACAATAGAACTGGGGTGTAAGTCTAATTTATGAAAATCTCATATCTAGATATATGTAGAAACCCTTTGATCAATGACATACATATATATTTAGATATAAAGGAACTTTATCAAATCTAAAAATTACTTAGTTTATATATATATATATATATTATGGAATTTTAACATCACATTAAAGGAACGTTTAAATAATTATTGAAGTAAGTCCACATTTTTAATAATCTTCATCATGTTTATTGTTTGTTTCTTTTGAAAACCCATAAAAATCGAATTGTATGAAAAGCCGACTACCAATATGATTCACCCGATTTCACGCTTCTAATTAGATAATAGAAAAAATGTAAGTTTTAAGCCAGAAGAAAGCAAGTGAAATTGCTTTCGAGTTTCATGTAACATGTACTTCGGTCAACGCTTTTACAGCTTAATAAATTATAAAAAGAAGCATTCAATTCTCATATATAACATTTACAGGCAATATGATGTGTTCAACTGAGATACCTTGGATATTTTTTGTCTTCAGTTGCAGTCCAGTGCACGAATCAAGTGGAAAAGTTTAGTCAAGTCGAGTTTGACCATCTTCCTGACTGGATCGCCACCCCTTTTTTATTCGTCATATCATATATTTGTTCCAAACACAAACGGGTTTAAAAAAAATAATAGTTTTTAGACCATATGTTCTTTACACATAACTTTTGAGTTATTAAGTCATGGATTTCGTTACCTCAAATTACTTAAGGATGTATTCTTCTGACGTTTCAGTCTCGTTGAAATCTCGTTCTGGAATTATTTCCAAAACATGTGATACAAGTGGAAAATATCAATGTTTTTAAAAAATATTATAATCAAACTTAACTCTGTGAAAAAGTTGTGTATTTACAATGAATAGTTTTTGAGTAATCAATTTTTCAAATTTTATAACCAATCAAGTCAGTCTTTTTAGCCAAAATTTTGAGAAAATTGGTGAGGGGTACAAGAAATGATTTTACCAAAAACATCCCATATCACTTTTTTCTTTTCAATTTCTTGGATATGTATTTTTTCAATCATTTATAACAAAGAAGTTGAAATAATATGCATTTTGTTCTTCAAACAGAGAAAAATCACAAATTTACCAAATTGACAGCATGGTAAATTGACACAAAAAGCATCAAAATATGATAAAACGTTCTTATATTAACACCTACCTATAGTTTTTTTAAGTTAAATTTTATTCAGATTGGTCCACTTCATCTTTATTGAAAGTATGAAAAAAAGTTTATTTGTGGAACTGTGATTTTTTTCACGAAAATAGCCCCAAAATAGGTAAAAATTGATGAAAAATGGGAAAATCATAAAATTGGGTACTTATAAAGGGCCGGAGCAAAAAAAGAAGTGCACCACCATATGATGTTTTCTTCACCAACTATTTTTTTACAATCATAGAAACCCAATTTTTGAATTTTCCTCGGAGTTCAGTATTTTTGTGATTTACTTTTTACTACAACGAAGTCGATGTCAAGTTTCTTCTTAGAAGAAAACTTTACTGCTGTTGGATTATTCCCCGAGGGTATCATTAACTTGGTAGCTTTATGAATGATGAAAACAAATAATACAAAGAACAAACCGGCTGGGACGTCACCCGGGTTACCAAGGTCCTCTTTTGCTGCACGGAACACTGAAGCATTTGATTTGTGTGTTACACGGAATATCCTCCGGGATACCCCTGATTTGACGTACGTTCAGCCAGAAGGTAATTACTACTTTTAAAAGGAAAAAGGAGCACGTGTAAGACATGTAATATGTTAATCACGACTCCTGATTTTACCAGTAATTTAACAGGAAAAACGTTTTATACTAAATCTTTCGAGCCTCTGGACTGTTCCACGCACAATGTCGTGTACGGAATTGAATGTACTTTGTTTCGACTACTTTATGTTGGTGAAACTCGACAAACTCTGCGTAAAAGGATGAATCAACACCGGTCTGATAATAAAGATCCGCAATTCAGGGTTCTTTATAATCATTTTAATCAATCGGACCATGATCTTTCTTTATCTATGAAAGTACGCATCATCGAGAAAATTTATCACCACACAAATAGCCCTGTACTTAGTACTCCTTTCCGAAAAGATAGAGAAAATTTCTGGATAAGGGAACTAGGTACTGCAATGCCATATGATTGCAATGATAATGTCAAAGGAGTAGGAAATTTGTCAAGTCCAGCCTGCAGTAATGTTAATGTAATGAGTTTATTTAATACTACCTTACGAAACTAAATTAACGTAGTCATGGACAAAAACATTACCATCGGCCTAATGTAAAAAAGTCCTCAAAATCTAGATCGCCCTCTGGGAGCTTTGATGACCTTCTTTCTCATCTTCATCATCCGCTAGGGTTACTTTACATTAGAACTATTCTTTTTTCACTGCCTGTTAATTTTCTAAAATGTTTGAGAGATTATGCACTTGACAAAGGATGCATAAATACATTTTCTCCAATATACAGACTTGTCAGTATAATTTGTGATCTAGCTCTTTTCCGTCTTTTAAAACCAGTAAGATCGGAACCTTTACATGAGGAAAAGAGGAAATCCCTTCCTGTTTACTTTACCAATAGAGGAATTGATGCAATCAACATCAGCAACGTTCTACATCACAAGGAGGTAACATCTAAAATTCCTATTTATTTTCAAAATCAGTCTGTTCTTATTGTATCCTACAATTACACCAAAACCATTGCACCCAAAATATTTAACTATAAACAAGCACTACAGGACCTTGATTTAGAACAATACCTAAAAAACCCTCTGATATGTGACTGTTCCCACTCGCTTTACAATTACAGCCCCTCTGGCCATGTTATTACTGCGGATCTAAACATAATTCAACAAGAAAATCTCCGAAAGGTGATTTCTCATGGTCCTAAGTTTAGAGAACCCCAACACATCAATTGGAACCATAACTTCAAAATAACTATGGATTCATTGAGGACTACACCAGAGCATGGGCTAAACGAGAAGAAGTTCAACTGGACACTTTGTCAGAATGGATCAAAACAATCAGGTCTCTGATAAAACATCGCATTCATAAGTTGAAAAACTGTGTGAATGATCGACCAAAGTCCGTTTTCAGAGACAAAGAGGCTTTGCAATGTCTATCATCTCTTCATGATAAGTATGTTGTTGTTCCTGCGGACAAAGCTTCAAATAATATTGTCTTTATATGTAAATCGTATTACTACGAGTGTCTTGTAAAAGAATTAGGAATAAATGAGCACTCAGGTAATCCCACATACAAAAACATATCATTTGACAAGGATGAGATTTTGGCGAATCATAAGTCCTTCATGGCTTCAATGATCATTGCATTGAACAACAAATCGGAGGACTTACCTTGTTTGTATTGGATACCTAAACTTCACAAAATTCCGTACAAACAACGGTACATTGCCGGCTCATCTGCATGTTCCACTAAAGAATTGTCCATTTTACATTGACTAAAATTCTGTCCGCAGTGAAAGAGGGTCTTCAGAAATACTGTGAAACTGTTTACTCGCGTAGTGGTATTAATCATATGTGGATTATTAAAAATTCTAAAGAACTTCTGGATAATTTTAAATCTCGATCTTTTTCTGAAATTAGTTCAATCAAAACTTT